TTTTCGAAGTGTGTCTGATTAATTATCACCTTACATCATGTGGAAGGCTTTTTAAACAGTCTATGTTCAGAAAAAGCAAGATTACATCCACTGGGACTGATGGGCTAACGACTAGTTTGAATAGGCTAAGGCCAGCCTTTCAAAGCAGTTCGAATTGCAAGAATTTTGAAAGATTTATGGAAAAGTTTCTACAAATCCTTTTTTTTTTACACTGCATGACTATTTCTGCAGAGATTTGAAAGGTGCATGAATTAGGAATAGCATCCTGTGGTCTAATTTGGTTACTGCATATTCAAAAGTCGATAAATACATTTCACTGTAATATTGAGTTGTTGATAAATGAAATGCTTTTAGACTTTTTTAGAGCTTTCTAATTCACTGTTAGCATTGTTAGCTCAACATTAGCCTCTAGCCATTTCACCTGATATTAAAGTAAAACAAAAAGATGCTGTGGCTTCTTAGGGGTACAAGAGATAACTGCTGGGTCGCTTCTTTTCCTGGCTAACATTGTGTCCACAGCACTGCTGCTTTTTGCAGGATGGTGTCATCTTACCAATGCTGATGCAGACTTTGCAACCCTGTTTTTTTTTTACATATGAGTTAAAACCAGGAAGTAAGGTAAGGGACAGACTGTAAACAAAGACCACGTCCCTCGTTGTCCTTTTTAAAAGGAAATCTCTTCCAATGTAACCTTCCTTCCAACATGATTGAGACATCAGACTGTTTTGTGATTAATCCACTATAAAATACTTACTTAGTGCATCAAGACTTGACCTTTTGATGCAGTGGAAGTGTGTCAAAGTGTATATTTATACTTCTAAAAACTGAATTTATGGAAAAATGTGTGTGGTAAAACTGGTGCAAAGGTTTGTAAAATTGTGTTGCATGAACCGCTAAGAAATTTCATCTGTTATAAGGAAGCAGCAATACACTTCAACTGCCCTAACTAGTAGTTAGCTCATCAGTACAGAAAGACACAAAATCTATTTCTCCAACCAGATGACAGGAAGCCATCTACTCTTCTCTACATAACATTATGACTACCTTCCTGTTATTAGTCTGAACCTCAGACAATGTGATCCTATTTCTAATGTGCTGTCACCATCAGAGCTCCTCGTTGCACGTTTTCAGTCGTGCTCTAGATCGATTTTGCAGATCTTCTAAATTGTTGATGACTTTTTTCAGGGGTGGAAAGGAGTCCAGAAATTTGTGTAAATGTCCCACAGTGTACCTCGATGACCAAAGTGGAAAGGTGCCATCTTTACACCAATGCAACTGAGAAGTGTGTGTACATGCACGTGTGTGTGTGAGATCCATTCCCAGCCGTCCCTCCATCTGAGCTACACTTTAAATGAGACATGTGTGCAGCTGCGTGGTTTCAATTAACACTGATTGAAAGTGCACGCTCAGGTGTGATCCCCTGCGCAACATGGGTGACAGGAGGGAGTGTGAGTATGTGGGGAGGGGGGAGTCAGTGGCAAGGCGTGAAATTTATGGTCTAGGTCAGGGTTGGGCAATCCTGGTCCTCGAGGGCCGCTATCCAGCAGGTTTTAGTTGTTTACCTGCCCCAACACACCTGATTCCTGGATGAATCACCTGTTCAGCAGCTCATCAGGCTCTGCAGCAGCCTGTTAATCACTAGTAGATTCAAACCGGCTGTGTTTAAGCAGAGAAACAAGTAAAACCTGCTGGACAGCGGCCCTCGAGGACCAGGATTGCCCACCCCTGGTCTAGGTTCTACTTTCTACTGCTCAGCAACACACACACACACACACACACACACGCACACACACACACACACACACGCACACACACACACACACACACACACACAAGTGTGTCTGTTTATTCAGCTCTTCACTGTATTCTTCATACACACTCTGGTTGTGCGTTACAGTTGATTCTTGTCTGAAGCAGGCAGACAGGAGTTATCCATAACATGTCTTAGACTCTAATGCAAGCTTGAGTGAGCTTGTAATGAGTGACAGCTGAGAAAAAAAAGGAGGAGGAGAAGAGAAATAGAGGGGGTGGAGGCAGAGGAGGAGAGAAACAAGACGGGCGAAATGTTCCCCATTACTGGAGTTGGAGAGGACAGCAGCTGTGCATGGAATGACCTGTCAGCAGAACGCAGGAGGAAAAGCAGCTTTTACATTCAAGGTTTCCTTTTTTAAGTTTCTTCCAGCTTGTGCAGAAATAAGAGGAGAAGGTCAGACAGGAACAGAGAAGCAGAGGCAAAACACCTGGAGTTCAAAGTGAGAGGCAGGTAGACAGAGAGGAGAGGGTGCTCAAGGAGCGTTGGTGTTTCTGTGTTTGTCCAAGGGGGAGCTGGTGGATCATAGCGCTCTGGAACATTTTGTGGAAGTATAAGAGTGGTCACTGACCCGATTCCACTCTGAGGTAAGAACGGATCTCCCCCAGACTCAGAGGAAATGTTGCTTCATGCTCCATGTAAAAGCAAACGACTGGAATACAATAATAACTATTTAAATTCTCAGCATTTTAGAATTTAAATAAAAAGTTGACTTTTAAAGTTTCACCTTTCTCTAGGCTGGAAATTTAAAAGATTAGAAATGTAACGGCTTTGGGATTTTATTATTTTTGACAGTATAAACTGATTTGAGATCATTTACACAAAACATCACAATGTTTGTGTAAATGTTTCAAGTGTGATAAATTCTCCTTTTTTGAGGTATAAGATTATTTTTTCCTAATTAAAAAATAAATAAAAATCTCATAAATCATAAAACATTTGTGAGAAATTTGATACATTTTTTTTATCATCTTTTTTTATTAGAGTAAGGTATTCGGGTTTAAGCATAAAAAACTTGTTCTGACACAGACGAGGAAAATCATGTTTGCAATAACTTGGACCTTCTTTGATCATAATTTTACTCCGAGAAAAAAAAACACGCTTTTAAAAGACCTTTTTAGTTTGTTTAAAAATAAAATTAGCAGCATATTTTTCTTCAGACTGAATCTTCATTAGTGCTAATTACTTGCGGTCGATTGTACTCATCCTATAAGGAGTTGTCGTGCTGACAAGGCTGGTCACCCGGTCAACCGGGTCAAAGGTCATCTATTTAAGTGGCTCAGGTGACACAAATGGGTTATTCAGACATGGTGGCCACCTTAAAGTGCACTCGGGCAGGGTGCTTTATTTCACTGTTGAAGATACATTTGAATGTTTTATTGCAAGTTGCACAAAGAATGTGAGGCTTTATTTAATAGAATCACAGTTATGTTGCTTTTTAATTTTAATACAAGTGTTTTATTATAAATTTATTAGGACCTAAATAATATTTTTGTTTTTTTCTTTATTCTTTTTTCACTGCAAGTTTATCATTATAGAAAGTCTGTTGTCTAACATAAATGTGAAATAATGGTTTGGAGACAGCTAAAATATAAACGACATGTTTAGCCCTCTGGAGGCAGGCGTTGCAGATTTGCAACAGTTAAAACCTACCTGGTTACTCCACACCTCATGTCGATGCTCCACACACGTGTTTCATGAGCATTTTTAACTCAGAAGTTCCCCTGGAGGACTTAGATGTTCATCCTTTTATCAAAACTTATGTTGAGCCTGAGAGGGTTAATAGATAAAGATAAAAGACCATCATAAAATCTTCTTGAGGTGTGTGTGTGTGTGTGTGTGTGTGTGTGTGTGTGTGTGTGTGTGTGTGTGTGTGTGTGTGTGTGTGTGTGTGTGTGTGTGTGTGTGTGTGTGTGTGTGTGTGTGTGTGTGTGTAAAGTGATCCATACGAGGAGACTCGCTGACCTTTGAACCCTGTCTTAAACAACTAAGTGCTGCTTCTTATTCGCTCTCAGCAGGACCCTCTAATCAGAACCATAACACCACAACTGTGTCCTTTACACACACACACACACACACTTTAGTTTCCACGTATGTAGAGTGGTCTGCCCAGTCGAGCACTTTCTCTCTACTTACCCATGATTGCAGTAATTTGGAAACGACTTGGATGTTGCTGCCTGGCTGAATTTGGCTGCAAGTGCGTGACTTGTGTGTGTGCACTTCTATTCAGCAGTGTGTGTATTTGGCACCCCACATGTGCCCTACACCTTGACAGTGTGTTGACACAGTGATTATAGGGCACCTGGTACACATTGGACCTTGCTCCGCCCAGCATTTACTGTTCTAATTAGTTCCTGCCCCAAATAAGAGAGGAATTTTAATAGAGAACCACTGGTCTGCCGTCTAGCTCCACATGCCCTTAAACAAAGACGCATATAAGGTGTGTGTGTGTGTGTGTGTGTGTGTGTGTGTGTGTGTGTGTGTGTGTGTGTGTGTGTGTGTGTGTGTGTGTGTGTGTGTGTGTGTGTGTGTGTGTGTGTGTGTGTGTGTGTGTGTGTGTGTGGACACACTGCAGTCTGTTTTTTAACTCTAGTTTTAATAAATAGTACCAGCACACTGATTGACATGGCCAAATGTGCCACTCACCCCCCCAAAGTCAAGGCTGAGTTCAGTTTCTGCAGTGACATGTTTAACAGTCGTTACTCTGACCTAACATGACCCAGACGAGACCTTTAAACTCTTAAAGGGTTCAGATGGATGTACGAGCTCAGAATGGAGCGGGGTCACAGGTGAACAAGGGAAAGTTTATATCTGTCACTGCAGTTAGCGTTTTTACAGCTACAGACACCGTCGTTTATTCAGAGTTGGTGGGATTTTTTACATTTTGACTATCGCAAATTTTAAAGTTTTTGCTCCTTTTGTTTTCAATTTTATTCCCTGGAAGCGTTTGAGGGTGGGAATTTTTGTGTTCATTGACAACAATTCATGATACTCCTATAACATATCTGACTCATTAACGCCAGTTTATGGGGCTCGTTTCGAACACACTTAACACTGCTTCTTAAGTGTGTGTGTGTGTGTGTGTGTGTGTGTGTGTGTGTGTGTGTGTGTGTGTGTGTGTGTGTGTGTGTGTGTGTGTAAGTGTCCATGGATGTGTGAAGTAATTCATTCCCTTCTGATTCTTCTGTAGGTGAAGAAATTGCACAGTGAATCTCATGTTCCAGACCCCTCAGACACCAGGTATGTGTGTGTGTGTGTGTGTGTGTGTGTGTGTGTGTGTGTGTGTGTGTGTGTGTGTGTGTGTGTGTGTGTGTGTGTGTGTGTGTGTGTGTGTGTGTGTGTGTGTGTGTGTGTGTGTGTGTGTGTGTGTGTGTGTGTGTGTGTGGTTCTTTGGTCATGGTGCAGGGGGTTGAGGTTTCGCAGCAGTTAGAAGCTGTGATGAGGTCATCTGTACTTCACAAAGGCCTCAGTTTGACAAACACACACAGACAATACAGACACACACGCAGAGTAAATATCTACTGATTCACATGGAAACACACACCAAATAACACGTAGGCCTTAGAACAGGAAAAACTGCAATAAATCTCACAATCTGTTGTTTCTTTTTATTCCGTTTAAGCAAAATATTCAAAGAAATCCTCTAAATGTTTACAGATTGTCACGATTTGATTAGAAAATGAAACATCTTTGGGTGATAGTTCCGATCTGTTGAAGGCGTTTGAACAACTAATTTATTACTGGTTGTGGAAGCCTAAGTTCAGAGAAATTGGGATTGGGTTGGCTCATCTGAGAGGGGTCAAGATGACAAGGCCATCTTTTTTGTTTATAACGGGCGGGTGAGCCTCGCGTAACGTTTTAGATATGTTTCACCCGTGACCTCAGCAGTGCATCCCTTTCTAGCGGGAGCGTCTCTGATCCAAAAGCAGCTGATCCCAAAAGATCCCAAAATCATAGGAGAAATGCGAAATCACGCATGATGTCACCAGTTCACATGATGACAAGAAAAGATGTAGGCGGGCATGATTCCAAAAAGGTCTATTGTTTATGTCCTGTTTTGTTTACCTCTGTTATGGAGACGTCACAGGTAATGAGGTTTTTTATTTATTTTATTTTTTTACTGCAAACCTTTTATTTTGAAATGTGTTGGACGTTTTACACTGCTTTCGGTTTTGACTTCCTGTTTGGCCCAATCTGTACTAATGAGGTTGACTAGTTTCAGGAAGCATAGAACGTAAAAAAATAAAATAAAAATAGACGCAAAGCGTAAAACCAGCAGATGCAAAGCCGCATTTATTTTGCAGTCGGTTGAAATGCACTCATCAACTATAATGCAGTCTGCTACGCTTCGTGTTACACCTGCACAACTCAGCGTTAGCTTGAGGATCTAGTCAGAGCTAATTTCTATTCTGTTAGACTACGGTCATTCAAAGAGCTAGCAACAACAAACCTTTGTGTTTAAGCTGTGACACGAGTCATAATAATAGTAATATACATATTAATTACAATCAAAGCTTAGAATCTCATTTGTAACTAAACACATGGTACATTTTATCCAAATGCTGCCTTTTGTTGTCTGAAACCAGACGTAATGTGAAAACCAGAAAAGAGTTTATGAAACACCAACTCCTGCCATTGCCTCCTGAGAGGAGAGGGGGTTCAAGTGTTTAAAGGAAATGCAGAGAAAGGCAACATAATCTGTAAAAGTTGGTGTTGCATATTGTGGAAAGGTGTTTGGCCTCTGTCAAAGACTCAGATTTTGCACAATCAGCATCTTCCGTCCAGAAGGACACAATAAACATTGATCTGTAAATATTTCCTCCTTTTTGAACATTTTTTACCGCTCAGCTCGTTTTTCTGTCCTGCTGGTGTTTGCAGACTGTTCTGCCTGTCTCCCTGACTGTGGAGTTGTGTTGTGTGGTGGTACTATCTAAAACTTTCTGCTCCCACATCATCACAAAGATGTGCGCTCTCTTGCACAGCAGCTCATATTTGTGACTCTCCTTCCATCTCTGTCATCTTGGGCTTTGATGTCCCACACAAAAGCATCAGTGTGACCTAACCTGTGGGTAGCATGACTCCGGGCTCTCTCTCTCTCTCTCTCTCTCTCTCACACACACACACACACACACACACACACACACACACACACACACACACACACACACACACACACACACACACACACACACACACACACGTTCACAGAGGTAAAATCAACAAAAAAGACTGACTTGACTATAAATTGTCTTCTGCCAAACGGCATGTCAGACTGCGGGTCTGCGGTGGCGTGTTATGTTGGTTTTCTAAACACACTTCACCTTTTGGTAAAATCTTATCAACCTAAGAGTGAGCCGTTGTTGCCATGGCAGCAAGTAATTACGATCTAAATACACAACATAATGCAAATGTTTTAACCCTTTTTTTCTAATTTGTTCAAATCCAATTATTCTCTCTCTCACTCACACACATCACCACCTTCATCCCAGCCATGCATGCAGAGCACATTGTAGAAAAAAAGCATGCTGGCTGGCTTTGGGAGCCCAGAAGTGCGCGCGCACACACACACACACACACACACACACACACACACACACACACACACACACACACACACACAACTGCTCCATAAAAGCACCTCTGAACACAAGCTCATGTGAGCTAACTGGTGCTGAGCAGCATGGGATCCCAGCGTGCACATCAGGCTCGTCGCTGATGTCCACACTGGGATCCTAACATAATCATCTGCTGTTTGTTAAAAAATGACAGTTCATCCTCTCTAACTCCCTCCGTCCATGCTCCTCACCATTAGGTCTATGGAAATGCAGGACCTAGCCAGTCCTCATAACCACGTGGGAGGTGGAGATCCAGCAGGCTCCAAGCTGGACAAGAGCAACCTCGGCAGCCCCTCCATCACCACCAATGGAACAGGAGGTAAGAATGCAGAGGGTTGCTTTACATTTTCATCTGGGCTCTAGTCCTTTTCTTTCTTCTATGCAAGACTGGGAATCCCAACTGGCATTATTTAAGCATTTATTATCCGGCAAGACCTCCTGGGATGGAACATTCCCACAAACACTGATGGTGAGAATGACTCAGGAAGGCAAGGGAGTGCTGTTTATAAGCTGAGAACACGCTCAGAAATGTTTACCAATACATCTGTTATCACAAAAGCCCAGTCCAGTATCACATAAAAACGGGATGTCGCCTATCCAGAGTATCAAAGGCTGTACTTCCAGTTGTGGAAGGTCTAAAACGAACTCCTTTAGATATTGCTCAGAAAAGGTACCTGCAGTTAACAATGAGTCTTCTGATCACGAGGCAAGCTCAGTGGATTTCTACTGTGCTAAAAAAATTATCTCAGACTATTTATAGCAATTCATGCCAGTTCTTTTTTATATTATTACAATGCATTCAGTTTTGCATTACATGGAAATTCGGCAGACATTCTACAAAATGCGTTACGGGGTAGCCTGGCAAGCTATCCCATATATGTAAATATATAGTGTGGCCACGGTTCATTGAAGGCTGTCAGTCATGGGGCGGGATTTACAGTTGTCTGTTAAACTGTCTCCACATGCTATTGGATAGCAAACAACATGACATACTCACTGCCACGGATGTCAGTCCGCGAGACAGTCTGCCTTACTCCGTCATAGAAGATACAAATTCATCCTTTTTTCTTAATAAACTTAATTATCTCTATTTGCTCTTGACTCAAAGAAAAGCCAAAGCTGATTCAAACCAGCCGTCTCATCTTTGTTTTATCAATAACATCCCGCCCACCAACAGTGCTGTGATTCGCCCACCAAACCAATAGAATGCTGTGATTGCACCGCTACAGATGTCAGTCATCGGTGTAGTCTGCCATTACATTGTGGAAGACTATACATAAAACATAAAATAATACATCGGTTTGCTAAATCAACACGCTGTAATTGGCCAGCCACAATACTGGCTGGGGTTGTGAGGTTCCAATGGAGCGTTGCTAGACCATCAATGTTGCTTCTGTAAATGACGGTCTAGGTTGTAGGCTACTACAGGAGTGCTTTGTAACAAGTTTGCATGTGAAAACAGCTGCTGAGTGTAAAAAAATTGCACAATTTAATGACGACACAAAGGTTGAAACCAGTGTTATCATGAATCTATTGCATTTTTGATTTTGGAGTTGTTTTAGGACAGCGCTTTGGTCTTGGGCCCCACTTGGGCTAGAGGGTTCATTTTGAGTCAATCCGGGCAAAAAGCATTTGCGTTCTAATCAGGTCGAACATGTAGACAATCAAAAGCACATTTTAGGACTTTTATTGTGAAAGTATTAGAGACATATATCCAGACTCAAGAACACACACACTCTGCCGTGAGGTTTTGAGTAAACCACTAGAGAATGTGAGTAAACACACAGAAAATCACTTCTCCACTAACCGCTTGGCGGAGTGTGTTTGTGTGTTTTCAGATTCTACTGAAAGCCAAAAATCCCACTGGAAACTATTCCCTCTACAAGAGCAGTAAAGCATCTCTTAGATGTCAGCACCAGCTAGCTCTTTGGGCTAGTTTTTTGTTTAATATTATACCTTTTATCTGTTTTTCTACTCCTTTAATCTTTTATGCATTAAAAGTCACAACACTGGTGTGCAGTGCTTTTGTTGAGTGAATTTTTGATTTTTACAACCCTTGAAATGGTAAAATGATGGAAAAAAAATTATTAAAATGTTGATGCGTCTGCAGAAATAAGTCCTCAAAGCAGATGAACCCCAAACTCAGACCGAATGAAAGCACATCAGGTCATTTTTAGATGAGCTCAGAGTTGATAGTTAAAGCAGACAGAGTCGGGACTGCTCACATGCAGCCAAAACAAGCTACATAACCAACATTCCCCTCACTTAGCATCAGCCAGCACTCAGGCCCACGGGCCATCTCCATAGCAACTCATTTGTCTTCATTACAGCTGGTCGAATGGGCTGGATTGCTCCCTGAGGGGATTAATGAAGCTGTCCTGAATGAAGCTGACTTCTCGTGTGGTTTCTGATTATGACTTTTAATCATGTTCAAAGAAAAACAAACAAACACTGTTGCTGTTAAATGGCAAACCTGCTCCTAACAAGTTTCTCTTAGCGTTGGAACTTGAACAGATTAGGAAATATCTGTATATTTGTAATATTTACAGAAAATAATAATATGCTGGTGAAGGTTTGCAGTCATCCAGGTCATTGTAATCTATAAAGAGGTTCCACTGGAGGACACTGGCTGGACTTCTTTGGTTTCTTGAAGACGTTTTGCTTCTCATCAGAGGCGCTTTATCAACTGGAATATGGTAGAGTCAAGTTTATGTCTGTTGTTGCTTAACGAGCTGAATGAATATCCACTCCTCCTCCTGAGTTGTCATCGAAGTCGTTAGCCCCTATTGTGTATGGGTGGGTGTTTTGATTAAATGCAGGGGGGTATGACCTTGTTTCTGTCTTGGAAATAGATTCAGAGCTGCATTATACACGCTGAAGAGGTGAAACTTGAGGCCTTCTCCTCTGTTTGGGATTTTCCCATTTGACATAGACTACGTTTACATGCAGCCAATATCCAGGTTATGATCGGGTTAAGGTCGGTATTTGGGTTTCTAAGTTGATCAGAATAACCCGTTTACAAGCATAAATAGAAAGAGTTACCCCTAACTTGCATAACCCGATTTAACTGCGGACGTTGGGGTAGCGTCAGGACGTATGGACTACGTCCAGATGCATTATGCGTCATTTCCGGTTCTTCTTGTTCCGGTATCCATGAAAACAACAACATGTTTTCCAGTTCGGAAGAGGTAGCGACCGCGTTTGTTTGCGCTTTAGTTTCTTCGTCACTCCAAAAGTGTGGTGCTGTGCCGCGACTCGCCATGTTGCTCCCAACTTGTTGTTTACTTCCGGTGTTCTGGCGCATACAAGACGTCTCGCTACTCAAAAGACCAAGATTCCTTGCGAACAGAGCATGCACAGAACACACGCTTTGATGGGGATATCCCGATATGCGTTTACACGACCAAACATTCGGGTTAGAAAAGGGTTACCCCAGGTGTAGTAACCGGGTTTTTAAAAACCCGGTTATGAGCATATCCGGGTTTTTGGTGGTGTTTACATGGACCTGCGGAACCGGGTTATTGTGAATATTCGGGTTTTAAAAGGGTTACTGGCTGCATGTAAACACACTCATGACACATTCTTTTACTCCTCCCTCAAACCATCCAACCTCTCTGTCAAGAATGTGTACTGTGTCATCTTCAAAAGTGTGTCCCTGGTCCTTCAGGTGGAAGTGGACTGCAGAGTCTTACCCTGAAGAGATGGCTCTCCTATGTGCTTGTGTAGTAGTAGTTGTTGTTTTCCCCTATTGTTATTTAGTAGTTTCGGCTTGATAAATAACAATAGAGAGCTACAGCTTATAAACTTGACCCTCCCATATTCCAGGTGGAATTGACAAAGCTCCTCGGATAAGAAGCCAAATGTCTTCAAGAAACCAAAGAAGTCCAGTTTCCTTCATTGGAACCCTTTTGGATTCCCCTATGTAAAGTTCTGACCGTCCACACTGCATTGGACTGCATAAATGACGCCACTAAGCTTCTGTTTGGTTGTTTTCTCTTTTGGATGGACCATTTCTGTCTGAGGATGTTGGGTTTAAAGTTTACTGGAATGTTGTCCAGGCCACAACCTCCTGCATCTAATCAAAACAACCATTCACACACAGTAAGGACTAATGACTTAAACAACTCTTCTGGGGATAAGAGGGTATTCATAAGTAGTTTCAGGTTATTAAACAACATTAGACATCTACAGTTTACAAGCTTGACTCTCACATCATCCAGGCAGAATTGACAAGCTCTTCAGATGGGAAGCGAAACAGCTTCAAGAAACCAAAGAAGTCCAGCTGCCTTCATTCAAACTTTGTTTAAGAAAATAATAATCTTCTTAGTTGTTTAATAAAGCGAGTAAGTACATTTCATTTGCTTTTTTATCGAACAGAGTTGGTCTGATTAGTGTAAAATGTGCTAAAATCAACCACAATGTTCTTCCATTCACTCTTGGTTTGAGTTTCTTGATGGATCAAATTAAGAAACTCAAATCAAGAGTGAATGGAAGATTACTGTGGCTGATATATTTTCTTTGCCACAGTATTCAAATGAATCAAACGACTGAATGTTCCCAGCATATTAAGTACAACAAAACCGTAAACTGGCCAGTTTTAACATATATTTTAACATAAGTTAGTCTATTGATGAAATCACCTATTGGTCTACAGGGAATCCTCATAATACGTTCAATAAACGGTCTTGGCATAAAAAAGATGCAACTTCCACAATCGTCTTGATACTCTGACAGAAAAACAACAAATGTGTTTTTATGTTGAACTTTTCTGCAGATGTTTTATGAGATAATTAGTTTTCAGAGTGATCTATACTGAATGAGTATAACTTGCACTCCTATAGGTGAAAGCATGACCGTTCTAAACACGGCTGATTGGCTGCTGGGCTGCAGCAGCCCGTCTCCATCCTCGGGGTCCAAGGACTATGGTACAGAGGTGCATGTGTGTGAATTCAAGAGAGTCCTACATCCTGAATGTAACGGGGCTTGCTCTGTGGAGATGAACCCTGTTTATATTTTCTGCTCAAACCGCTCTGATTGGCTTTCTTTTGCAGTGCTGTGTTTATTTTCGAATGCCATTTTGAATTAATGACTACGCGTGTCATCGTCTTATCGACTACGGTATTTGCAAGGTTTCCACCTTCATCAGGGGGTCAAATTGCACAAGTCCTTCCTTGAGATTTAACGTGCATTCATGTATTTTTAAGTTTGTCAGAATTTTTTTTGCTTTTCAAGTTTGACAAAGCCAAGAAGGAAGAAAATGTGCAGCTGTCTAGGCTTTGTATCGTTTATCTTTAAATTGGGGTTGTGGAGTTCATTCGCTATTAAAATGGAAACCCTGCATGCACAATTTTGCTCTCATATTTGGAAATGCATGGTATTTTCTACTCTATCCAGTCAGACTTTCTACTTTTCATTTGTTTTATGAAGCATCTTTAACGTCACGCTCCAACACTGATATCATTCTTTTTCCTTTAAGTAAAAACAGAGCCTTTGAACAACAGCGATACAGTCACTACGACAGGCGACGCATCACTGGATACGTACGCAGGCTCAGGTAAAACCCATTTCTCACTCGCCCACACACACACACACACACACACACACACACACACACACACACACACACACACACACACACACACACACACACACACACACACACACAATCCCCTCAAACATCATCTATTTAATCTGTGCGGTAGCCCTGCAGAAAGCCCTAATCCGCTGAACTGTTGCCTGTCCTTGGATTGGTTCATCGGAGGCTGGCACAGTGATGAGACATTTTTACACATCTTCTGGGGTTTGAGGCCATTGAGAGAGGGTTTAGAAGCAGTGGGGTGTTTGTCAGTAAAGCGCTCTGACATCTCAATGACCACAAAAATACATTGTTTTACTGTGAGGCCCACTATGAGGGGCTCTCTCTACTGAATAACTCCCTCTGTTCAGAGTCGTGCTTGCTGTAAAGGCATTTCTGACTCTGACTTTGAACCTTTTCTCGAATTACTTTGATCATCATTCTGTTTTTAGTGATCACCAGCAGTGGGTACAGCCCTCGCTCAGCCCACCAGTACTCCCCTCCTCTCTACCCATCAAAGTAAGTCTCTAACATTTGAAGAAACTTTATATATACTCACTCATTTGCACGTCAGATATTAACCTCCCCACTCTTTTCTCAGGCCCTACCCTCACATCCTCTCCACGCCGGCAGCACCTCCCATGCCAACGTACGCCGGCCAACCTCAGTTCAGCAGCATGCAGCAGTCAACCATGTATACCGCCTACTCACAGACAGGACAGGCCTACGGATTGTCCACCTACGGTATCCATAAGCATTCATTTATTCTGGTTAAACTTTGCTTGCTACCACACTGCAAAGACAGATGTGTCAAAAATAACACGTTGTGTCATTTTTGAACATGTGCCGAGTGTGCTCAGGGACGACACGTTTTGAGTTCATTCCAACACATTCGATGTGTAACCCATTTTAACACAAACTGTCAACTTTTTAACACTAAAATGTGTCATTGCAACACGTGAATTATAGCTTTTAATGTAGTTAAAATTTTAAGTGCTGAAACTTAAAGAGAAAAGGGCAGCTTTAAAAATGTGTTTGTGTTTAAATGCTCACAGAACATATAAAAGCATAACATGACCGCAGGTAATACATTTTGTTATTTAATCCGCTTGGATAACGTCTAAGCTGTAACACAATGAAATCTCAAATGCCTGCCAACAACAGCATGGCAAATGAACACAAGTCCATTTTTCAGTCCAAGTAAAACAAAAGGTTTCTGAATGTGATTTGAACATGTGTGCTTTTTAAGTGAAACCATTAAGTGTTTTAGCTCTGTTTAACACTTCAATAATACCAGTTATCTATAGTTAAATAATAAAGTAACTACTCTACACAGTTCAACCAAACAACAGATTTTTTTTAGACAGTAATACATTTATGTTCATTTTTTGATTCTGTTGTATTTGCATGCTGGGAACAATGGACATGTTTAGCATGTTATCAATCACAACTGATTTTCTTTTATGAAATGTCAGAAGATGTACATATTTCATTTGCATAAACAGACCACTTTTCCATATGCAAAACATTTTTTCTGAGCATTTTTTAAGCAATTTGGATGTTTAGCCATTTTTTTGTTCCATCTATAATGGTGCAAGTAGGTTAGCACACACCTGAAAAGTCAATAGATTTGTTAGTTTTCTCAAAATGATGCAAAATAGTGAAGGGGTTTAGTTTTTTTAAGAGTAGGTTCACTGAGAAACCATTTTGTACCTATAGCTTTTGAAAATCATCAGTCACTCTGGTTTTAACATGCAGGCTGAACATTAAAATAGTCTTCTACACCTATCTCCTGCATTAGCTTCTGATAGGAAACGGACGTAAAAACGCTTGGTTCAGAAAAGCCAGACGGATCTACGTCACATTGCCACTTAACATTCATGGTCTCACCCATCTTGACTCGTGACGAGGAAGACTGTTGTTGGTTTAGCTTCCAGGAAACACCTCAGCTAGTAGAAACTATCCGTTAGCATTAGCAACTCCCCCCAGATACAGTAGCAGAACTCCTCCATGCTTGTGTTTTTTGTGAAGATAAAACAGTCACTGGAAAAGCTGCATTGCTGCTAACCAATCAGAGGCAAGATGTCCAAATATCACAAGATAAGACTCATCTAAAGCCACTTACTCCTCCAGCTGACTTCCACAGTCTAAACCAGGAGCATCTGAGCTTTGTTGTTTCCCAGAGAACAACTTACAAGGCATTTGTTCCTACAAGAGACCACTACAAATTTATTAAAAATATGAGTGAACTTGATCTTTAATTATTTGTCCAGCTACCAGGTATTGTACCTGCTATTAGTAGTATTACCCTAAATGAGAATCCTGTAGATGTACACCCTTTATCTAACCAAAAAATAATTTAAATTGAAACTTTCAGCAAAAGTAATACATAAAAGTCTCTAAAAAATATGAGTCGTGTTCAGAAATTGGTACTTTAGAGAAGAAATCATGTAAGACATGTTACCTGATTCAGGAACAGTCAGCCTTGTCAAAACTGTCCTTTTGCTTTGTTGTTTGGATTTAAACCTGCTCAAGTTCTTGCCTGAAGGAATGAGGGTGAAGAGTTCAGACTGGATAAATTAGGTCCTTTAGTGCTACTGGTACACATGTCCTCTAGAGAAGGGAAGCTGTGGTTAGTCATATCTTTTAGTCCGTCTCAGAGCAGTTGCCATACCAGACAGTGGATTAAGAACTGAAGTATTAAGCCTGCATCCTAATTTAGCTGCATGTTATGTCATGTTATGCTTACCCTGCAGGGTCTACTGTATCCCTGATAGATGCCATTCAGATATTGATCAGCTTAAATCTCCGAAGCAGCTTTAGGTTATTGTTCTCCATAATTTAAAAAAAGAGAAATACAAAGAAATAGGCTACAGGTTGCAAATCAAATGTTGTTCAAAGAGGGGAAAAAAGGAACATTCTTGAAGTAAGTCAGATGATTTTTACAGTTTAAAAATATTGTTGAACACTTTGTTAGACAAGACGTACAGGACCTAGCTACATTCAAAGTTTAAGTTCAGTCTGGTTTGTCCTATCTAGGCTACTGTAGAAATATGGTGACTGTTCCAGGACATCAAAATCCTAAAATATCCTATTTTTATACAATCCTGCATCATCAAACGCATCTTTATGAAAACATTCCATTATTTAAGCAGAAATGTTATATGTAGAGAGCAAAGCAAGGCAGGTATTTAATCACAAACATGCTAATGCTTTCACTTGTTCTAACATTATTATTATTCTTTATTGTCCCTGTCACAGACCTGGGAATGATGCTTCCAGGGATTAAGACAGAGAGCAGTTTAACCCAGAGTCAGTCTCCTCTACAGACGGGCCTCAGCTACAGCCCCGGTTTCACCACCCCTCAGCCCGGACAGACGGCCTACTCCCCATATCAGATGCCAGGTCAGCTCACAGGAAAAAAGAAAAGAATCAGTTTTACAGTGTAAAACTTCTGTTTTATATTTTGATTGGGTATTATTTTGGGTATTTAGTCTTATGATGATCAGAACACTCCTTTATGTTTTATAAATCTGTATAATAATAATGTCTTTGTAATGTAAGAAATAATTTCCAGTAGGTGTGATTTCTGTCTTCTCTGTTCTTGTTTTTCATTGAAAGGTTCTAGTTTCACTGCTTCCTCAGGCCTCTACGCCACCAACAACTCTGTGTCCAACCCTGCCAACTACACTGCTACACAGCAGGTAATGCACACTCGTGCACACTGAGAACAAGAGTCCAATAACCAGAACAGATAAAACAGTGAAGTAAATGGTTCTTTTTTTGGTTGCAACAGTGTTTGAAAGTGATTTTACAGCGACACTCCAGCACAGCTTCCTCAGGGTAGAATGAAAAAAGAAAGCTCACTACTCTGCAACATGGGAAACGCAACTCTTGTGAAAGAGTTTTGTTTTGAATATTTGACTTCGTCCAAATGATGAATCGTTTTGTGGTTGTAAAATGCTTAGAAGGGGATTTCAATTTCTGTCTATGATAGATGTGGCTGTTTACATGAGAAAAGGCTAGGTTTGGTGTGTGTGTGTGTGTGTGTGTGTGTGTGTGTGTGTGTGTGTGTGTGTGTGTGTGTGTGTGTGTGTGTGTGTGTGTGTGTGTGTGTGTGTGTGTGTGTGTGTGTGTGTGTGTGTGTGTGTGTGTGTGTGTGTGTGTGTGTGTGTGTGTTGTATTACACATGTGTGTGTGTGTTGTATTACACATGTGTGTGTGTGTTGTATTACACAAGTTATCAGAACAAATCTGTTGAAATCATTTGGGGCACAAAAAGCAAAATTAGCACACACTGGGATCGTTTCCGTTATCAGAACTTCCAAATAATTGTACCAGACCTTTATGGCATTCCCGTGTCTCTATTTCCCTGAAATGACAAATTTCCACGACATTTCAGGGATCAACAGAGTACCAGAACAAGGGTATGTGCTCTGAAATGGCCCTATAGGGTCACTGGGCAGGACTTGTGGTTAACACATACTGATTGGTTGTAACTCTTTAGGAAATGACATCAGCAGGTGTGGCTAAAAAACCTGGAATTTGTAAAATTGGAAGCGTTAATGGTGAAGCTGAATTAAAGGAAAAGAAAATAAGTAGCGTTGATGCTGCTTTAAACTCACCTCTCCTAAACTCCCAACCTTAAAAAACGCGGCGGGACTCCCGCCCCAACGCCATACCTCACAGTGCTTTGTGGTGTCTTGCAGAGCACCCTAAAGAAACGGCACTTCTTCTGATCATTGAACACTTCTTTTTACATCACCTGAATCGACTAAATTATGATGTGTGAGAGAATTTAACTTTTTCATGTAATGTACATGGATGGTCTCTGGCACTGATCAGTGACATCACTCACTGTTGAAACGGTCGTGAAATGCTGACGTCTTAAGCTGGGCGGACACTGTGCGACTTTTTCACTCGTAGCACTCAGCTTCAGCTCAAACTGTACGACTTCCTCGCAGGGCAGATCTCACGAGTCATGCACTCACATTGCACGACCCAGTTCTCGGATGCGATTTGACTGCTCACACTGTACGTCTGGTAGCAACACGTCGGCCCTAAAAATATGCTAAAAATAGCAGTTTTTACTCAACACGTCAGACTTTTTTGTCTTGTCTTGCCTGTTGTCCTTCGGGAGTGCTGCAGGAGGACACACAGGGATTTATGGGGGTTGGATGAGGAAAACTAAATAAAGAAAGTAAATCTGTGTTTTGTGATCAGTTTAATTTGACATGAACACGACAAACACGCTTTCTTGACAACCTTTGTGAGTAAAAAAATGTGTAGAAATAAAAACGAACAGCGTGTGTTAGGGAATTAGCGGGCGAGCAGCGTTGATGCAGGATTGCGCATGCGCCGTGAGCGGTTCTGATACTTTTTGGGTCACAGCTGCTCGCAGCGCCGCTTCAACAGTGCGATAACCTCACGAGGGATGAGCGAAATATTAAACACGCCAGAAGTCTGTGCGAGCTCATGACTGCTGATCGGTAGCTGGTCACGTGGTGTTAATCGCCTCTCATAACCCCCTGTACACTACACGACGCTCGGCGCAAAACTCGCCCCGATCTCATGGATTCTCGCACGAGTGTAAAATCGGCTCAAAAAAGTGAAAAAGTCGCACAGTGTACGCCCGGCTTTAAAGTCCTGAAAGGGACGATTTTGTATGGAGACCCAACGGCTGGGAGGACAGAGCCATCGTACCTCCCGGTCACTCTTCCCTATCCCAGACATTTCCTGGAACTCCTATAGTAGAAACGGCTATTACTCCTATGTTTTCCCTGCTTGCTAATCTGTGTTATCATCTGCAGGATTATCCCTCATACACAACATTTGGCCAAAACCAGTATGCGCAGTATTACCCTGCCTCCACCTACGGGACGTACGTCACCTCCAACAGCGTGGACAGCACCAGCTCCACGGCAGCTTACCAGCTGCAGGATCACACTCAGGCTATGACAGGACAGGCTGCAGAACTTCACCCAGGTGTGCAGAAAATGTATCCTTATTAATAACTAGGGATGTAAGAAAATATCGATATGGCAATATATTGTGATTTTTCCTGCAACGCTATACTGGTATTCAAAAGCTGTGTATCACATTTTTGGAATAATTTACATGCAATCTTTTTGTGTGCAATTCAAACGCTGACCACTAGTTGGCAGCAGTGTGCAATGGGTTTTGTTTCCACCACTGAAACGTAAATCCCTCTATCGTGGTTCCGATACCTCACGTTAAACATGTTACGTATCAGTTTGGACTGTTAATTGAATTTTCCTACAAAACAGTCTAAAAAAAATTGTTAAAATCGTCTGGCTGAATGTATCGCAACATATCGTACTGTCTCCCCTGAATGTGATACGTATCGTATCGCCAGAATTTCACCAATACACATCCCTATAAATAACCTTACAGAACAATTAATTACATGGCATCAGCTGTTATTAGTTTACTGGTGCTTGATAAACGACGTATTAGCTGTTAGCACATCAACACTCTTGAATGTAAAAGCTTTTTCTCTAAACTGAGGCCACTCAGAAAGCTGTAACTTTCACACAGAAACACACGTCAAAGTGGCAAGTCATTTAACAGCTATTTGATGGGTGGTCTCAAAGATTTTGTTTGATTTGTTACATTATTTGAGTCTTCCTCATCCACCCCCTCCCTCTCGCTCTCCTTTCTCTCTCCGTACGAGCCCCGAAAACCCGAGTCTGGTTCTGGTTACTGAGCAGCAGTGGGTGCATATAGCACTGCAAGGGTGTGCTCGAGTGGAATGTCCATCTGTGGGCCTCTACTGTGTTTTTCCATGCATTCGGAATATCGATTATATGCTTTGTTAGGAATCATCTGATTACATAATGTGTTTGAATTATTGCACACTTCCTTTAAATCTGAATCCTACATTTTCCAGCGGACCTTTTGTTTAGGTTTCTTTCGAGAGTTTAAGTGGATCTTTCAGAGCAATTACTGTGAATTATTAAACTTGCCAAAGCTCTGTAAAAGTCTGAGTTATTGCTCTTCCTAACGTGGACACGGCATTCTAATGGAAGCTGTTTTAAACATGTCTTCACTGCTTTCACAATACAGTGAAGGTAGTTTGATTGTGCCAAATATTTACCATTCAAGCATAACTGTGGTTCTGTTGACTCTCAGGGGACTTTGATACAGTGCAGAGCCCCTCCACGCCCATCAAAGAGCTGGATGACAGAGCCTGCCGGAGTGGGGGGTCCAAGTCTCGTGGCAGAGGCCGCAAAAACAACCCCTCTCCTCCCCCTGACAGTGACCTGGAGGTAAGTGACTGAAAAACATGTTCTCACAGAGAACCAAGAGCACTGACCGGATTATCAATTCAAGCGTCACTAGAGATTTGTTCTGACTTTCAGTTTTGACCTTCTGCTGGAGAAGAACTGAGCAGAGAAATCAGTTTCTTTTATTTGTTCTGCAGAGGGTGTTTGTGTGGGATCTGGACGAGACGATCATCGTCTTCCACTCTCTGCTCACAGGCTCCTATGCACAAAAATATGGCAAGGTAATAATCCGCCTCCAAAACCTGGTAATATTTTCACTCTCTGGGTCGAGACAAAATATCTTCTGAAAATAATCGCTTATTGTCTGGCAACCTCCCGGAGCGCTTCTCCATTTAGTAATGAGTTAGTCAGAAAAAGTGGGCATTAACAAATAAAACTGAATGCAACAAAACATGAAAATACAAGAAAAAGGGCAAAACAAATGAGAGAAAGTGGGACAAAGCATTCCAATACCTCGGAAATTACGACAGAATCACTTGTATAACTTTTCCACGAATGTTGCAGTGTGTGTCCTGTCATGACCCATACTCAAACCCTTTCAATCCAGAGGAAGCAGTCCACCTTTCTCGGGTTGAGAACCATGACATCAGAACAGGACAACATCATCTGCAAAAAGTTGATGAGAACCTTCCTTCACACTAAACAGGATCAGTGATGGGGGGGCACCCTGGCAGAGTCCTACCTGCTCTAGCAGTGAGAACGTGGACACAGCTCTTACTGACTGTTTCAACACCAGATTGCCCTTAAACGTCACCCTGGTACCCAATACTCCTGCTGCACCCCTACAAAATGCCTCAGCAGGCGAGGTTGGAAGGCTTCACCGGGTCCGCAGAGCACATTGGAGCTCGACTGCCTAACCTCTGCGACCCCCTTATCAAGAGTGACGATCCGGTCTAAAGCTTCACAGCTCAGAGAAAAGCCCCCCTGCTCCTCCGAAATATCGGGTTGGACTGTCACTCCACGCCTCCTTTCCAAAAAAGTACAAAATATTCTCCAAAAATGACCAAAACCAATTACATTTCCCCATCAGCTCATATTCTCTAACTCAACAACAAACAGGGCACTCGTTGTTCACAGGCATTTGTACCTCTCAGTGGACTTTAACTGCTCCAAGAACGATACGCTCAATTTGTAAGTGCATAGTTTATAAAACGAGTCTTTAAATGTAGCTATAAATAACTGTCAGTACTCTTATTAGTCTAATCGTAACCTGAATGTGCTCATTTCTACCTCTGAATGGTGTTTACTCCAGTCCTCTCTGAACTGGTTTGGTGGTCACTTTCTCACTTACTAGCTGCACTGTTTATAGTTCCATTTATTTAATAGTTCTTGGCACCGATCTGGGATCATCCTATGTGGCCACGGCTGCAGATTTTTATTGGGTGATGTCGTTTCCTGTGGGTACCCGTGTGGCCACTGGCCTCCCCGTGTAGGCTTTTCATATTTGGTTCATTCTACTGTTCTGTTTCTGCCTGGCAGAACAAAAGCTGGCATGGTCTGAGGGCATGTAGCCAGACCTTCATAGAACTTTGAGGGCAAGTCGCTTTACAAATAGGCATTTGTGGGGACTGATGGGCTTCCTTTTTGCTCCACACCAGTGAAATTTAATGTTTGGCAGTTTGGATTTATAAGAAAAGCCCCGGTTACTTGTGTGTGTGTGTGTGTGTGTGTGCGCGTGTGTGTGTATGTGTGTGTGTGTAGGGCAGAAACACATGTGGCCTCAGAGGCTGAGTCAGACTCAAAAAGATGATTTCATGATGTGCGTTTGGACTCAAGTGGAGACATTTGTGCATTTGTGATATGCATTCCAAAAATGAGAAGTTTTCTGTGGTTAAAAAACTGTTTTGTATTTTATAAACTAAAACATTTTCGTTGAACTTTATTTGAGCACAAACTGAATTTGCACCAAAAACATAAAAATCAGCAGCATGAGTGTTTTTGTGGAAATGAACACGGATCATGTTATTTTCAGATTAAAATGTGAAGTTTGGACCAGATTTATTATATTCTTCTACCATAGTTTTTAATTTAAATGTTTATGCTTGCTGATTTTTTTATTCTGTAGAATGTGTTGCTTTAAATTTGAAAACCAACCATTTCTAATATGCAAAAGATTTTTTTTTACTAAATTTGGGGGACCTGTTAATGCAACATACTTCTCTAAATAATTACAGGGGCCTTTTTTTCACCTTATTTTCTGCTGATGCGAGAATCCGTGGCAGCTGCTTCTGTTTGCACCTCACCCTAACTAGCATTTACAGTATGGACACAGAGACCACCAGATCTAAATTCCTGTCATACGTGGTTCGAGGTCAGATCTGCTGGACGCAAACACAAAAAGTCAGACTGCTTATAGCTCATTTGTAACAAGGGAAGATGTTTGGGACATCAGTAGGTGTGGATTTTTAAGAGTTCAAGGAATTAGTGTAGAAATAGTCAAATTAGCCAGACGAATATTTATAATTACTTAAATATTATTAAAAGTTTTGGCCTAATTGCAGCACCTGGAAAGGCTTAATGCTTTCACCCTTCCTTGATTTTGTTTCTGACACTCAGGAGTGTGTGTGTGTGTGTGTGTGTGTGTGTGTGTGTGTGTGTGTGTGTGTGTGTGTGTGTGTGTGTGTACATGCGCATGCACCCCCTCGCTAACCTTCCCTCTCCTTCCTGTTGGTTTCTTTCTATTCCGGTCTGACAGTGTCAGCGAACTGTGCGACAGGCTGTCGACCCCCGCTGGTCTATCACAGATGATGGTTTTTGCAGCTGAGTTTCAGGCTGGCAGGGCAGGCTGTGCTCTCCCAAACACGCGCAAGCACACACACACACACACGCGCACACACACAGGCAAACAGTTCTCATACATTCGGGCTCCGGCAGGCTCCGCTCAGGCAGAGGGTGTTTCCAGCTTCTGTGTTTCAGAAAAAGCTGAGTTCTAGTGATTTAGAAATCCCCCATGTCTGCAGGACCCTCCCATGGCGGTGACCCTTGGTTTGAGGATGGAGGAAATGATCTTCAACTTGGCCGACACGCACTTGTTTTTTAACGACCTGGAGGTAGGAAAAAAAAAACTTTTACGTTTATGCTTAAATTTTAAGAGAAGTGTTTAAAATTGCATTTTTGTTTGCACATTAACTTAAAGATTAATAAAGTTGCTCACTGAGATGTCACTACCGCCATCTAGTGGCAAAGTGAATATTGTTTAGATTCTGATTTATCCGCATGGACTTATGAGTGTTTGTGACTCCAGGAATGTGATCAGGTACATATTGATGACGTATCATCAGACGACAACGGCCAGGACTTAAGGTTAATATTTCATTTAATTTAGTTTGCATGATGACTTTTTTTCTACTTGAAATCTTTTTTCTTAAAATTGAATTAAACATTCTGATGATAATTAACAATAATCAAGTTTTTGTTCCACCAGAGCAGACTTTTCAAATAAAACATATTATTATTATTGACAGTACTTACAGTTTTGCAACTGATGGCTTCCATGCAGCTGCAACCAGCGCCAACCTGTGCCTGGCTACGGGGGTCCGTGGCGGGGTTGACTGGATGAGGAAGCTGGCCTTCCGCTACAGACGGGTCAAGGAGTTGTATAGCACTTACAAAAATAATGTCGGGGGTAAGCTAATACAAAAGCAGTAATTTTGATCTGTACTAGGAGAAAGGTGCTGTTCAAGAAGGGTTTTATTGTCCTAAAGTAACACCTGAGCAGTTTTCTGTTCCTCTGTCCTACTGGTTGAAAGTGGAATTATAAAGTCTGTCGTAAACAACCCTGCTGTAGCTATTGCTAACAACTAGCTAATGCTAACCCTAACCCCCAACTAATACTAAAATAATCCACAAAGTAAAAAGATCCACACTGTTGAACAAAAAAAAATTACAAGTCCAGAAACAACAAAGCCAGGTCACCATCAGTCCGTGATTTTGTAGCCTCTTTTAGCTCAAACTAACACAAACCCGGCTGATGTTCACTCTGATTTTAGCTCTTTACTTCACGTCCAATGACATTACTCTATTACTTTTACGTCCAGGCTTCACCATGATGCCAACAAAAAAAAAGCAAATTTCTTCTTTTTCTACTTGTGCTTTATATTGATGATTAGCGAACTGAAAAAGCTATATGTTAGCATTACAGCTAACAGCCATGAAGCAGGTAAAGACCTCCCCCTATAGAGCACCTACATGCTCCACAAAACTTAAGTGCAGTAACTGGCCAATAGAAGAAGAAAAGATCTCTTCTACAGCGCCTCTCAAGATAAAAATCACGAGGCGCTTCACAAAAACAAAAAATTTTAAATATTAAAAAGAATTTAGAAGGTGATTAAAAATATGTTTAAAATGAGCAAAAGTAGACTATTGTGATTAAAATATGTAAAGAAAGAGAGAGAGTGAATAGGAAAGAGGGAAATCGGTGGGTCCTGAGGAAGGTGGAATAGGTGGGGAGAGCAGAACCAGGAGAGGGTGATGAAGGTCAAGCAAAAGCCAGCTTGAACAAGTGAGTCTTCAGCTGCTTTTTAAAGGAGTCCACTGAGTCCACTGATCTCAGGCTCAGGGGGAGAGAGTTCCAGAGTCTGGGGGCCACAGCAGCAAATGATCTGTCACCTTTGACCTTTAGCCTGGTGCGCAGTAGAGGGCTGCAGAGTGGTGTTCAAAGTGAAGTTGGTGAAATTTCTACTCACACGGTCACTTAAACCCACTTTTGAAGGAATAGTTTAAAGTGTTAAAAAACTGTTTAGTGTTCCTTTAAAGCAGAAATGAAGATTTTTGTCAGATGGCACCATCTAGAGCAGGGGTGTCAAACTCATTTTAGCTCAGGGGCCACATTGAGGGAAATCTAGTCCCAGGTGGGCCGGACCGGTAAATAAAAAAAAACTTCAGATTGTTTTCTTTGTTTTAATACAATCAATATAAAACAAGGCTGGAGCCTGAGGACAGTGTAGTACAAGTACAACACCTGAAGTGTACTTGAAATTTTGAAAAAAAAAAAAAAAATAAATCAATCAAAAAAAAAATTCCTTAATGATTCAAAGAACTTACAGATCACATGGCAAGATCAGTTTCATGCAGCACTTAAAGCATATTTGACTCATTTAACTTTACATCTTTTAGCTTTCACCAGCACATCAATATCAGAAGTCACATCCTGAGTGGCAGCCAACTTCAGGATGTGATTCAAGTTCTTGTGTGAGCCTTGAGCGCAGCTTTGTTTTATTTATACTCATTACAGAGAAAACTTGCTCACAAAGATTAGTTTATTTTCACTCTACATTGTAAAGTATGAAAATAAAGTTTACACAACCATCTCGCGGGCCGGATTAAACCCGCTTGCGGGCCGGATCCGGCCCGCGGGCCACATCTTTGACACCCCTGATCTAGAGGCAGAAAATGCGTCGCACCTTAAGGCAAACTTTACCTCTGAAAACAATTTCTCGTGTTTCTATACCTCTGACCCTGTGACTCTGTTTTTGTGTGTTGTAGGTCTGCTGGGTCCAGCTAAAAGAGATGCCTGGCTGCAGCTCAGAGCCGAGGTGGAAGCTCTGACGGACTCCTGGCTCACCCACGCACTCAAGTCCCTGTCCATCATCAGCTCAAGGTGACACATTGTTTTACTTTTTTCCATTGTTGCTGATTTTTCTGTGTTCTTGAAGTAATCCCAACACGGCAACAGATTATGCACAGAAGTGGAAAAAATGGTGTGTTCTGTGTTCATGCCCACAGGAGTAACTGTGTAAACGTGTTGGTGACCACAACGCAGCTCATCCCGGCGCTGGCTAAGGTTCTTCTATATAGTCTCGGTTCCGTTTTCCCCATCGAGAACATTTACAGTGCAACAAAAATAGGTGAGGCTCACACACGCATGTACACACACAGTCATGGTTCAGATCACATAACGTGTGGAGCCTGAATCCTACCTGTTGCATTCGGCCCTTTGAACAACCTCAGTTTGTAGAAATAGATATAATCTCGTCATCTTGATAACATACGGCTAGTTGAAGTGGGTGCATTGCTATTAGGAAGTAGCTCTAATCTGAAAGAAATCATTGCATTTTGTATTTTTCTGCTTTTGATACCCTAGGATGGGGTTTACATACTTAAATAAATAGTTGCTTGTGGTATTTGCACTAGCAAAATAACGGACTTTGGACTAGTCATTAGCTTGTCACTGCGGTCAATCTGTTTTTCTCTAAACTGAGGTCATTCAAAAAGCTAACGACCACAGGTAAGATGAAATTCATACCTATAAACCGAATCAAACTTCAATAGATCCAGCTCTCTAATATATAAGAAGAAAGGATAATAAATAATTTATCTACAGTTAATTCAAATGTTTTGCCACATTTTTGACAATTGTTTTCTTTAAAGGTCAAAGTCACTGAAGAGGATTAGGGCCACTGAAAAGAAAAAAAGCAACTAAAGAGAATTTTGACTCTTTTTCTTAAAACTAATAGTCAGTATCCAAGAAAAGTCTGAATTTTCTCTTTGCTTTTCTGCGGCCCTAATCCTCTTCCGTACAAAGTTGTAAATAACAAGGTAACCGTAATTCAGTTACTTGGATTTTAAATGGCAGTTTTGCTTTTATTACATAGAAATGTGGTTATTTCTATTTGCTAATGATGGCGGCAGCTAGCTGTAGCATTTCTGGGTCACCTCCAGGGAGAATTTTATAATATTTTTCCTGAAGTATAGAATAAAATAGAAAAGTAATTTGTTGTTATACTCAAAGTTACAAATTACTTGAGTGTTCTCACCAAGCACTATGCACCACAGATAGTTACAGCAAAAGTAGGTAGCAAAACAATGAAATCTTATTTGAAAAACACAACCTATTTAATAACGGGTGAAATGGGAACCAGTTGTTGGTGTGAACTAAAAATACATTTGCAAATGAAACCATAGCTTGAAGTTGTTTGAAGATGAGCCATCCTTGCACTAGCCGTTAGCTTGTCAATGTGGCCAGGATTATTCTATATTTCTCCAAGCACAGGTCGTTCGAGGCTATTTCCACAGCAGGTAAGAATGGTTGATTCCACATAATTTGTTTATTTGAGCCTAAGTGCTGACATCTTTGGGCCCGACGAGCGTGGGAGAGCCATTAGGTGCGGCACATGTTTGTGTTGTGGCGCACGCCGCTCTGCCACTTCCTGTCACATCTCCATCCAAACAAATGGAAAACCTGTGAAAGCCGTTTGTTTTTCTCCAGGCAAAGAGAGCTGTTTTGAGCGTATAGTCTCCCGCTTTGGCACTAACATTACATATGTTGTGATTGGCGATGGGAAGGATGAAGAGCATGCTGCCAGCCAGGTAAACAAACAGCTTGTGAACTTTGACCCCTCTGACCATGTGACCCTCCTTCCTCCCCTTGTTTATTTGTTTTTTGCAGGGAAAGAGAGTTGCTTTGAACGCATAATGCAAAGGTTTGGCAGGAAAGTAGTGTATGTTGTAATTGGGGACGGTGTGGAAGAGGAGCAGGCGGCCAAAAAGGTAATGGACCCCCGAAACCTTAGCGTGACCCCGCCTACTCCGCACAGTGTGAGCTCTGATTGGACGAAACCTGCCTTTCTTTGCTGCAGCAGTTTTTTGTTTCTCTGGTCCACTGGCTTTTTGTTTTCATGGTGTGATGGGAACCTGGAGTGAATATCTGAGTTACAATCTGGCTTGGCTTATTGTGGATATTTGTACTATTAAAGCTGAAACGTCCCTCCAACACGGAACGTCTGAACAAAGATGACCTCGTTCAGAACTTTAATTCTTAATAAAATGTTTTGCCAAATGTACACAGTAACCAAGCTTTACATAATCACTTGTTTAGAGAATCATTGCTGCTTTTTCCAGTGATTTTAAATGTCCTTCCTATAGGTACTCTACATTAGAACATGTCTCCTTCAGAAAACGACTCCTTCCTCTTCAGCTTTGGGTTTTATTTGTGACACCTGGGGTCGTTTAAAGAACAATGCATTTTGGGAAATATTCCTATTTACTTCCTTGTTCGGTTAGATTGAAAAGACAGATAAAGACTGTTTACTTGGAACAAAAAGCTGGAAATATGGGGGGATTTTAAGCATAGCTGTTTTAAATTAAAAAGATGCTTTTAGAATCAAATGTCAAAATGTTTACAAACAGATCTTTGGATAAAGAAGTGGTTCACATGAACAGTTCAGGGAACATTTTCATTCAGCTGTGCGTGCTTTCACCAGTAATCCAAGTTTTTAAACGTTAAATAGAAAATCAGGAACTTTTTATTTGTAGGTATGAAATAAACCAGTTAGTGGTTAGAACTGGGTGAAAAAGTTTATATTTAACACACGGTTGTATTTACTAGGGATGCACTGACAGGAAACGGGCCGATATGTGCTGGTGTGTGTGTGTGTACACATTTATGCTTCAGAGACTAAACACAGGACTAAACAATTAAACATCAACGCCTCACTCTGTGAAAGACACAGAAACAAGATAGAAAACATATTGGTTAAGATCAGCCCAGTTTTATTTATGGGGCCGATACCCATGGTAAAAAATGACTAACATATCGTATTGATGCCAAATTACCGACGGGATTAAAAATGTATAAAAACTGTAGTTTTCTTAATTATCTAAAATGTGCAGAAATGTTCCTCTCGTCTAAAACGACCCAGAAGACCAGTACGTCTAGGAGCCACACCAACGTTTGAGTCGTCAGCCAGATTCTTCTGCCTGTCATGCAACTCAGAACAGGAGCTGCATATTTCCCAAAATGCTTCCGGATAAGACGTGCATGGGTTTGGTTTGCAGTGCCATTGCAGCTCCAGGCTATATAGATGGCGTAGCTTGCATGAGCTGAGGTGGTGGTCTTCCACTGCTGGAGCAGAACCTGTGGTTTTAATGGTGTGTGTTCACTTCACAGCACAACATGCCCTTTTGGAGGATATCCAGTCACTCTGACCTGCTGGCCTTGCACCAAGCACTGGAGTTTGAATACCTGTAAGGACTGTACCATTGTGGACTTGTGCATCGCTACCATGGAAACAGCCCTCTTTTGTACTATTTAAGAACAAAACTTAAGACTGCATCTTGTGTTTTTTTTTTAATCTTTTTCTGAATGTTTGGATTTACAAACTCTTTATGGTCTTAAGCAAAGAGGTTGGAGGTTAGAGGTCAGTGGGGTTTGGAGGAACTGGACTCTATGCACAGTGACCTGGATGCTGATACACTTCTGAAGAATCCAGTTTACCGTCCACGCAGCTGAGCCAGAAAAGGATCTTCTCAGAACCTGGAGCGTTTCTCTTCCTGTGACCTGGCGTTTATCTAGAGCAACAGACAGACATCCTCACCTAATGTTAATCTGAAGGCATCTGCATAGATTCTAATGTAAACTGGGATACTTTCTCCCTTCAAAGGGTTTTCTTCCTGGTGGTAAAACTCATGCAGTCCGCGGTAAAGAAATCTGTAAATTATTTCCAATAAACACAACAGTGGATGTTTGTTTCTTTTGTCAATAAAATTCTAGCTATTCTTTCCCTCCTGAATTCATAATCCCGACTTCATATCGAACAGCTTTAACACAAATCACCAGAGACAAAGCTTTTATTTCCACATTTTATTCACATCTCATTTCTTGGCTTTGAAGTATTCCTCAATCACATCCTTAGCTTGAGACTCTTTGCCATAATCCTGTAACCAGAAGAAAACGTTAAGATTAGCTAAACAAGTTCCGGTTATTTAAACATGTGGGTTTGGTGCAAGTAGGTGACCGGGATTGCACCATGGCCAAGACTTGGTATGAACAGCACCAAACCATTTGTCCTTGAACACAGAATGCCACGTTTTACTCTGATTACCTTGACAACAACACAGCTGCAGCCCACCACCTTGCGGGGTTTGCCCTCACGGTCGATCTTGCACAGACCAACCCACTCACCGAGCTTCTTGTTGTCGTCAACCTGAAATAGAAATTTAAGTCGATGGAGAGTCAAACAAGCAGTAGAAAGTAGGACTGTACTGAATAAATGGACGGTAAATACCCGTAAGCGCAAAAACAGTCGCCCACTAGATGGGGCTGTGGCAGCAGAATTGCTCCACATCCAGATTCATTGACACCATTATTCCACTAGATCTATTAATTGCTATCATTTTAATTGCTACCTAAAATACTGCAACCCTAATAGAAAATACTTTGGTTAAGATTGGTTGAAAAGCTAAAACACACTGGACAAGTATTAAAATAACTAAAATTTCCTACAAACAAAAAGTATTTAAGATACAATCTCAGTCTAAAGATGGAGATTACAGAGAGCTAGCCTGGCCTGCCAGACTCTTCCTCTGTTCTACATAGGGCTGCAACAACGAATCGATAAATTCGATGAAAATCGATTACTAAAAGCGTTGGCAACGAATTGCGTCATTGATTCGTTGTTGCGCAACTCTTCCAAAAGCCCCCTCCCCTCCTGCCCGCCGTTGCGCGCAGACCGGTGGAGAGCCGGCAGGTGTTTGTAAGAGGAACATGGCAGAAGCAGCGAGACCCCAAAAAAGTAAAAACTTCTAAAGTTTGGGAGCATTTTCAGTTAAATCAGGCGAAGACATTCGTTACCTGCAACGTTTGTAGGTCAGACTTAGCATGGCACGGGGATACTACGGTGATGATGCAGCGTCTTAAACGCAAGCATGTCAGAATCATCAGCGAGGAAGGAGAGAGCTCGGTGTCCGGGTAAGTTAAAAACTTTTCAAAAGTGATTCACCCAAGCCCCGGATTATTACACAGGCTAGACATGCCCTAAGCTCGTAAAAAAAGTCTATAAAACTGTAAGCGCGACGCTATTAGATAGGCGGGGGGGGGGGGGGGGCTCGCGCCGCTGCGAACCGGTTCCGCCGTCACATTCCCGCAGAAACTGGTTGATCACACCGGGGCCAGACTACTAACATGTGGCTTTACAACCACAATGTCCTCGAAGCGAAAACGCTTTTAAAAGGGAGGGAGGAGTCCTAACTGTTGCTGCAGGCGTGTTGTGTGAGAGTGCAGTTATATACTGGTTAATATATTTTTGGGTTCAGTTGCTTTCATGTGGCCTAATGTGAGTCTATTTGGGATCATTGGAATGATCAGCAGCATTTCTTGATGTGACTTTATGGCAGTTGCCCAGGGCATCATCACAAGGAGGATGGCATTCATTTACTTTTGTTTTATTTGGTATTTTTCAGTCATTTTTGGAAATAGTGATTAATTTTGATTAATTCACAGCCTATGTTTAATTACATTTAAAAATTAGTTGTTTGACATCCCCAGTTATAATAAATGTCTACAGATGAGATCAAACAAAACAGATGAGAATTGCCCTTAAAGAGCAAGTCACCCCCAAATAAACATTTTTTTGCTGATAAACTAAATAAACGAGTGTCTAATCGTGCTGCAGACACGTGTTGTCAATAATTTGGCACTTCAGTGCATCTTAGTTAAAATTTAAATATTCTGCCTAAAACTGGCAGTGTTGTGCCGTTGTCAGGTAAAAACTCTGCACTGTATTTTAATTTAAATCTGCCACCGCTATTGGCTAAGAAGTATGCTATGATGTAAACTGGTACATTATGATGTCACAGTGCTGTCGTGAGCCTGAGTGTGTGTGTATTTGTTAGCGGCTCCGCCCTCTCGGTCTGCCAGGCAACAGCATGTGTTGCATTTTTCAAACATGAAGCGGGAGTGGAGTTAGACTCTGGTAGGGGTTGACTTGCTCTTTAAGCTGTTTAACTTGGACCAAGCATTTTAGGTCACAGATAGGTGTAGCTTAGGGTCTCTGTCTATACACCTTATAAGCCAATTTAGGTGATGGCATGTTGTTTTTCTGCTATTGAACTGTTTTCTAATAATGTTGTGTTTAATAAAGTGAAGGAAGGAGAAAAATAACGTTTCCCTAGCAGTTTTAAAAAAAATGTCCCTATGTAATCCGATTAATCGATTAATCGTGTCGAGACCCCATCCGATTAATCGATTATCCAAATAATCGTTTGTTGCAGCCCTAGTTCTACACACAACCAGTCTGCTTACTCACAGGCAGAGGCACAAAATAACCAATCAGAAAAAAGGCAGAGATGTATCACGCAACTATTTTTTTAGCTGTAGCCAAAAATGGTGTCTGGCAACCGTGCAAACATTTTTTTTTTTTTTTTTTTTGAAGAAAGGCTTTAAGCACTTCTACTTGTTTTAAAGACATCCACGTCCTTTAGAACAGAGGAAAGAGTCTCAGCGAACTCCACTTCAGACGCAGTCCTTGTTTGAGAAACCGAGCGTTGCGGTGTGACGTACGCAGCTCAGCGCTGCTCGACTCGGTTAAAATTCTCAGGGTTATTTGGGTTGGAGTTTTCAGACCCAGCGGCTCCCATAAGGAAGCACGGGGCGGGCTGGTCAGGCTAACAGAGCTGCATCATGTGAATGTTGTCACATTTGAGTCGTTACCAGAATCACAATAAAATGTGTTCGTACTACCGGCAGTACCTTGACTTGTTGCTACAGTATTTCTGCAAGTTTACATCGGTCTTTTGATCTCGTCACACATCATCATCTCTGAATCCATAACGCTGACGACTCTACTGCTCTGTGTCTCAGCCTCTTAAAACGGGACATCAGTAGCCTACTCACTTATGTTTTTTTAAATACCAGACAAGCGACAGGGTCAAAATGACATCAGTAACAGCCAAACTTCAGTGATGTTACATTTTTGGTTTAACGCCCTGACAAACTAGAAACTACCAGTTGAGAAAACAGTTCGACTGATACTTTTATCAGTTTAGCTCTACTCAGTCTGCTTTTATAATTCCATATAGATGAACAGAGCGTACTGGTCTGTATCTCAGACAGAAATTGGGTAACAATGGCATTCTCCTCACAGAGTTCAGCAGAGGGAGCCAAGTTATCATCAGTGATACAGCCGCACAAAGCTACAATAAAGACTCCAACCTAAAGAGCCGGCGTTATGATCCCTGATTCTGGATCTTTACCTTGATCAGATTAATCTGATGCTCAGCGCAGAGGGCCTCCACCAGCTTGACGTACATGGGCTCATCACAGTTGGCTGCCAGGACACAGAGATGGGCCTGACGCCTGCAAGCAACACAGGACCAAACGTTTAGGGTTTCTGCATGTGTCGTGCAGAAGAAACAAAGATTTCATGAAAAACAAACAATTTTAATACTTAAGTTGTGCTCAAAAGTTCTGAGTCCTGTTGTGGTCTAGATATGATGGCCAAAACTACTCAATCTGAGCCAGATGAACTCCAGCTTTGTCCTTAGAACATGCTCTTACCATTACAGAACAAAAACCCATTCTTTATTGAAACACTTCTCTAATCGGTGGCTCTTAAAGGGATAAATCTAACAATAATTGCATTAATTGTTAAGTGATTAATAGGGTATCTGTCTTTAAATAAGTGACCATATTCACTTGATTTAAAACAAATAAAGCCTACAAGTATTTCTGTATGAGACATTTAGTACAGGAAACATTCATAAACAAAATAATAATAATAAAATAAATAATCTCGACCTGAGCATCTCTCTTTCTGTGATTTTACAGAAAAACAGGCAATCACAGTAAAAATGCCAGGGCTCACTCTACAGAACCAGGGCATTGCAGGAGAATGTATGAAGAAGGTATTTATTATTTCTATACATGTTTTGGCTGTCAAACTTCCATAATGTCCCTTTAACAACCGATATTTTTTCTCCATCTCGTCTCCATTTGTTTACCTGTTTCAGAGGGTGATGTGCATTTGTTTAGTCATGTGAACAGTGAATGAAATCATCTCAGAAACGTAGGTGTGTGTGTTGTGTGAACATAACATACATTCAGCTTTAATAATTTAATTTTAGACAAAATCTGATGATTTTAGAAGCATTAATGTCAGTATCAGCAAATATCGGTTATCGGCCACAACAGTGATCTTAATATCGGTATCGGCCCCAAAATTTCATATTGGTGTATCGTTACCAAATATTCTCATGTGTACTGGTCTGTATCTCAGACAGAAATTGGGTAACAATGGCATTTTCCTCACAACGTTCAGCAAAGGGAGCCAAGTTATCATCAGTGATACAGCCGCACAAAAGGACCTTAAGAAACCCACACACCTTCATGGTATAATTATGAAGCACTCACTTGTCCAGGGCCTTGGCAGCCTCACGGATACCGCGGGCAAGGCCATCGTGGATGAGAGCGGTCTTGAGCACTTCAGGGAGAGCGGTGTTGACATCCATCACACCTCCGGCAGCAGTGCTGTGAAGACGGAGAATCTTTATCTTTGTAAAACAAGTGTAATATGAAGGGGAAGAGTGTGGTTCTACTGAGCTCCTGGCCTGTCAGACGGAGGATCTCACTCATTGGAGAGTGAAGGGGTATCCGACAAAGTGTGAATCATCATTCAAGCAACCGAGCTCGACCACAGAAAACCACCAAGTTAAAATAAATGAGTTTTCAGACCAGACACAAGAAAGATAACTGCATTTTAGTCATCTAGTCATTGGATGCTTTTGTTTACAGCTTTAAGAAATAAAAATTAGTTTTAAGTCATGCAATTACATTTATCACAACAAAAAGGTTTGATTCTGTATCTGGTCATTTTAAAAACACTTTTCATGTCACATCACGAAGCCAACTTATCTGAATGAAGCATTCAAAATGTAATATAAATAGAGCTCCATGCTGCTATCTTACGTAGTTCTTCCCATAAATATCCTCTTTGCTCAAAAATGAGCTTTGGGGGGGGGGGACGCTTCATGGTTTCAAGTTGCCTCTTAGTTAGCTTAGTTGCGATGTAAGGCTAATATGCCTTTAAAAATGCATACAACCGTAGTACAGAGGCACAGATATTTATCTTAACATGACCCTTTCCGACCCGCATATAAAGTCGATTTAGTCAGAGCTAATTTAAGACCCGTTGGTTCTGCTTGGCATAAACAAGTGAGGATGCTCACCCTTCCTCGGCCATTGTAGATTTGCGATGGATGGCGGACCTAAAGTTCTGCAATATAACAAAGACACAGCAGAGATGTTACCACACATCACGGAAAAAGCAATGTTGTGGGTTTATAATGTCAGATGATTGAAAAATAGAACAGATTGTTCCGACAGTTGGACAAACGCACCCTATCCTTCTCTCGGGTACTTTGGAAAGAGGACGTCACATTTCAGCGACAGCGGTTTAATGCCGTCAGGCCCCAACCGCGCCACATTTAGGCATCCAGCGTGATGCCTGTTTTAATACTAAGTAAAAAAAAATATACTCAATGAAAAACAACTGTAGTTTATTAGAACATGTTATTCACCTTCTTTTAAAGCAGGGGTGCACGATCCTGGTCCTGGAGAGTCAGTACACAGCACGTTTTAGTATTTTTTCTGCTTCATCACAGATGCATTAGTGGTTGATTCACCTGTTAAGCAGCTCTACAGAGGCCTGTTAATCACCTATTGATTGAACCAGGTGTGTTGAAGCAGGGAAACACTATACCGGCAGTTTACACAGCCACAAATAAATCAGAAATTTAAGTTTCACAGTGTGATGGAAAATATAAATAGGCCAATTTGTTGTTTATGATCAAAAACAGCTAAACATTTATTGGATTTTATATTTAAAACAATTAGCCTGTTGAAGATCATGTTTGCTAAAAACAAATATGTAGGCTATGTTTTATTTATTTATTTATTTATTATTTATTTCTTGCTGCTCAACCGGTAATCATCCCAATCGCCCTAAGTAAAACACAGAGAAGTTGTTACAAGCCATAAGGAGCATTTGTGCTTTATATTTTATTTCTGTTCCAAGTTATTCTAAGATCTGTCATATGTTATTCAACAGCACCTCAAACAGAAAATGAAAAGAAACATTTACACTTCAACAACGTCCGACAAAACATGAACAAACAATCTTCCACTCAAACATGCACACATTTTTATTTGCTTTGTTCAGGAATACAGAGGAATCCCACATCGCTGCTCAGCATTACTTTTTGATTTTAAGGAAATTCTCTAACAGCTCCATCTCAACTGCATTCTCGAATGCCTCAAAGTCCTGAAAGAAAAACAAGAAAACTTAAATTAAGAATAAATTTGTAGAGATTATTTCAGCAGTTTACACTATGTATGTATCAAGCCACAGGGTGGTTCACACTGCAAATATTTCTTTAATCCCCGTGTCACATCTTACATTTCTACATGCTATCTTGCACACCAGACACGTAAGATTTAAACAAATTTAAATGTAAATCCAGTACATCATCACATCCACAATACTGCTGCTGTTTTCAGATTAAACTTACTCCACAGTACACGTTGTCGTTGCAGATTTGTGGAGGCAGCGCTGTCGGGTTGCCTGCCAGCTTCCTCATTAAATCCTTCTCACTTGGATTCTGAGAGATGTCCACCACTTTGAAGGGGATCTTCTTGGCTGTCAAGACGTCTGTGATCCTGTCTTGTTGCTTTTTTATCTGGAAGAAAAAGTGTTTAGTACATTAACAGTTGCAATATTGCAACTCCAGTCATACCTGATAGATTTGTTTTGCTGTCTAACCCGCTATTCTTTGCAGAGAAAAGTCCTAGTAGATGTGGAAATATTAAAGCAGGACTTAGTTAAATAGACCTTGTCATTTGAGTATAAGGAAAAAATAGACAAGAAAGATTCTGTACTATACCTTCTGAGAACCGCTCACACTCGTCCAATACACAATTAGAGGCATGACTGCTGCTTGAATAGTAGTAAATCAAAAGTAAAGATAGTAGCAAAGGTTCACAGAGACAAAAGAACAGAGCACTAGTTAGTTGAGGACTGTCTGAAGGTATGTGAGTCTGCTGAAGCAACAGACAAGGTGAGCAGGTTTAGACACAGTTTACCTGGCTGCATGGACACACCCATTCGTCTAGCTGTTCCAGTCGGGGCTTGTTTTATGTCAATTTCTCTCTCTCTCTCTCTCTCTCTCTCTCTCTCTCTCTCTCTCTCTCTCTCTCACTCACTCACTCACTCACTCACTCACTCACTCACACACGCGCACACGCACACGCGCGCACGCGCACGCACACACACACACGCACGCGCACACACACACACACACGCACACACACACACACCTTGTGGTACATTGCTTAAGCTCATATTGGCATCATTATTTGAAGTGGGTGTTCCCTCACAAAGATTTTCATCATTGTGATTTTTAATCACATTTCTTCTTTAACACCTTTAAACTGCAAGTTCCAGTTGGTTACATTTCACATAACTAAGTGACATGAAGGGCCTTTTTAAGCTGTGACATAAACAGTCTCATGGTGAAGAGAAAGCTTCAAGAAGACGAAGATCTTGATAAACTGGTTGATCTACCTCTCTGCTCTCGTCTATGGTCTTGAGCTTTGGGAATGAGATCGTGGATACAAGCGGCCAAAATGAGTTTTCTCCGCAGGGTGTCTGGGCTCTCCTTTGGAGATAGGACGAGAAGCTCTTTCATCTTGGAGGGGCTCACAGTAGATTTGCTGCTCCTCCACATCGAGAGGAGCCAGTTGAGGTGGTTCAGGCATCTGGTCAGGACACCTCCCTGGTGAGGTTTTCTGGCCAAATCCAACCGGGAGGTGACCTGAAGTGAAACCCAGGAACATCTTGGAATTTCCCCAGAGGAGCTGGCCCTAGGCCTCTCTGCTTAGGCAGCTGCCCCTGCAACGCGACCCCAGATATAAGGATGAGGATGGATGGAGTATAAAAGGAAGGATGTGATTGCTCTCATAACTCCATTGCTTGGTTCTTTTCTAAACAGCATAATAAAGATTTGTTTTCACCTTTTAAGCTGACAAATTTCGGCTAACACTGTAGCCTTCCTCAGAGCATTGCTGGCATTGCTCTGAGGAAGGCTACAGTCACTAGAAGTAGAGATAACGGGGTAGATTGGTGTACAGCACACGCCTTGTGACTTTTATCTTGAGCGGCACTATATAAAAGATTTTTTTCTTCTTTTTCAACTTCTCTCGTGTATCTAACATGCTGTTGATGTTTTAACACATCTGAATCTTAATATAATGTTCGTTAACTGAGTCAAACCAATCAAAATAAGGATTTTGTAAGAACCAAAAAAATGTCCATCACCACATAAGAAGCAGCAAATTACTGTTTAATACAAAGACAACTTTAATATCATGCAAATGGCAAATTTCATTTTACAGATTCTTAAACTTGAGGGCTGGACATAAGAAAGATTAGATAGTGATGAGAACAATAGTTAAAAATAGGATGATTTAAATGGCATCATTTAAAAAATTGACATGAAAAACTAGATTTTAACTTCTGCAAAGATTTTAATTAGTCTCATAAATAATCATCTTAAACCATATAGAAGACACAAAAGCAAGACTGGTTTTCAAATGATTCTGTATGATTAAACACCAATCTAAATACAATTTTTTAATAATATTTTTGTTGCTATTTTCTTTTTACCACCCTTACTTTCCTATTTTTGCAGAGGTCTGCACCAACTTGTGTCAGTGTCTTGTCACAAATCCCACCCTCAAATGCTGCCTTTCATCCTGATGTAGTGCTGTAAATCAAACGAAGCCTCTAATAAAAGGAGTAAACGGCTGCTTCAGTCTTGTCATCATCACGGATCAACCAAAGGTTCCAGCTCGTAACACACTCGTCCTGCCAGGTCTTCAGGGACTCTCTCAACAACGCCCTCAGACTCAACTCCGCTGTTGGTGGTTACTGGACTGCTGTGTTGTCGACGTTCATAAATCTGGTTTGTGCGTTCCCTAAATAGAATCAGGGTGATGAGAAACATATTACAAGAAAACAACATCCAGCTTGTTTAAAGGGATACTAAGCAGTTTTGCTTGCTTTTAACGCCTCCTAGTGCCCGTTTGCGGAAGCAAAACCATCTCCTTGCTCAGTTGCGTTCATCTTTTTAACACCTTAATCTAACAGCTGAAATGTCTCCCAGCATTCCTAAATCTCTAGAGGAGTGATTCGTCACTACATTAAACAAATCAGCTGTGTTTATCAGCAGCAACAGGTAGGTCAGCTCATTTTTTTTTCTAATAGCTCTTTTCCATCGCTGGGTCTGGTACAGTTAGGTCTGGTTATTTTTGGACAGGTGCCTTCCGGTATGGGTCTGGAATTTTCAGGCGAGTGTTTAGATCGCAGTTTGGGCCATCACTTCGGCAGGCGGGGTTCAACGAACCGTCATGCGTGATTTTTTAAGTTGTACAACTATTTGGTATTTTTGTACTGCAATAAATGGTCCACAGAGCTAAAGACAAAAACAAAATGCTTACCACAGCCTCCACATGTGACTACAGAGTGCAGCCGCTAAGTCCAGATGCCTGCCTCGCTGTCTTGTCTATAAATAGCATCTAGTGCATTGTAGCAACTCCGTGTATTTCTCCCATCCAAAAAATAAAATCACTCCGGGTGTTTCTGTCCTTAACTTTTCACTATACTGGGCTTTAAAGTGACAATGCGTAGTTTTACTGTTAACCTCTGTAAATATCAAAAATGTTGCTGGAAAATTTATTAAATGATGCCCAGTTGTTGAAACATTTTGTCAACTTTGTAACATATAACCATAAAATCAGGTCTAAAATACGGCCATGCAGACTTGGGTGAAGGGCATTACCCACAATTCATTCAATTCGCATTTGGGAGGGCGGAACCCCAGCACCCTCTGTGGATGAGCCGCCAAGGGGGCCCAACGTGATATATTTTCATGGGGCCCAAAATCTCTGGCAGCCCCCCTGGTTGCAAGTAGTGACATATTTCTGTGTATGTGCGAAATTCTGGCCACAGGGGGCGATAGGGGCTGGGTGACCTTTCATTTACCCATCTTGAATTGCTGATAAATTTTCTTCACACAACCACAAAGCAGATGATACAAAATACACATTTGGAAAAATTGATCGTCAGGAACATTATTGTTTAAGCAGAAGCCATTCTAGTGTCAGAATCAAATGTGCTCCTTATTTCCTACCTTTCATCAACCACCCCATTGCTTTGGTCCTCTGTGTCTTTTATTCGTTCTTGAAACTTGCTGCTAAACTGAACCATGGTCCCTGAAAAGTGGGATAAAATCAGAAGCATCATTTCTCATTTTGAGAGGGTAAATGTACTTACCACAAAAGCCTCGATTTCAGCAAATAAAAAAAATTATCCTGGACAATCCTCAATCTATGATAAATCATAGAACAAATAATACAATCGAAACAATTTAGAACTAGATGACAAATATGAAAACTTTGTTTGCATACACATATAGAAAACAATACCCCCTCAGGAGGAGCAAAGTGAATTTCGTTCTGACACTGGACCAGCTCTATGCCCTTAGGGGGTTCTGGGGTGTGTGTGGGAGTTCACCCAACTAATCTACAGGTGCTGGCCAGTAAATTAGAATATCATCAAAAGGTTGAAAATATTTCAGTAATTCCATTCAAAACGTGAAACTTGTACATTATATTCATGCAATGCACACAGACCAATGTATTTCCGATGTTTATTACGTTTAATTTTGATATTTATAAGTGACAACCAATGAAAACATCAAATCTGGTATCTCAGACAATTAGAATATTCTAAAGGCCAATGAAAAAATGTTTGTTTCTCTAATGTTGGCCAACTGAAAAGAATGAACATGAAAAGAATGTGCATGTATAGCACTCAATACTTAGTCGGGGCTCCTTTTGCCTCAATAACTGCAGTAATGCGGCGTGGCATGGACTCGATCAGTCTGTGGCACTGCTCAGGTGTTATGAGAGCCCAGGTTGCTCTGATAGTCGTCTTCAGCTCCTCTGCATTGTTGGGTCTAGCGTATTGCATCCTCCGCTTCACAATACCCCATAGATTTTCTATGGGGTTAAGGTCAGGCGAGTTTGCTGGCCAATCAAGGACAGGGATACCATGGTCCTTGAACCAGGTGCTGGTGGTTTTGGCACTGTGTGCAGGTGCCAAGTCCTGTTGAAAGGTGAAGTCTGCATCCCCATAAAGTTGGTCAGCAGCAGGAAGCATGAAGTGCTCTAAAACTTCCTGGTAGACGGCTGCATTGACCCTGGACCTCAGGAAACAGAGTGGGCCAACACCGGCAGATGACATGGCACCCCACACCATCACTGACGGTGGAAACTTTACACTGGACCTCATGCAACGTGGATTCTGTGCTTCTCCGCTCTTCCTCCAGACTCTGGGTCCTTGATTTCCAAAGGAAATGCAGAACTTGCTTTCATCAGAAAACATAACTTTGGACCACTCAGCATCAGTCCAGTCCTTTTTGTCCTTGGCCCAGGCGAGACGCTTCTTGCGCTGTTTCTTGTTCAAGAGTGGCTTGACACACGGAATGCGACACCTGAATCCCATGTCTTTCATGAGTCTCCTCGTGGTGGTTCTTGAAGCGCTGACTCCAGCTGCAGTCCACTCTTTGTGGATCTCCCCCACATTTTTGAATGGGTTTGTCGTCACAATTCTCTGCAGGGTGCGGTTATCCCTAGAGCTTGTACACTTTTTTCTACCACATTTTTTCCGTCCCTTCGCCTGTCTGTTAATGTGCTTGGACACAGAGCTCTGCGAACAGCCAGCTTCTTTAGCAATCACCTTTTGTGTCTTGCCCTCCTTGTGCAAGGTGTCAATGATTGTCTTTTGGACAGCTGTTAAGTCAGAAGTCTTCCCCATGATTGTGGTGCCTTCAAAACAAGACTGAGGGACCTTTTAAAGGCCTTTGCAGGTGTTTTGAGTAAATCAGCTGATTAGAGTGGCAGCAGGTGTCTTCTATATTCAGCCTTTTCAGAATATTCTAATTTTTTGAGATACCAAATTTGGAGTTTTCATTAGTTGTCACTTATGAATATCAAATTTAAATGTAATGAACATTGGAAATACATTGGTCTGTGTGCATTGCATGAATATAATGTACAAGTTTCACGTTTTGAATGGAATTACTGAAATATTTTCAACCTTTTGATGATATTCTAATTTACTGGCCAGCACCTGTACATGCGTTTTGTGGATTTGGAGAAGGTCTTCGACCATGTCCCTCGGGGGGCCATATGGAGGTTCCTTTTGAGTATTGGGTATCAGGCCCCTTGATATGGACTTTTAGGTCCCTGAATGGCTGATACCACAGCATGGTACCAAGTCAGGCTCATTCCCAGTGAGGATTGGACTCCGCCAAGGCAGCCCTTATACACCAAATCTGTTCATAACTTTAAAGCAAAGGATTTCTAGGCGCAGTCAAGGTGTTGAGATTTGTTTTGGCGGAGTAAGGATCGGGTTTCTGGTTTTTGGAGATAATGTGGTCCTGTTTTTTTCAAAAGAACATGATCTCTAGCTTTCACTGGAGTGGTTCGCAGCCAAGTGTGAAGCAGCTGGGATGAGAATCAGGAGGACACGTCCAACCAAGAGGAGACCTACAAGAAGACCCAGGAAATTCTGGAGGGACTATGTTTCTCGGTTGGCCAGGGAACATCTTGGGATTCCCAAGTGGCCGGGGAGAGGGAAGTCTGGATCTCTTTACTTAGGCAATTGCCCCAGTGACCCAACTCCAGATAAGTGAATGAAAATGGATGAATGGATATAGATATCATAAAATGCATATATTGTGAATTTTACCTGCAACTCTCCATTTCTTTCTCCAGACCCAGTAGCCGATAACCAACACAACAAGCACAATCACTAAAAAACTCACAACACCCGCTACGACCGAAGAGGATGATGTTGCTGCAGGGATTAAAAGTTTACCAAGTATTAGTGAACAAGAAAACTCACTAGAATAAAAATAACACTAAAACAGCAGAAGAGTTACTTCTTGGGCCTTACCAATGACCGTGACCTGGAGTGACTTTGAGGGAAGAGATTTGAAGGATGCTGAGGAAATGTTAATCCCGTACACACAAGCGTACTCTCCTGAGTCTTCAACGTCTATTTCTGGAAATTCAAAGTATGCCATGTAGAAGATGGAGTGGCCGAATGTTTGAGGTGATTTGGTAATGTTCGTCTTGGACTTTATTAGATAGAAGACACCATCTGGGAATGTGGAATGAGTAGAGCAAGTGATGGAGAATGCACTTCCTCTGGGTACCGATATCTTCACAGGACTGTAGATCACCATTGAGTGAGCGGATGTCAGGGAGATGCTGGGCTTTTCCAACTTCACTGCAAGGCAGAGGTAGATTGTAATTAATAAGTGTTGAAAATTTACTGTGAACAATATTTAATTCACTGTCAATCTTCATTTTTATTCACCAATGACTGAAAGATCAGCAGTATTTCCTTGAGGATAATAGATGATTCCTTGTTCAGGTAGTTTCTTCTGATATTCACAGAAGTACGACCCATTAAGGCTGAAGTCCGCTTTAGGGAAGATGAAGTTTGCAGCTTCATGATCGGAGAATTTCTCCATTTTTATTGAGCCTTGGCTGTTTTTCAACACGAATGTCCCACCCAAGTGTTCGGTTGATACAGTGCAGGTGATTTCCACTTTCTCCCCCCAGTTTACCACTGATGATGGACTTAAAGTAATTTGGGGCTTCTGTAGATCACCTGGAAGAAATGTGTAGAACCATCACACTTTATATTAGAGGAAAAGGGTCCTTTGTGGCTTTAAAGTGAATAAGGTTTCTTACCTAAACAGATGACGCTGGCATCTTCACCGTGACCGCAGTTATTTTCTCCAAAACCACGATGTGTACAGTGTGTGAGAGCAGATTCTTGGCCTGTACACTCCACATTATCTAACCATATTGGACCAGAGCCTCTTCCAAAATGAGCATTCCCTGGAGCAAAGACTGCATGACCACAACCGATCTGTCTACAAACAACATCAGCATCGCTCATTTCCCAGTCGTCATCACACACGGTACCCCACTGGCTTTTATAGTAGACCTCCACTCTTCCAGAACATTGACCCGAACCGCCAACCAACCGCAGCTGTGCTGCACATTAAAAGAGAAACATTTAGCACAAATGTAAAGGAGACAACAGTTCATAGTAAAACATTTCCCAACAAGTGATCAGAGTTGACAACAGCACGAAAAAATGAATGGTCATCTAAAATCCATGTTCTGGAGACAAAAAATCTGAATCAATTTAAGATTGAAACTGAGGTTCTTCCTTTTTTAATGCTTTGGTTTTAGTTAAATATTTTATTGAAGGCTTTCACACCAAAGGCTGCAAAACTGACTGCACTGAAACCCATCCATCTGCACAGCAATAGTTTTGTGTATTAAGCAAAGTGCAAGCATGTCATTTTGTGAAGCTTGGTGCATCAAAAATCATGCAAAGTGAAAGTACAATTTGGTAAAGAATCAGTTTGGTTTGAAATGCCCCAAACAAAGCAAAATATATACCATCAGTTTGGAGACAAATGATGCATTTACACTTTGATCAGTTCAGCCTGAGCTGGGTGGAGATAGCATGCAACCATGTGGCCAAGTTGTGTTTACACAGCCTTCTCAGAATGTGGGTGAGGACATAAGCGAACTTTGCTAAAGTGGCGCATAGAATTCTGTGTCATTCCTAACTTAGCAGCAGTCCCGTCCCTTCCTATCAGCAGCACACGCACTGTGTGCAGGGCCTTGTGAGCCCTGAGTGATCTCATCTTGCACAAGACAACACATTCTCTTCCATGAGGCGTTTTGCATGCCAAGCACTTACAGAGAGAGCCAGCCAATGAAAAAGAGAGAAAATTAAATAACTAGTTACAGACACCACTAACGCAGCCCCCAACTCCCGTTGGACACTTTCTGCCACCAAACCAAGCTGCCAGAACCCCTGACAAAAATTTTATGATGGGTGTTACGTCCCCTCTGGCGTCTAGGAGTGCCGAGGGGAGAACACAAAGAAAAATAAAATTATGTAAAATAAAAGGGAATGAATACAGAGGGATTCGGTACTGCGCTGCTCTGGGTGGCTGCATGTTGGAGTAGCTCTGTTGACTATATGTAAGTTTAGCCTTTTCTTGGACATTTTTTCTTCTAGTTTCTCAAGAAAAACTGTATTTTTTGAATATTTTACTTTTCTGTTTATGGTGCTGTGAAGCTAAGAGGATTTTTACTGCTATTTTTTCACTTTTTTCACTTTTGAGCATTTGTTGTGATGCGTAACCATGGCAACAAGCTAGTTTACAATCGGGAGCAGCTGATTATCATCGAGAAGGCTCAAATAATACGTCAACTGAAGCCACAAATCCCAAATGAGCTAAAATGCAAGAAGCGTGGGTGCAGAGCGGGAGCAAAACGTAGACAGAGAAAGAGGAAATTCAAACCATCTCTTCCATCGATCATAATGGGCAATGTGAGATAACTGGCCAACAAGATGGATGAACTCCAAGCCCTTTCAAGGACTCAGCCAGAGCATGGGCAGTGTAGTGTTAAGTGTTTCACTGAGACGTGGCTGCAGGGCCATATCCCCGATTCCAGCGTCTCTCTGCCAGGATTCCTGACTGTACGATCAGACAGAGATCTGAAGAGGAGCGGGAAAAGAAAAGGAGGTGGAGTGGCAGTCCTTGTCAACAACAGATGGTGCCATCCAGGTCATTTTTCAGTGAAATGTTGTCTCTGCAGCCCAGATGTTGAACTCTTGGCAGTAAGTTGTCGTCCATATTATTTGCCAAGAGAGTTGACCAGTGTTGTCTTGGCAACCGTTTATATTCCACCTTCAGCTATTGCTGAAAATGCATGTGATGCCATCAGTTCCGTTGTCGCTAAGCTACAAACCCAGCACTCCAATGCATTTGTGGCTATATCTGGTGATTTTAATCATGCCTCGTTCTCTGCTACACTTCCAACATTTAAACAGTTTGTCAGCTGCTCCACCAGAGAAAACAAGACATTGGATTTGTGTTATGCAAATGTAAAGAATGCATACATGTCCAAAACAAGACCTCCTCTGGGACAATCAGATTACAATCTTGTTTTTCTCTGCTCAGAACACAAAGCACTTGTTCAGAGGCAACCTGTGACAAGAACTGTGAGAAAATGGTCACAGGACACTGAAGAAGCCCTGCAGAGTTGTTTTGAGACCACAGATTGGATGACTCTCTGCCAAGGATATGAAGAGGATATCAATGCCATGACTGGATGTGTCACTGACTATATAAACTTCTGTGTGGACAACATCATACCCACCAGAACAGTGAGATGCTTCGCTAATAACAAACCCTGGATCACCAGTGAACTGGAGAATCTGCTAAATGAGAAAAAAAGAGCCTTCAAGGAGGGAGACAGGGAATTATTGAGGAGTATACAGAAGCAGCTGACGATCAAGATCAAAGACAGCAAGGAGGCATACAGGAAGAAGCTGGAGAACAAACTACAGAGGAACAATATCAGAGATGTCTGGTCAGGGATGAAGAAGACCACAGGCTTCAAGCAGAGGAAGGATTGCACAGATGGCAGCCTGGACACAGCCAATGAACTGAACAAGTTCTTCAATAAGTTCAGTTCAGGAACAAACCCAGCATCCTCCTCGCCTGTCCCCAGCCAATCAGACATCCCATACTCCTCTGATCCAACATTTTCCTGTCACACGCCAGCTCTTTTGTCCTCTAACACAGTCATGGACTCTTCTGGTTCTATAAATCTGTCTTCACCAAGTCAGGAGATGCTGCTGCCCCATTTACCTCCCCCTCCCACCTATCTGTCTCTAGAAGTCAGGTGAAGAGGCAGCTGGAGAGACTGAACAGGAGCAAGGCTGCAGGTCCAGATGGTGTCAGCCCCAGGGCACTGAAGGCCTGTGCAGAGCAGCTCTGTGGGATTCTGCAGCACCTCTTCAACCTCAGCCTGGCCCAGGAGAAGGTTCCAGTCCTGTGGAAGACATCCTGCCTTGTTCCAGTTCCAAAGAAAACTCGCCCATCAGTCAATGACGACTCCAGACCGGTTGTCCTGATCCCACATCATGAAGGTCCTGGAGAGACTCCTGTTGGTCCACCTGAATAAGCAAACTAGAACATATCAGGACCCACTGCAGTTTGCTTATCGCCATGGAGTTGAAGTTGAAGATGTCATCATCCAGCTGCTTCAACCAACCCACTGTCATCTGGACAAAGCAGACAGCACTGTCAGGGTAATGTTCTTTGATTTCTCCAGTGCATTTAACACAATCCAGCCTGATGTACTTTGCCAGAAACTCCAGAAGACACAGGTGGGGGCCTCAACTATCGCCTGGATTAAAGACTACCTGACAAACAGACCACAGTTTGTGAGGCTGAAGAACTGCACATCAAACCAGGCGATCAGTAACATTGGAGCACCACAGGGGACTGTACTCTCACCATTCCTTTTCACCCTGTACACCTCAGACTTCCAGGACAAGTCAGAGACCTGTCATCTACAGAAATACTCAGATGACTCTGCAGTTGTCGGGTGTATCAGAGATGGACAGGAAGCTGAGTACAGAGAGCTGGTGGAGCGCTTTGTGGCATGGTGTGGAAACAATCATCTGACCTTGAACGTGAACAAAACAAAGGAGATGATTTTAGACTTCAGAAGAAACAGGGTGGAGTCAAACACTGTTTCCATCATGGGAGAAGAAGTGGAGGTGGTTGAGGAATACAAATACCTTGGAGTTCACCTGGACAACAGACTGGACTGGAGAAAGAACAGCGAAGCCGTTTACAAGAAGGGACACAGCAGACTGCACTTCTTGAGGATGCTTAGGTCCTTCAATGTCTGTAGCAAGATGCTGCACATCTTCTACAAGTCTGTTGTTGAGAGTGTAATCTCTTCAGCCATCGTCTGTTGGGGTAGCAGCATCAGAAGCAGGGACCTGAAAAGGCTCAACAGCCTAATAAAAAAGGCTGGTTCTGTTCTGGGGACGACTGTGGAACCGCTGGAGGAGATAATGCAAAGAAGGATTCTCCAGAGAATCAAGAAAATGATGGACAACCCTGAGCATTCTCTTCACAAGACTGTCAGACAACGGAAGAGCGTCTTTAGTCAGAGGCTTCTTCAGTTTGGCTGCAACACTGACCGCTACTGGAGATCCTTCCTGCCAACAGCCATTGTAATATACAACAACTCTTTGATGACTTGATTATTATTATTATTCTGAGCTACTACAGCAATCAATTTCCCTCTGGGATTAATAAAGTATTTTTGAATTGAATTGAATGGTGTCTGGTTATGATGGTGATGAATGAATGGAAGGAGGTTAACAAATGGCAGTTCAAAAAGGTTTAATAACAAAAGGTTGGATCATGGGTATTATAATAATTAAACTAAACAAACTCCCTCTGCTAAAACAGGGAGAAGGCAAAATAATAACTGACTTAAAGCGGCTCTCTGGTTTAACCAGAGAGAGGAGACCAAAAGGGAAGCACACCAATTCTAAACTAAACCAACCACAAATTTGTTACCAAAAGAATAAACCTAATCCATTACCAAAACCAAAAGACCCACAATTATCAAAACTAGAAAGCTAGAAATCTCCCCAACTAAAATCCTCAAAGACAAAACACAAAGACAAACTAAACTGAGGACAGGAGGTTTACAAGCGGGTGGCAAAAGGCACTCATTAACTTTGGCAAAACTGGGGCACTAAACTTTTAACCAGAAACCCCAGTACAGTGCGATTACTACAACAGAGTCTCTCAAGCTGTTTTTACAGGACCACAGCGTTTGCAAAAAGGGATTTGCTGCGGCACCCTGAGGAGGATTTTGGCATTTATAGTAGCAAAGCTGAATCTAGAATAAACTGCTATCAGGCACCTCTCAAACCAAGACGGGATACAGGGAGGTCGCTGGGCGGCCCCCCCACATGTGACGTACAGGGTCGCGCATTCAGCGTCAGCTTTGATGTGACCTGCTTTTTGTCCCGCTTGACGCCCCGTTCAGCCAGTAGTTTCACCACTCTGTCGAACAGCTGGCTGTCTCTCACCGTCCCCGTAAAAAGGGACTAATCTGTTGGTCCTCTCGCACGGCCAAAAGCTCCATGGTCTCTGCATCCATCCAGTTTGCCATGTTACTAGTGAGAGGCCATGTTTGTCTGTGTTTATAGCCCTTCCGGCCGGCACTCGGCGCGCGCAGTGTATGTCACTAACGCGACCACCCTCTTTTGCGGGGGGGGGGGGGGGGGCTCCCACAGTCGCCCCAAAGGGATTAGGGAATGACACACATTCAGCCTTCAGAGGTGAGGGGCTCATGTGGCAAGATTACTACCAAGCGAGGCAGAAGGAATGCCGCAAAGTTCACGCATGGCATGGCGCGTTTATAGACATACCATTGCGGTAATATTACGCCAATTTGCCAGCATGGTGTGTCTTACAAAAGCACTTTATGAGATCACAGTCAGCTCTATCGCTGTGTCTCCTCTGTCACTGTGTCTCCCTGAATAAGTGAGTGAGGAGGCTTAAAAGGCTTCAGGAGCAGCTGATTACTGATTTGGTGCAGCTGCTCCATATCACTCCGCTGGCCTCTGGTGCAGTATGGCAGGACTGCAGGATCTGAGGCCTGCAGCAGGAGGTCACCGGATGGAGAGCAGAGAGCAGAAACCTCTGGGTTTGTAACAATGGGGCCGTCAAAATAAGTTTCTGTTTAGGACCCCGAGGTGGAAAGGGGTGGTCTTGTTGAGCAGCGTTCCTTGTCGAGACTCTGACATGAAGCACACAACTTCCTAATTGTCTTACTTAGCATCAGTACTGATGTGGTCTCCTCTTCCATCCAAGAGTTCTCACAATTATCGCGCTGCCTCTACAGTTGTGCCCAGTATGAGCGTCAGCAAGAATAGATGTTCACCCCACTGCATCCAGACTGCTAATGAATTGCTCATGCAGGAAGCCGTCACTGGCTGATTCCATCTGTGCCAATAAGAGGCTGCCACTGGCAAGGTAGGCATGAGAGTGACAAAACTTCCGCCAGCCAATCAGTCCATAGGTGGCTGTGTTGGTTCAGCTCATGAAATGAATCTCAGAGAAACAGGGCTGAAAAAAGTGGTCAGCTCTGCGTGAACAATGAAATGCAATGACCGCACCTGGCCAAGAACAAGCTGAATGTAGTGTAAAAAGGCCAAAAGCATGATTTCTCAACAGCATGCTATATCTAACCACAGTTTTTACTTAGGATTCTTCTATAGAAATGAAAAATAAATGTTATGGTCTATTATCATCACAACTTTACCTGCACAGTCAACTCCAGCATCACGTTCGTGCCCACACTGTGATGCCCTGAAACCTTTGACTGAACACTGCTGAAGAGAAGTCGCGTTGCTGAAGCACGAATTACTCGCCTCCACCACAGACCCGTTGCCTTGACCAAAATGGGCACCTCCTGGAGCATTCAAAGCTTTGCCACACTCCAGCAACTCACAAACCACCTCGGCTTTACTTTGGGTCCAGTCTGCATCACAAACTGTTTTCCAAGTTTCACCCTGACGGACTTCCACTCTACCGGAACACTCATCCTTGCCGTTGGACAATCGAACTTCCAAGCTCCCTGCAGAGTCAAGTAAATTAAAATGCAACTATATGACAACAAAAAATGAACATGAAATCTGCAATGTAACAAGACCGGTATAAAAATTACACTTTTTTTTGCTTTTTTTTCCTTACCTGTGCAAATGACTCCAGCGACAGAGGTTGTGTTGCAGGCTCGGTTTATGAACGGTCTCTGTGGGCACTGAGATATGATAGATTCCCTGCCATTGCATTCAATTTGCTCGATCCAGGGCTCTCCAGAGCCACGACCATACTCAGACATTGTTGTAATTTTATGAGCCCCACCACAGTTCAGCTGTCTGCACACCACCATCGCATCATTGATGTCCGACGATTCACCACACACTGTCCTCCAAAGACCTTTGCTGTACAACTCAACTCTTCCAGCACAACGATTAGGCCCATCAGCTAGCTTCACATTTCCTGTAAATTATAAATTATATTAAAGTACAGATATTAAATTCAACCTTTTAAGATAGTTCAAATATTTTAAAATGCCTAAGAAATAAACGCATGCCCACAATGCATGTGTGTGATTTCTCATGCAGTTTAAGTTTGTCATTCACTGATTATTATTTTGACAAAAGTCATGGCTCAGTTGTTTTAATGTTCATCTTAAATGGAAAACGTATGAGGGAAACACTTTGTACAATAATTTAGATGTGGGAAATTAAAAGAAGAATGATTTGTTTCTGCAAAAAGAATGATAAAAAACAGCACTGGAACCATCATCTGCCGCTGGTTAGGATTTTGTAAGGAAGACTATAAAGCCTTGTAACACATAATACCACTGTGTTACTGACAAAGCAAGTGTCCAGGGTGACTTTCTATCATCTGATTAATTTTTTGAAGGACTGGTTCACTTGTTTAATCAATACATTGAAGGTCTGTCGTAGAAATGAATGCCTTGGAAGTCGTTCTCAGAGGGAATAATATACCGATGCACCATTTCTCTGATCTAAAAGTTGTCCACATCACAGTTGAGCTTCAGACGGCAGGTTTTGGAGTTTTATTATATGGTTGGACACCTCACCCTGGATTGGATAACAGCAACACAACTCTACCACTAACTTGTATCTCCACAAATAACACAAGCCTGGAGGACCTTCTGTCATGGGGTGAAGTTGCTAATGCTATTTGTTAGTTTAAACTAGCTAAGACGTTCGCTGCTGTCATGAGTCAAGATGGGTGAGTCTATGAATGCTGTTGAATATGGTATCTGGAGTCCATAGTAATTGCAGCATACTATAGTATAGTCCAGTGGTCCTCAATAGGCGGCCTGCAGGCACCTTCTTTGTGGCACAAAGAAGGTGCCTGGACAATGCCACCGCGTCATCATGAAACTAACGGAAGCCCAACCACTCAGCCATTGATTCATTCAATCCATGCCAAGTGTTCAGAGCCTCATCTCTCATCCAGCCTTCACTCATCTGACCAGTAAGTCAGCTATCTACTCTTTTTGTAATGTCTTGGCTACGCTGGATATGCTTTTTGAATGCTAACCTTCCATATATTCCACCGCCTGCTCCCATGTGCACCTCCCTGCTATTGGGGAGAGTGCAGGAATGGACCGCCACCCTCTACTACAAGAAGGCATCCTTGCAGGAACTCAGACTTTCATTCTCCCCCAGGAGTGAATTCAGAGCCAAATCCTAACTACCAATTTTTTGTATCACACCCACTGGCCATTGACAATACCTGCTCATGCCCTTTGGTATGTGCAACAGCCCTACCGTCATCCAGCACCTCATTAATAATGTTCAACATGGAAGTGATGGAAATTGCAGTTCCCCCATCATCTGCTAGGGGCTGCCTCCAAAACAGAGGCCTACATATTGACTCACATATAAAAAAATACCAACTTCACAGCAGGAATAAACATTTTACAGCCTGGTACAAAAAATATTTTAGGTTTAACTGGTCAAGTTTACAGTCATGACAACTCTGAGGGGAGTGAATATTTTTTGTAACTCTGTTTAGATGTAATTAAAGCTTGAAATGATGAATAATTAGGAGCATGTCCTTTTGACTGAGAGGTTGCAGATGAACCGTCTTCTCTTCCTTTCGGAGCAAAAACTTTGCAGATGTCTGACCACTAAGGAGTAGGGCTGTCTCTGTACTGGCTGCGTGCGGAGCTCTCTGAGGGAGACCGCAGAAACAGTGCAGCTCGATGAGTTGATGCATGTTTCACATTAGAGTTGCTCAACCACATTTTCCTGGCTAAAAGTGCCCACAGACCTCTGCTAACATCGATTAGCTCAGTTAGCTCATAGCTAGATTGGCTCAGAGTTTGATGGGTGTCATTTATCCGCCTACATCCTCACAGCCCCACCTCATTGCCCATTTTTGTATTGTCCGGGAGTGACAGTAGTGGGAACCACCCGATGGGCTTCAATTCTGCTCTTAAGAAATTAATAGTAATTTAATTTCTAATACGTTTTTATTCCTTAACATTTGACCAAAGACCTGAAAAAAATATGAAGTTTTAAAAATGATGGATGATTTTTGGAAAAGAGTAAAGTACATACCAGAACATTCAACAGACACTTCTTGATCATTGTTGGTTCTGGGATGCTCTCTGATCGTGCACTCTGTGACAGAGCTCTCTCTTCCTCTGCAACTCATCTGCAATCCTCTGACATCTTCACGTTGTCCAAGTAACCCAGAGAACCTGACAGGATCTCCACAGTCCATCTCCCTGCACACCACTGCAGCTTCATTCTGTCCAAAGTTGGATTTGAATGCAGGTGACCAGTGATCACTGTGATAGATTTCAACTCTGCCTGAACACTGGTCAGAGCCGTTGATCAGTCTGATGAAAGCTAAAATGCATCAAGGGAGAGATGTTCAGAAATGTTGTTTCAGTCTCACTTTTACACTGATGAAAAAGTAATAGACATAAATACCTGCGCAAATCACTCCCGCATCTTCTCCGTGTCCACAGTTATTTTCTCCAAAGGGGGGTCGGGGGCAGTGCAAAAGAGACGTCTCATTGCCAGTGCATGCAACATCATCTAGCCAGATTTCTCCTTGGCCTGGACCAAAAAATGCTGAAGATTTGGCTGCCTTAGCAGTTCCACAGTTCATGGCTCTGCACACCACCTGAGCATCTTTGATATCCCAAGCATCATCACACACTGTTCCCCACTGATCATTATGCAGAATCTCCACTCTGCCAGAACAGCGGTCTGTGCCATTGACAAGTCTAATGGGAGGATTACCTGGGGAGAGATTAGGTTACATAATGTCAGGCAAGGTTTATCATCAAATGCATTGCAAATCTAGGTCATCAGAGAGTTAGTTGTTATACCATAACACTTGATTTTATGGTGCGCTGTTAATAAGGCATTACTACCAACCAAAGTGCTGCAGATTAATAAAGCACAGGCCGAAACAGTTGCACAGGTCATAACAAGCATTAAAAGGACAAGAAAAAAAAAAAACAACAAACAAGGTGGAACCACTTGGTAACATTCCACAGATTAAAATTAACAACAAGGTGGAAGGAAGAATGACAAAATCTAACTTAAAGCTAAGACCAGGTTTAAGAGTTAAAAGCTAGGGAGAAATGGTGTGTTTTCAGGCATTATTTAAAATTGGTGATAGAGGGTGCTTGCCTAACCTTGAGAGGTAGTGAGGTCTAACGTTTTGGGGCACAAATAGAAAAAGTTGTTTCCCAGCGGGTCTTCAAATGTGCCTCAGGGACAGTGAGAAGGAGCTGCTCTGCAGACTTGAGTGCATGAAGAGGGTGGTAGAAATGGAGTAGCTTGCTCAGATGTGGGGTGGGGGACTGACTGTTCAAAGATTTGAATGCAAAAAGCAGAGCCTTGTTGCTGAATTCTGGACAAGCTGAAGCCTGGAGAGAGCAGCTTGAATTTGAGTTATGAATCACAATTTCTAGAAGAAGAACACTGAGTATGGGCTATAATTTAGAAATTTGCCTAAGGTGGTAGAAGCAGGACTTGACTGTGCTATTGGCCTGAGCATCCGTCTTCAGGACGGGGTCCTCTTTCAGTGCAATGTTGGCAACAGTAGAGGAGACATGAGAAGAAAGATAGTGGAGGGCAGGTTACTAAGTCTCTTCAACATTGTCAGGACTGAAAATTAAGGTGGAGGAAATTTTCAGCCAGACTTCTTTGATATTGTGAAGACACTCAAACAGAGGCTTGGTAGAGTCAGTGGGCTTAAATGAAAAATAGACTTGGCAATCAACTCCATATTAATGGTATGAAACAGCATTCAGTCTAAAAACTAGCTCCTTAAGGCAAAATATAAAGGGAGAAGTGTAGTGGGCTGAGGAAGGAACCTTGAGGGATCCCTCAAGGGATGGGGACTGACTTGGATGACCCTGAGGATTTGAATGAAATCAGCAGAGCAGATATGGGGACATGCCAGTCCTGATCTCCTGCCAATTTTGATGTTATGCGCCAGAGATTGTCAGGGTTTACCCCCTGCTGATGGCAATAGAAAAGATGAGGAGTGGAGCAGCAGTCCGTAGGAACAACAGACACTTGGGACCTTCTTACAGGATTGAATGCACTCCAAAATTCTGCTCGATTCCCAACAGATGGGTTTTGGATTTAAACAGGATACCTTCTTAATTTCCACGCCGGCGATGTTGCTTTTTTATGTGAGGAGGTTGAGCTAAGTGACACAGGCAGACTGGTATTTAAGTCAAACACAAGTGGGTTGGGTCATTATCTCCTTGAGCAGACAGTGATAAGCTCATAGTCGATTACATTTGTAGAAGAGTGTGGTGATCATATATCAAGAGTGAGCTTGTATCAACAAGCAAGAGCAGAATCACACAAAAAAAAACATTGTTACAGGTAGAAACAGATGGCATGCCTGCCATGCTGGTGCCATCTTAACATAATGATATTAAAGAAAAGTATGTGTAAAACAAGTCAAAATGAGTCCTGAGTCAAACAATGACATTTCCTTGCGTTACCTTACTTGGCTCATCTGGACTCAGCCTAATATAATTTTTACTCGTGTGTGTGTGTGTGAGTCTGTGTTTGTGTGCGTGTGATTGCATATGTTTGTTAATGTTTTTAACCTGTTATGGGAATCTGGGGTCATTTTGTAAAGCACTTTGAATAACACTTTGTTTGAAAAGCGCTTTAGAAATAAAATTTGATTGATTGATTGATTTAAACAATGCCTTGCAAAACTTTGATTATTGATAAAAGATTCTCTAAACAGTGACCTACTTTGTGCAAAAGTTAAATGAAGAAAACTAGAGACAACAGTCAGTTGTACTCATTGAAATTTTTTTAGTAGAAGTTGTTTTTCCCCATTAATGGGGCCTATGTGGAAAAGTAACACGTTTGATAGGAAATTCTTCTTTATTCTCCAATTTTCAATTACTCACTGATATCAAATGCAGATAAGACACTGACTTTTAGGTACTCCACAACACCTCAGTTATCAGATGTAATCTGGATCAAAGTGAGCCTCAATGGTAGAAGATATGTGATAAGGAAGAATAACGCTGAACATCTTACCTGCACATGAAACATAAGCGCCATCACATCTCCCCACATGTTCCTCAAGCGTACACTGGCTAATTGAGCTCACGTTACCAGAGCACCGATTCCTGAAGCCTGTCAATGTGCTGTCACCAAAGCCGACAGAATCTTGGGTTTTCTTTGGAGAGCCACAATTCAGTTCTTTACAGACAATTGCGGCCTCTCTGAGGCTCCAATTATCATTACAAATCTTGCCCCAACGACCACTGTGGAAGACCTCCAACTTGCCAGAGCATCTGTCAGTCCCATTGATCAGTCTCACAGTTTCTGGAAAGAAGACAAATGAAAACGTGAATGGGTCTGAGCTTGTATTTTTTCAAGCCTCAACAAAAGGGAAGCATTTTTGCACCTGAGCACATAACGCCTGCATCTTCACTGTGGTCACAGTCGTGTTGTCCAAAGCCTCGATGTGGGCAGTCAGTAATTGAATTCTCGTGGCCAGTGCACTCAATATCATCCATCCAAACCTGCTGGGGGCCTCTTCCATAGAAGGCCCTGTTCTTAACTGCAACAGGACTTCCACAGTTCATCTCTCTGCATGCTACTTCTGCTTCTTGAATCCCCCATCTGTCATCACAAATGGTTCCCCACTGTCCGTCATTGAGGACTTCTACTCGACCAGAACAACGATTAGTCCCATTTACCAACCGTATTGGCTTGTTGTCTGTCAAACATGGAGAAAATACAGGATTCAGATTAAATTCATGGAAAAGAAAATGTGTCACACTGAAATGACAACAAATTACTGTTGGTAAGCTGTGATTGACTTACTCTTGCAAACAATGGTGGCATCAACACAACTCTCTCTGAAATCTGAAAGCTGGCATTCTGAGATGGAGGTCTCATTTCCAGCACAGCTAGTTTTGAGTCCTGACAGGCTTTGACCCTCTCCAAAATATTGTGCTGCAGACTCAACAACAGGAGAGCCACACCTGATCTCACGGCACAGAACTTCGGCTGTGTTCTTTCCCCAGTCACTGCTGCACACTCGTTTCCACTGGCCTTCGTGGAAGACCTCCACTCTGCCGTTACAGCGATTGCTTCCATTCACGACACGCACGTGGTCTAACACATAAGCAGAACATGACATTAAAGGTCAGCTTTGCTCATACTATTAATACATTTGCGGTCTCTAGTAAGAATGAATGCTTTGTAAGTCATACTGAGGGGAAAAACTGATTCCACTTTCTTTGCAATGTTGATGTTTTAACTCGACAAACAACACAAGCCTGAAGGAGTTTTGCCTTGTTGTGGAGTTTCTAATGGTAATGGTTAACATCTACTAGTCGAGACGTTCTCTGGTCTTTTCCAATAGAGATGGTTTTTCAGTGAAGTTGAGCTTTATTATTAATAACACCTCAAGTGTTTCTGAATAGAGACAATTCAACTACTGTTTCTTTATTACCACGGGAAATTTCTTTATCGTTTGCTTTATTATTTTTCATAACTGTGCTTTGTTCTTTATGAATAGATTAGCTAACATTTAGTTGTGACCAAATGTGAGTTATTTCTAGATCCTCGGGTGTACTCATGCATCAAAAACAAGCAAGCTGGGTTTAATGGGGATTCTAAATGGACTATAATAGAGTGACTGGTTGTTTTTCTGAATGTTGACTCTGAATTTGAGAAGCAGACGATCCGCCCTAACTCTCACTCAATTACTGATGAAAATAGAAACCAGCAGCTGAGTTTTGCATTTAGATACGTTTTTCAGAGTAAAGCAATGAATCGGCATACCTGAACAGATGACTCCAGCATCTTCGGAATGGGCGCAGTTATGTATCCCAATAGCACTGTGTTGGCACTTAACGATGGAGGGCTCTATGCCAGTACATTGCACATCATCCAGCCAGATCTCCTCTTTGCCCTCTCCAAAAAAAGCATTCCTTTTGGCCTCCAAAGCCATTCCACAGTTCAACTCTCGGCACACAACGTCAGCGTTGGAGAGGCTCCAGTGGTCATCACACACGGTTCCCCAACTGTTTTCATGGAAGATCTCCACTCTACCTGAGCAACGTGAAGATCCAACTAGCCGGATTTTCTGGCATTCTGGAAATGAGAAGTGAAAGCTTTAAAATTACTAAAAACATTTTAATAGGGTTATTTATTTTTAAATAAATGGAATTGATATACCTGTATGCAGTGGTAGACTCAGCAAACCTAAAGAACATTTGCACAGATAATCAAGTTAGCTTTAGGATTGTTCACAAATGAAATGAAATACACCAAATAAATGGTGTATTCTGGGAAATTTACAATAAATAAGACACATAATCAAATATTTGCTATAAAAGTAAGAAAATGTTAACTTTTTTACAGTGTTGGGCATTGCAAAAAAGTAACTAGTGGTAGTTGGCCTGGCCTGTATTTGATATAGTGCCTTCTAGAGTCCTGGAACCCCCCTAGGCACTTTACAACACAATCAGTCATTCACCCATTCACACACACACATTCACACAGTGGTGGTGATGAGCTAGTTAGTTACAAATTACGTTGTCAAAAATGTAATTGATTTACTGCGTCAGATCGCACCATCAGTCATTTTAGCTAAAGCGGGCTCCGGCTCTTGGAGAGTGCAGATGCTTTTTTCCTCCTCTCCTCCCTATCTTACCCCCGAGGCTCTTTGACTATCTTTGGGTGCACGGCTGCTTCTGCATTTTTTCTGGAAACTGAAAACTGAAATTACTAATGGATCTTGTCAGCTGGTCACTCAACGCGATTGATAAAATTTTTTCAACGATGAGAATGGGAGAAGGGGTTCCCGGGTGCCCCTCTGGGACAGACCCAGCTGGTCATATCATGGACTCCTGGAAACAGTGGAACCTGAGCTCAGGGAGAGCGCCAATATTCCTCGTGAATTCACAGACACATAATTGTCGAGATGAATCGTAAGCTTGGAACTTTGGCTGAGATTCATGCATTGGCACAAAAGATGGATGCCATCAAGGAGAGAGTGGACGAATCAGCACGGATTGGGATAGATTAATTTACGCCATTATTGGGATTTTGAGAGGTTGAGGACCAACGGAACTTTAAGAGAGAGAGGAAATTATCTCTGTCTGTCCCCAAAACAGTTTCTAATCTGAATCTGGTGCCCTTGAGCCTGTAAGGCTGCAACAATTACATTTTCAGAAGAAATGTGGAATACTGCCGTCGCTATGGCAACTCTGTCTCCTATCCCAGCCTGGGCGGGACTGCGGGCTGTGAAGGCCGCCAAATTGTTCCAGGAGTCACTGTGCCCTCCAAACCCCAACAACCTCCCTCCCCTGTCCAGACTGAGGTGACGTGCACTGCTTATTGTGGCTGCAGGAACTGACATGTGGGGAGTCCCAAACCCACCACCCCACCTAGTGGACACTTATGTTGTGTGATGTCTGAAGTCTGTTGCATATCTGTCTGAGGTGTTTTTTGCAGAGCAAAACTGCCCTCCCTGTGGAGGGTAACTCTGAAGTGCCTTTTTTTTCCTCCACCTGAACCAACCCTCATGTAACCCTCTGATCTCTATTAAGGTAGCGCGACTCTGGGTTGCGAATGACCATAGTCACCAATTCTTGTCATGTGGCTTTGCCTATGTATGTCTGATCTCTGAATTGTGTGTACTGAAACTCTAATTTCACCCAATCTCTCACTGCGATTCATCCACATTGTAGTAACACACTATTTTATTGCCCAGTAACAGTAACGGCGTTGCAAAGAGGGAAAAGTAGATGTAATTAATTAGACAGGCCTTTTCCCTAAAAAATAACGCTGTATGCTCCCAACACTGCTTTTAATTCATTTATTTATCATTTTAATGCATATATGTCACTTTTTTTCTTGAATTGAGAATGTGCATCAGCATATATGCGCTAAAGGTAAAGATCAAATACAGAAAAAAAAAACTCACCTGCCATCAATAAAAATAAAAAATGTATTTTTTCCACAACAAAGCAGCTCATGTTGAGTCTTCAAATCAAGCCAAATTCTGTCAAGTCAATAAAAATGATCAAAAACGTGCTCACTCTGATTATATATACATATACACACACATATATACACACACACACATATATATATATATAGTTTTTATAGTATACAATTTTTCATTAAATGATGAAAAAAAATCCTTTCGGAATTTTTCTTAAAATTTGTTAAAATCACAAAACAGAATAATTGGACTTCTTACCTTTTTTTTAAATCCAGAGTCTGGACAGAGTATTTAAAATAATAATGTGATTATCTCCTAAATACTCTGAAAGTCATGCTGAATGATTGTTATGAACAAAAAGGACTGCCTGGACTTGGACTGCAAACTGGACACATGTTGACATTATCATTAATCATTAAAGACAAAACCCAAAAGAGACGTTTTTTTGTTTTACACAATTCCAGCAAAACTAGATGAAAAGTGACATATTTTATTCATCATAAAGCTAACAGAAAGCTGATAACCTTTTTTATATATTTATGTGTGATTTAAAATTCAATTAGTGATTAATAAACTCAAGACAAGACCAACTGGAACATTTAGATCAAAAGAATGTCTATTTGAGAGCAAAGGTCAGGAAGCGAACTTGACCTCTGAACCCACAGAGTGAATCACGCCAGTCCTATCTAACTTGTCGAAATATTTCTCAGCTGTCCTTTTTTTTAAAAGTTGCAACACAACCATCTTACTCTGCTTTAACTTCACATCAATGCTGCATTATGGTAAAACACTATTACTACAAATAAAACTTTTACATTTAAAATAATAATTTCCTTTTTGTTGATCATAACCCTTATTTAATCTTTAAAGGTGTGGTTTACCTGTTTTTTCAATACATTTGCAGTGTTCTCTAGTGAAAACCGATGCTTTTTGAGTCATTAAAATAAAAAAAAGCTATGATGCTCCTGTTCTGAGTTACAGAAATGTGCTGGTGCAGAGGTGGGCTGAAAACCCTTGCCCCTTTCAAGACTGTGGCATCTGTAGCAGTCCCGGGATTGAAGGAAGGGAAAAGCGATGAGAGAGCCTCGACTGGTGCAGAGATTTTATTTCTGTTCATCTGAAATTACTTCTGTTGAGGTCAACCATCAGACCGTTGTTGAGGGTCTGCCCTCATGAGGAAATTACTATATAGTAATTTCTCCAAAAGCCTGTCATCTGCGCTCTGAAAAAGCAGATTAAGAATCAGCGCCAGCAATAACTTCATTTCCCAGGATTCCCTGCAGCCGTGAGCAACGTGATGACGTCACCAAAGCAAGTTCTGCGCATGTGCTGATACACAGCAGAGTCCAGCCCGCCAGACAGCTGAAAAGCTATAAATCCCAGCGAAAAACAAAACTTATCGTCTTTTGTTCAGTTCAACTGGCGTGGAGACGCACCCGTTTGCTACGGCTCCGGACAGCGTGTGCACGAGGCCTGGCGGCTGAAGCGTGCGGACGCCGAGCCGCGGAAAAGCAGCGGAAAATCATCACATCTGCTCAGCGCGATTACCAAGGGACGCCTTGAATTCGGTCAGAGAAGAGTTTTGCTCCAGCAAAATTTTCTTTATTTTCCCTTCTATCGATCTTCCTCTCCTGTTCTCTCTAATAAGTCCAGAATAAGCAATCACACCGCGCGATTTGCTTCAAAATAGAAAAAACGGTCTCTCTCTCCTGTACCAAAATACGCCCATCGGACCATTTTAAGAGTAAGCCGTTTTGTTTTGTCATTGTTTAATAACTTAAGTAGTTTTTATGCTGTGGCCAGGCTGACAAACTATGAGATATTTCATTTATGATTGATCGTGGAGGATGGCTGCTTATACTGAGCCAGGATTCTCTGGAGGTTTCTTCCTGTTAAAAGGGAGTTTTCCTCTCCACTGTCGCTGCATGCTTGCTTAGTATGAGGATTGCTGTATAGTCACTGACACTAGTCAGTGACTTGATGCAATTTGCTGGGTTCCTTTTATAGGAAACATTATTTCTGACTGGCTTAATGAACTGTGAATTGGAATGTTTATTATGTGAAGTGCCTTGAGACGACTCTTGTTGTGATTTGGCGCTATATAAATAAACTTGAATTGAATTGAATTGAATTGAATCTTTTGTGTTGTTTATTGATCTTTGTGAAGCGGTTTTAAAGTTGTTAAGTTTCACTGTGATTGAGTTAAGGTAAAAGCTAAACCCTTTGTGTCTGTATCTGAGAAGAAAAGACACACACACCCACAGCTCACACACACCCACACACACACACACACACATTCCACAAGTGGTTGGGTTCTTGCTCCCTCAGACAAAAGGAGTCAGCCATTTTGGGTTTCAAATCTCATAACACCACCTCAGAATGTTTTACATTATCATTATTATTTCATTGTTTGTGTTTGTTTGATAAAATAAGTTGGTTAATATTGATTGGCTAAACGCTTCAGAAGGAGCTGAAGTGATTATATTAGTTAATGTGTTGCCAATTAAGATTTTGTCTCGGGAATTTGTTTGTGTGATATGAATTTATGACTGCTGCTCGTTACGATTTCACGGAAAGTTTAGACAAGATTGATAAGAGGTTTGGATTCATTTTCCCTTGTTAAAAAGGGTGGTGCCCCGAGGCATATCTCCGGATATCCAAATTACGTAATAAAATCGGTAAATATTTCCATATTTACGAATTTTATTGAAGAATCCAAAAGTAAGTAAAAGCTTACAAATTATTCGTGCCCAATAATCACAACACCGTGAAAACTTTACAAACGATTAAATGAACAATGGTTACAGCAACCCAGAAACAAAACAAACAAACAAACAAAAAAAAACACACATCTTAATCACAGGAGCAGTAAATCATATACCTTGCTCCGTTTTCCCAGGGGCTGCAAATATCAGATCCTATTGGAATGCTGTGTCACACAATACAGAATATCCGGGCTGGGCACATAAACAAACCAACATACATCCGTGCATGGTCAAAATAAACTCAATATTAATGTCAAAACATTTGTTAAACATGTATCTCCATTCTGATGGTTTGTTTGAGGTAAAGTTCCATCTCCTAGCTCAGCCAGGGCGTGTTTCCTTGCAGAAAGTTTTTCTTTGCCAACACAGCTGTGTTTCATATGAACTAATGAGCAACTTCTGGTTTCACACAGGATCAGTCAGCTACTGATTAGACAACAGTGCCCCTGGCTGGAAATTCTTCAAAGTGTTTGAAATAAACAAACAACTGACAGCTACAGTATCCTTCGCTCAGACAGCCCCTTGGTAAACTCCGCTTCATACCCAAAGCAGGAACACCTTTCTGAGAAAACTGGCCTCATTGTACACAGCCAAATCTACAAGCATCAAGTCACAATGTACAAAAGAGCTTGCAATAACGCCCGCTCCAAGTTTTACTCTGACAGAATCCTCTCCAACTCCTTAAACCCCCTCACTTTATTTTCCACCTTCAGCAAGCTTACCTAACCTAAGGATATCACAATACCTTCACTCCATTGTAGCGTAATGGTTCTCGGCTACACCACGTGTGATGCTGTGACTATCGCGCAACTTGCCGAGAAGCGCTCAGCGATGCGTCCTGTGTGACCAATTGACTTATCAAAATCGAGGGTGCAACGCAATGGGTCTGCCTCTGGTGTGCTCTTCTTCCTAAACTATTGTGTCTGCTTAACGAAGTAAAATGTCCCAAAAAAGTCAATTACATCTTCTGGCTCTCTCTTCAGTTGTCATATAACATATAATAGCTGGTTTGGCCCCAAATCAAGAACTCACAATGGACACACAGCAGAGTGCATGCAGAAGTTCTGCTGAGCTTCCCTCTACCCAGCTTTCATTTACTTGGAATGCTGTTACTCAGATCTGCATTACATTATCATAAAAGCTATTGTTGGGACTTAAGCCATCAATGCGCAAGTATAGAATTTAAGTTCCCTGCCACTAAGACCTCCTTGCCACACTGCTCCTCCTTGAACCGTCACCTTATCGTGGTGGAGGAGTTTGAGTGCCCTAATGATCCTAGGAGTTATGTTGTCTGGGGCACGTTGTGCCCCTGGTAGGGTCTCCCATGACAAATTGGTCTTAGGTGAAGGGTGAGACAAAGAACGGTTCACAGAATCTTTCATGGAAGAGAATTCAAAGAGTTGGAGTACCCGGCCCGGAGGGTTACCGGTGTCCCACCCTGGAGCCAGGCCTGGGGTTGGGGCCCGTGAGCGAGCGCCTGGTAGCCGGGCTTTTGCCCGTGAAGTCCGGCCGGGCCCAGCCCGAACCGGATACATGGGCTCATCCAACTGTGGACCCACCACCTGCATGAGGAACATGAAGGGTCCGGTGCAATGTGGATCAGGTGGCAGACCAAGGCGGGAGCCTTGGCGGTCCGATCCCCGGACAAGAAAACTGGTTTTTGGGACATGGAATGTCACCTCGCTGGTGGGGAAGGAGCAGGAGCTTGTGACAGAGGTTGAGCGGTACCGGCTAGATATAGTCAGACTCACCTCGACACATAGCATTGGCTCTGGAACCCAAGTCCTTGAGAGGGGTTGGACACTCTCCTTTGCTGGAGTTGCTCCGGGTGAGAGGCGGAGGGCTGGGGTTGGCTTTTTGTTAGCCCCAAGACTCTCTGCCTGTGTGTTGGGGTTTACCCCGGGGGACGAGAGGGAGGTTTCCCTGCACCTTCGGGTCGGGGAACGGGTCCGGACTGTTGTTTGTCCTTATGGGCCAAATATCAGTTCAGAGTACCCATCCTTTTTGGAGTCCCTGGGACTAGTGCTAGATAGTGCTCCACCAGGGGACTCCATTGTCCAGCTGGGGGACTTCAATGCTCACGTGGGCAATGACAGCTTGACCTGGAGGGGTGTGATTGGGAGGAACGGCCCGCCTGATCTGAACTCAAGTGGTGTTTCGTTATTGGACTTCTGTGCAAGTCGCAGTTTGGCCATAACGAACACCATGTTCAAACATAAGGATGCCCGTCGGTACACTTGGTACCAGGGCAGCCTAGGTCGCAGGTCGATGATAGACTTTGTAGTCGTATCATCTGACCTGCGGCCGTATGTTTTGGACACCAGAGTGAAGAGAGGAGCAGAGCTGTAAACTGATCACCACCTGGTGGTGAGTTGGATCAGATGGCTGGGGAAGATGCCGCATAGACCTGGCAGACCCAAATGCATAGTGAGGGTCTGCTGGGAACGTCTGGCAGAAGAACCTATTAAGACTGTCTTCAACTCCCACCTCCGGCAGAGCTTTGACCGCATCCCGAGAGCAGTGGGGGACATTGACTCCGAGTGGGCCTTGTTCCACTCTGCAATTGTTGAGGCGGCTGTTGCTAGCTGTGGTCGCAAAGTGGCCGGTGTCAGTCATGGTGGCAACCCCCGTACCCGCTGGTGGACACAAGAGGTTTGGGGAGCTGTCAGGCTGAAGAAGGAGGCCTACAAGGCGTGGCTGGTCTGTGGGTCTCCGGAGGCAGCAGACAGGTACCGGTTAGCCAAGCGGGGTGCAGCAGTGGCAGTTGCCGAGGCAAAATCTTGGGCGTGGGAGGAGTTTGGTGAGGCCATGGAGAAAGACTATCGATCGGCTCCAAAGAAGTTCTGGCAAACTGTCCGGCGCCTCAGGAGAGGAAGGCAGCAACTCGCTCACACTGTTTGCAGGGGGATGGGGAGCTGCTGACCTCAACTGGGGCTATAGTCGGACGGTGGAAGGAATACTTAGAGGAGCTCCTCAATCCCACCTATGCACATTCCGAGGAGGAACCAGAGCCGGGAGACCTGGGGATTGACTCTCCTGTCTCGGAGTCAGAAGTTGCTGAGGTAGTCAAACAACTACACAGCGGCGGAGCCCCGGGGGCGGATGAGGTTCGTCCTGGGTATCTCAAGGCTATGGATCTTGTAGAGCTGTCGTGGTTGACACGTCTCTGCAACATTGCATGGTCATCGGGGGCAGTTCCTGTGAAGTGGCAGACCGGGGTGGTGGTCCCCACCTTTAAGAAGGGTGACCTGAGGGTGCGTTCCAACTATAGGGGGAGGTGTTTTGGGCATGTCCTGCCGGCAGGAGGCCCCCGGGTTGACCCAGGACATGTTGGAGAGGTTACATCTCCAATCTGGTCCGGGAATGCCTTGGGGTCCTGCCGGAGGAGCTGGTGAAGGCCGGGGAGAGGACGGTCTGGAGCTCCCTAAATGGGATGCTGCCCCCGCGACCCGGACCTGGATAAGCGGAGGAAGACGACGAGACGACGATGGCCACTAAGACCTCAGTCTTTTAAGGTCTTTGGCGTTTCCTCTTTTATCATTGCACTCAGCATTTGAAGCTCCACAAGGATGTCCCCAGCCCACTCCATTAGACAATACTCACACATGATTATTCTGCAATATTCCATGGTAGCCATGTTGATCACAAATAATAATGTTGGTTTGATCTCAAGCACAGATGTATGGGATGGAGGTAGAGGGGCTGGCTGATGTGAGTACAGCACACAGCCCTTGATTCTAACATAGCCCTTGTAGCTAACATGCCGTTATTGATATTAAACACATCTGAATCGTATTAAAATGTTTGTTAACAGTCAAATCACTTGAATTAAGGATTTTATAAGAACCAACAATGAACTCATCGGCATATAATAAAAATCAAACTATGTAACAGAAAGACAACTTTAATGTTCTGCAAATTACAAATTTCATCCCTTTTAGCAGTAAGTAAAGAGAGTAATTTTTTTATTTATTTTTCAAGTAGAATGATTTATGTGGCATCATTTAATAAACTGACATAAAAAACATTTTAACTTCTGCAAACATTGAAATTTCTCTCATAAACAATCACCTTAAAGCTGCTACAGTGAATCTACAGAACAAGCTAGGTTTTGAATGCAAACACGGTCATGGAACACTGACCACTCCCCTCGGGTATCTTCCCTGAGACACTTCTGCCAGAACTGGAAACCCACACTGCCCGAGGAAACGAGAAAGACCTAAACACCAGTCACCTTTGTCTAGAACCAAACATCATTGTGTTCTTCTTTTTGGGACTCTGGTAGCTTGTCCCAAAGAAGTGCGATGGTTTTGCGAGACCAACAACTGGATGGTCCAATGGTTGCTTTTGATCTGAAACATGTTATTGGTGGAAGTATATAAAACATGCAAGAGAACCATATTATAATTTTTTTATAATATTATTATTTATTAATAGCTATGTTAGAACGTTGTTACGAGGATTGAAAAAATGTTTTGAGCTAATTTGTCTTCCAAGTTTGCTATAGCAGCTTTAAAAAACCAAAAGTAAAATAAAGCCTGTTCAAATTATTCTATATAGTTAAAAAAAACATCTAAATAAAATTATGAAGCATTTTGTTTTGTTGCTTGTTTTACAAATGTCGTCCCCCCCCCCCCCCCCCCCCCCCCCCCCACCCCCGTTACACATATATACACACACATACAGGGCCAGATTAACACTTTGTTGTACCCTGGGCAACAATATTCAAGGGCCCCATCATCACGACCCAAGGATCACCATAATGTGGTCACATGCAGAATATTTTACTGTAATATGCAGTAAATATACTCAATACTTGAATGCCTGACATCACGTAACCCGCTCAGGGTAACCTTTGACCCACATCATGTGGACTGGCCAATGAGGAGAGGGTCTTAACTTGAGGCCCTCTTCATTGGTCAGTCTGCATGAGACTGACTCTCAACTGACGTTCAAAGTCATAGGCAGCGAAGCGTCTCTGTGCAGCGCAAAAGCCCGGGTGGACAGTTTGTTTAATGTAGGGTGATCATATTTCCATTTCCAAACAAGAGGACAGGGGATCTGTGCCTATGACGTCACACTATGGCAACGCCACACAAACCATGTTGGGACCCAGTTTTTGTAAGAACTAAATTAATATCAGATTCTGCCAATTAAAGGGCTCTAAAAATTCATATGTAAACATTTAGCATATTTACTGCAAAATCTCATTTTTCTGCTTTAGTGCTGCAACAAGGTTTTATTAATAATAAATTATTATACCTTTTGTTTTACTACAGCATCGGTACGCTTCCTGTGCACAGATTATTAAGGATGCTTGTTTCAGCTGTGAGATTAGACGATAGGATCAATGAAAAAATAAGTTGTCACACACTCCATGGAAACTTTCAGAGAATCCACAAATAGTGGCTTTCAAATAGTTTTGTTACTTTTTGCAAGTTTAGAAAAGCAGCAGATGAGACAGCATGTCTGATAATTTAGTTTTTCATCTGATAACATGTCAGCGATGTCTGAGGGGCTTTTATAAACACTGTATAACTAACACTCCTGGAGAGGGTAGGAATTACACAGAGGCTTCTGGGGAGCCCAGTTATGAAGGGGTGGGGGGGTGGGGGGGTAATTTTGCCTTTGCCCCCAAAATGCCTTGAAACAACCCTGGGTGTGTGACTGAGTTTTGAAGGTGATCTGAATTGTATCAGATGTATAAATATTACATGTGTATAACTTATTGTTTTATACAGGTAAAAACGTGTAGTGGAGATACATCTGCCTACATTTTACTTTTCAACACTTTGTTTTGTTTTCTTGTTTTTATTTCCTGTCCTGTCTGTCTCTCATCTTCCTGCATCTCCTCTAAACTCTCCAGAAAAACTGCTGCCTGGATTCTTACTTTTTCACCTTATCAGTAACTTTTGAGCAGACCAAAGGGATCTCCTGACCGTAAAGCGGAGAGCGCGTTTCGATGCTGCATCAGTGAGGTGAAATCACCGCAGCACAGGTGATGAGCTGCGCAGTAGCAGAGCGCTTCAGGCGCAAATAAGACAGAAAATAGAGAACATGTGCAGATATGAACGATCGTGTGCTAATTATAGTTTTTTGGTTGCGCCACTTTGAGAATGGACCGTGCGCTGGAAGCAGCTGTCTGGAGCGCTGGGCACCAACGCAGCGCTGTATCGCTGTCTGTGCTCTCTGCTCAGAAGAGTCCATAAATGATGTAATATAGGCAGAAACTTTTTTCCGGCTCCCCTGGATGTGTAGGATATACAGCTCCCTCATAATTCGATCCCTGCTCCTGAATGAAAAGCCGGACATTTTCATCAATTCAAGACCCCCCCCCCCCCCCCCACCCCCACCCCACCCACCCGGACAGAGAGTCAAAAGTGGACATGTCCGGGGAAAACAGGACGCATGGTCACCCTAGTTTAATATAAAGTGGGAGATTACAGATACAGTATTTTGCTCGTGCCCTTGCTGCCCTGGGCCCTTTAGAGTTCGTGGGCCCTGGGCAATTGCCCAGTTGCCCATATGGTTAATCCGGCCTTGCGGACACGCACACACACACACATGCACACACGCGCGCGCGCACGCACACACACACACACACTTTGCTGCTTTAATGTAGAAGTCTGCACCAACTTGTGTTCGCATCTCGTGACTTTACAAACTCCATCCTCAAACGTTATCTTTCATTCTGATGTTTTGCAGCTCTGTGAATAAAATTAAGCCTCTGAAAACAGAAGTAAACTGCTGCTTGATCTTCGTCATCATCATGGATCAACTAAAGGTTCCAGCTCATGACACACTTGTCCTGCCAGGTCTTCAGATTGAACTTCGTTGTTGGTGATCACTGGGCTGCAGAGTTGTTGATGTTCATAAATCTGGTTTGTGCGTTCCCTAAACGGAATCAGGGTGATGAGAACCATTACAAGAAAAAAACATCCAGCTTGTTTAATGTATAAAAACAAAACCCCAAAAATAAAACACACACACACACATTATTTCCACATTAGATCACAACCACTAAGCAGAATATGCATAACCCAGATTGAGGGAAAATGGATCATCAAGAGAAGCTATTGTCCTTCTTTCCCACCTTTCATCAACTGCCCCATTGCTTTGGTCGTCGTTGTCTTTTGTTCTTTCTTGAAACTTGCTGCTAAACTGAACCAAGGTCCCTGAAAAGTGGGATAAAACCAGCATCACCTTTTCTCAAAGGGTAGATGGACTTGACACAAATGTCACAATTTCTACAAGAAAATAAATGCTTCCAGACAATCACCTACCAATAATTAGTTACGGGAAAATATAATACAATCAAAACAAAAAGGCAATACACACACGTGTGTTTGCGCACACACACACACACATGTGTGTGTATATATATATATATATATATATATATATATATATATATATATATATATATACATATACATATACATATATACACACAACACATAAAATGCATATATTGTGAATTTTACCTGCAACTCTCCATTTCTTTCTCCAGACCCAGTAGCCGATAACCAACACAACAAGCACAATCACTAAAAAACTCACAACACCCGCTACGACCGAAGAGGATGATGTTGCTGCAGGGATTAAAAGTTTACCAAGTATTAGTGAACAAGAAAACTCACTAGAATAAAAATAACACTAAAACAGCAGAAGAGTTACTTCTTGGGCCTTACCAATGACCGTGACCTGGAGTGACTTTGAGGGAAGAGATTTGAAGGATGCTGAGGAAATGTTAATCCCGTACACACAAGCGTACTCTCCTGAGTCTTCAACGTCTACTTCTGGAAATTCAAAGTACGCCATGTAGAAGAGGGAGTGGCCGAATGCTTGAGGTGATTTGGTAATGTTCGTCTTGGACTTTATTAGATAGAAGACACCATCTGGGAATGTGGAATGAGTAGAGCAAGTGATGGAGAATGCACTTCCTCTGGGTACCGATATCTTCACAGGACTGTAGATCACCATTGAGTGAGCGGATGTCAGGGAGATGCTGGGCTTCTCCAACTTCACTGCAAGGCAGAGGTAGATTGTAATTAATAAGTGTTGAAAATTTACTGTGAACAATATTTAATTCACTGTCAATCTTTATTTTTATTCACCGATGACTGAAAGATCAGCAGTATTTCCTTGAGGATAATAGATGATTCCTCGTTCAGGTCCTTCCGTCTGATATTCACAGAAGTACGACCCATTAAGGCTGAAGTCCGCTTTAGGGAAGATGAAGGTCGCATCTGTTTGAGTGGAGAACTTCTTCATATTCATTGAGCCTTGCCTGTTTTTCAACACGAATGTCCCGCTCAATGTTGAATAGAGTTGAGTTGAGTTGGTTGACCGACTGCAGGTGATTTCCACTTTCTCCCCCCAGTTTACCACTGGTGATGGACTTAAAGTAATTTGGGGCTTCTGTAGATCACCTGGAAGAAATATGTAGATTTCCCTCTGGGATTAATAAAGTATTTTTGAATTGAATTTGAATTGAATTGAGAACCATCACAGGGGCAGCAGTAGCTCAACAAGTTGAGCGGGTTGTCCAGTAATCGAAAACTTGCAGGTTCGATCCCGGCTCCGGACAGAGAATTCTGCTGTTGTGTCCTTGGGCAAGACACTTAACTCATCTTGCCTGCTGGTGGTGGTCAGAGGGACCGGTGGCGCCTGTGCTCGGCAGCCTCGCCTCTGTCAGTGTGCCCCAGGGCAGCTGTGGCTACATCGTAGCTCATCCCCACCAGTGTGTGAATGTGTGTGTGAATGGATGAATGATACACTGTAGTGTAAAGCTCTTTGGAGTCCTTACTCTGAGAGGCGCTATATAAGTGCGGACCATTTATCACTTATATTAGAGGAAAAAGATCATTTGTGGCTTCAAAGTAAACAAGGCTTTTTTTTTTTTACCTGAACAGATGACGCTGGCATCTTCACCGTGACCGCAGTTATTTTCTCCAAAACCAGGATGTGTACAGTGTGTGAGAGCAGATTCTTGGCCTGTACACTCCACATTATCTAGCCATATTGGACCAGAGCCTCTTCCAAAATGAGCATTCCCTGGAGCAAAGACTGCATGACCACAACCGGTCTGTCTACAAACAACATCAGCATCGCTCATTTCCCAGTTGTCATCACACACGGTACCCCACTGGCTTTTATAGTGGACCTCCACTCTTCCAGAACATTGACCCGAACCGCCAACCAACCGCAGCTGTGCTGCAGAAACATTTAGTACAAATATCAAGGAGACAACAGTTCATAGTAAAACATTTCCAACAAGTAATCAGACCTGAAAACAGCAGGAAAAAAATGAATCAAATTATTTACAATTCACATTCAGGAGACAAAGGCTGAACCAAATTGAGATGAAGCCGAGGTTCTTCCTTTTTAATGCTTTGGTTTTAATTAGATATTATATTGAGGGTTTTTCCACTAAAAGCTGCAAAGCTGACTGGTTTCTGAAACCCATCCATCTGCACTGCAATGGTTTTGTGCATTAAGCAAGTGCAAGCATGACAGATCGTGAAGCTTGGTGCATCAAAAAGTGTGCAACACTTAAAAAAGAATTGGGCAAAGAATCAGTTTGGTTCAAAATACCCTGAAACAAACCAAAATATAGACAGTGAGTTTAAAAGCACGGGGCACATTTACACTTAAGGCAAATAAAATAAAATAATCATCATAACTTTACCTGCACAGTCAACTCCAGCATCACGTTCGTGCCCACACTGTGATGCCCTGAAACCTTTGACTGAACACTGCTGAAGAGAAGTCGCGTTGCCGAAGCAGGAATTACTCGCCTCCACCACAGACCCGTTGCCTTCACCAAAATGGGCACCTCCTGGAGCATTCAAAGCTTTGCCACACTCCAGCAACTCACAAACCACCTCGGCTTTACTTTGGGTCCAGTCTGCATCACAAACTGTTTTCCAAGTTTCACCCTGACGGACTTCCACTCTACCGGAACACTCATCCTTGCCGTTGGACAATCGAACTTCCAAGCTCCCTGCAGAGGTGAGTAAATTAAAATGCAACTACATGACAACAAAAACTGAATGAAACATGAACTCTGTAATGTAACAAGACTCTAGTACAAAGTGAAATTTCGTTTGGTTGTCTTTTCTTACCAGTGCAAACGACTCCAGCGACAGAGGTTGAGTTGCAGCTTCTGTCTATATACGGTCTCAGTGGGCACTGAGATATGACAGATTCCCTGCCACTGCATTGAATTTGCATGATCCAGGGCTCTCCAGAGCCACGGCCATACTCAGACATTGTTGTGATTTTATGAGCCCCACCACAATTCAGCTGTCTGCAAACCACCATCGCTTCATTGATGTCCCCTGATTTACCGCACACTGTCCTCCAAAGACCTTCGCTGTAAAACTCAACTCTTCCAGCACAACGATGGGGCCCATCAGCTAGCCTCAAAATTCCTGTAAATTATAAATTATATTAAAGTATAAATATTTAATAAAATGCTTTAAAGACAATTCAAATGAATTCAGTGCCTAAGAAATAACCCCAGTGCACGTGTGTCTTCTCATTCAGTTTAAGTTTGTGACAAATCATTTACTGATGACAAAAGTCATGAATAAATCATCTTTGTTACATTCATTCTGTGTTTCTTATCTGATTCAATTTTTTTGGTGCTTTACTAATACAGTAAATGGACCTTGTTTTTAAGTTTTTGCTGACGTGTTTCAGCTCTTACTGCAGCCTTAGTCAGAGCTTTTGCCGATGTTGGTGGCGCCCTGTTCCTCCCACAGTATGTACTTTTTTTTTGCAGTTTGCACAGTATTTTGATTATGGCTCCACATTTTTTCTCTGATAATATCTTGTCTTCCAGGTGTACTAATCTTTTTCAAATTGCCATATATGTTATGTTGTTTTTTCATCGCTGTTGCCATTATGCCTTTGATGTATGGAAAGGCATTACTGGTTTAGGCTCGATCTTTGCAGTTTTTATTTTTTTGGGGGGGTTCTTTGTTTTGGTTTGTCTTTACTTTTTGTCATTGCTTGTTGTTTTCCTTCATTTATGACCCATGTTGGGTATCTGCAGGTTCTTAAAAGGCTTTGTATGTGTTGGTTCTTCTGTCTGAGGTCTTGTTCTTTTGTTATTATGTTTGCTCGTAAGGTTCTGAGTAAAAAGAAATCAGCCATAACAGACCACTGTCTGAGAAAATTATATAACTGACTGGGACAGCACTCAGATTATAAACGCAGATGAAGAGAAATTCAAACGATGGATCAAAGAAGCAATTGAATTAAGGAAACGTGGACCCAGGACCAAGAACAGAGATACTAGACCATTATTGTTACCTGGCGATCAACGGGAAAGGCACGGGCAATATTGTCCTCTACTACCCACAGATAAGGACAGCAGTAGCTCAGGAGGTACAGCAGGCTGTCAAGTATTCGGACGGTTGCAGGTTCGATCCCGGCTCTGACCGGAGAATGCTGCTTTTGTGTCCTTGGGCAAGACACTTACCGCCACCACCTTGTCTGCTGGTGGTGGTCAGAGGGACCGGTGGTGCCTGTGCTCGGCAACCTCGCCTTTGTCAGTGCGCCACAGGGCAGCTGTAGCTACATTGTAGCTCATCACCACCAGCGTGGGGATGTGTGTGAATGGATCAAGGATACACTGTATGCAGTGTAAAGCGCTTTGGAGTCCCGTGAGTCAGAAAGGTGCTATACAAGTGCGGGTCATTTATCAGTATCTTAAACAGAGATGGAAGTGACACCACCAACATTGGCGAAACCTCTGACGAAGGCTAAAGTGAGAGCCCAAACATGACAGCAAAAAGGTAAAAACAAGTTCCATTTACTCTATAAAGAACCCAAAAAACTGAAATCTCTTTAATATTTATCCTAAATGGAAATGGTATGGGAAAACACCTCGTACAATAACTTAGAGATGGGAAATTAAAATGAATGACTTGTTTCTGCAAAGAAAAAATACATCAGTAGATCACTTGTAACACATGTTCCCTCTGTGTTTCACATGTTAGCTCTGTGTTACACTTGTTACCTCTGTGTAACACATGTTACCACTGTGTTATACATGTTACCATTGTGTTATACATGTTACCACTGTGTTATACATGTTACCACTGTGTTATACATGTTACCACAGTGTTACACATGTTAACTCTGTGTTTCACATGTTAGCTCTGTGTTACACTTGTTACCTCTGTGTAACACATGTTACCACTGTGTTATACATGTTACCATTGTGTTATACATGTTACCACTGTGTTATACATGTTACCACTGTGTTATACATGTTACCACAGTGTTACACATGTTAACTCTGTGTTACACATGTTAGCTCTGTCTTACATATGTTCCCTCTTTGTTACACTTCTTACCACTGTGTAACACATGTTACCACTGTGTCACAAATGTTAACTCTGTGTTACACACGTTAAATCAAAACATCCAAATTATAAAACTATGCCCCACGTCATCTTAACTTCAGTTCCAAGCGTTCTAGAGAGGTTATCGGAGTAGCCAATCTGTAACTTTCCTCTTAAAGTCGAAAGAACCTGGAAAGAAGAAACAAGCTGGATTAAATCTGTTGCATGTTCCACCTGCTGCAACGGCTCCTTCAGAATAAAAGCTGAACAATCATGACCCCTTCAGGGTCTCGCTGATGCCATTAAACTGTCGTGACCTGGGAGTAAATCAAGACTGGAAGGGTCGGCAACCGTTGCATATCTACAGGTGTCGGTTCCAAGAGGGTCCAAGCTGGACCCCCGACATTCCGGATCTAAACGGGGACTTTCTCTGGGGTACGTAGACCGACAGATGTCGTCTCTATGTGTAATATAATCTCCAACCAAAGCTTAGAGCGAGACACCATCTCACTCCCATCAGAACTAATCGTTCTATTTCATCTAGTCTTAGCCCTTTAGCTAGCTGCTATTGGAAGGATGATCTCAGCATCAGCCAATCGTGAAGAGCTTAAATGTACGCCCACCAATGGTGGGCACCCCTTGTGGGTATATAACTGGAGCGACTCCACTGCTCGCCTCCGTTATCTCTTCAAGCCAAGCTTAAGAGCTTTCTTTAAAGAGCAAATTATCGAAGAAACAACATTCAACTCACCAGCCATGTCCAGCGATGCCAGGACCTGTCCGGCCTGCCAGACGGGCTCCATCTCCAGCAGCGACCTGCACGCCAAGTGTGAGGTCTGTCTCGGGGCTCATCACGCTGGCCTGGCCTTGACCCCCCAGGCCTCGTGCCCGTTTTGTGCTGCTCTGCCCGTGGCTGAAAAGGTCCGCCGGGTCGAGTGCTTCACCCCCACCACCGACGAGGAAATTCCGGTGGCTGGCACGTACTCGCTGGACAAGGCCTTTCAGTTCTTCGTCATCGGTCAGGAGCCGGCTGGCTCCTCCCGACTGGACGATGTCATCGAAAGTGAGGAGTACGAAGAGGCTGGCTGCCATAGCCCTTTTTCCCTCCTGTACAACACGGAGGTCGACGAGCCTTGTGAGGAGTACGACGAGGCTGGCTGCCATAGCCCTTTTTCCCTCCTGTACAACACTGAGGTCGACGAGCCTCGTGAGGAGTACGACGAGGCTGGCTGCCATAGCCCTTTTTCCCTCCTGTACAACACAAAGGTCGACGAGCCTCGCTCAGCGGGTCCTCCTGCCCCAGTGGCTTCTAGCTCCTCCCTGCCAGCAGTTAGAGCACTGCTCCAGGAGCTGCCCTCCATCATCTCCGCGGCCGCGGTCCGCAAGGGGCTAGCCGTGCCAGAACCGCCTCTGCCTGAGGCAGATGATTTGGCAGGAATTTTCGGGTCAACACAGACGCGCTGTCCAGACCCCGTCTGGCCGCATTTCCCCACTGCCATGAGCTGCTGGACCGCCGCCTTCTCCGAGCCTGCTAGGCTTAAGGCGCCAATTTCCACATATACGCCCATTACCAAGGTCGAGGGCTTCTCCGACCTGGGCTGGCCATCCGTTCCTCCACTGGAGCCGGTCTTGGCCTCGCTGTGTGGCGCTAAGAACCACCTCGCTGGCCCGTGAGCAGTTGCCGCTTCTAAGCATGACCAGCTGCTGACGCGGCTGACCGATCATGCACACCAGTGCGCCTTCCAGACCGGCGCTGCAGGAAATATCTTTGCCCTTCTTGCCCTTTGGCGTTTCCAAAATGGTGGAAGAGCTTGATGTTCCTGACGAGTCAAAAACCATCATTACCAAAACTGCTGGTGCCATTCTCAATCTGTGCACTGCTGTGCTCACCGGTTCTGCTCGCATTGCTGCCTGGCAGACCCTTATCCTTTTTTTTTTTTTATTTTTTTTTTTTTTTTATTTTTTTTTTTTTTACCGTGTCCTGTCTGGCTGTGAAGCAAGCAGAATTGATGTCTGAATGCTGGTGACAAGCCTTACAGATTTATTCTCAGGTGGAGCATCAAAGCGTTTGCTTTTAATGTCACGCCTGATACTTAAAACTTTATTGTTATTGTTGTTGAATGCTTTGTAATTCCGACCAGACACGGAGACAGAGGTGAAAGAGAAAGGAAGAGAAAAGGTGGAGAGAGAGGAGGGGGGGGGGGGGGGGGTCCTCAAAAATAAACAATGAACAAGAGTCTGCTTCTAGACCTGCCGAATAAGACAAAAAAAAAAGGACAAAAAAAGGGACACGACAACAATACAACAAGATCTACCTATCACTGCGTCAACTTGATGAAAAAAAAAATATATATATATATATAGATAGATATATACATACATATATACATATAATCAACATTGCTTAACTGAAGAATCACGATAATAAATCACAATGCATTAAGTGCCCCCCATAGTCTTAAGACATGTGTTGAACGTGCCCAAGCCCATACTTTTGAGAGCACCATGCGAGCACCTGTGTGTGTACACGCGCTTGTTTATTTAAGGTTTCTCTATAGGAGCGCCCAACAGAGAGTGTGAGGGACCACAGATCCGCCCCCCAAAGATGCGCAGGAGACGGGGGGGAGCTCCAAGTCCCAGAGATCCAGGCGTTGCCCCAGAATGCAGGAACCCCAAGGAGACTGCAACCAGAAAGCCCCCCCCCCCCCCCCCCCCGAGAGGCACAGAGGATCGCCCCGGGGGGCCACAACCAGCAGCCGGCAGAGTCCCTGGAGATATCAGCGGCAAGCCCACAGGCCCGCCCGCAGCCTCCCACCCCCTAGCCGGCCGAGCCCGGGACCCAGCGACCCGGGACCCAGGGGTGACCACCCCCGCCGGGGACCCAGCAGAGCCCAGGGACCCAGACCCCACCAGGCAGCCACCGGGATCTATCAGGCAGATGCCAAAATCTTAAACCCCCAGACCCGGTTACCACGAACACTCAGGCAGACCATGGCACAAGCCCCCACACCAGGTGTGGCAGGGGGAGGGGGGGCAAAGATCTATATCATAAAGAGAAGTTCCAGGAGAGGGGAGGACCCAAAGGCCCCACCTGACATATACAGTCATACACAAACACAGTCACACACTCCCTCCCTCATGCTCACACATGCACATACAACCCAAGACTTACAAAAATGCACGCCGGACACTCATTCATGCTCCCCATACACACCCTATTAACTCTGGTCCCGGTACTGCTGCACATGGGGTACAACCATCACTGGTTACCAGAGTTTGACCCTTTCTGCTGGGGTGCTGATGAGCTGGCTCCCCCGCCCAACGCTGAGCACAGCAACCCACCACCCCAGACCCCAACCAGACGGCCAGATCTCCCTCCTAGCCTCCAGCCCCAGGGAGCCTAGCAACAACAGAGGTGGCTAAGACCCCTAGTCTCCCTCCACCTGCTCCAATATAGTGTTGTGTGATCATGAGGTGTATTCCATGGCTGTGGTGAGTGGGCAGTGCGGGCATCATCCGGCATATGCCAGCTGATGCCACCGCACCACCCCACTTACACCCTCAGCCATCAGTGTCTAAGTGCGGTTTAAAATTGGAAGTGGGCACCGGCACTCGGGAGGAGGCTGAAATATCCCCCTGCCAAATGCCATTGAATGTGCTCACTCCCAAGGCCCTAAGTGTGTGTTTGTGTGGAATGTCGTCAGTGGAAGTGTATAAGGTGCAAATAAAATTGGGGGGCAGGTTGCCACAGGAATGCGGAAATGGGGTCCATACCCGCACTCCCTGACTTGCCCACCCCCCAAGGTCCTATGTGTATGTTTGTGTGAGGATGTGAGGGAGCAGGAGGAGAGAAATATGCGGGGATGGGGAGGAATGGCTGGTTGGGCTTAGTCCTCCAGGGAGCCAGCTCCCCTACTGGCCCCAATAGGCACCTCTGTTGTCAAACTGCCACCCAGGGCATGGAAACCCCAGCCCATCCTGCCAGGGCCCAAAGCAGCAGCATTACAGAGCCTCACGGAGTCCGAGGGCACCAACCCAGCCCCATCCCAGCAGAATATCTATGCCCACCCCTGCATTTGCACAACTTCCAGAATATATAAGACATGGGACATCCAGGTAAGGTTTGGTCCTCCCCGTCCTGGACCTCCCCCTCCCCTGTGATGGAACGGCAGAGGAGCCAAGGTCTACCTGATGCCCCCCGAGGCAACCCAAGCACCTCCAGAGGGGGGCAAAGCCCCCCAGTCCCAGACACCCCCAGTGAACCCACCTCCAGGGAACATCCGGATACTCCAAACTCAGACCCCCCACCCCCCCCCCCCCCCCACCCACACCATCCCACAGGACAACATCAATGGCCCCCCACCCTCGCTATGTGATGGAACCGATCAAAGGAGCCCAGAGAGATTCATCTGAAGTGGAAGCAGAGGCTATATCAAGTGCAATATGATCTAACAAAAGATTTCTATACTGGTTGATGCAGAGAGTTTCTCTATTTTTCCAATTCAAGAGGATAGTTTTCTTAGCGATGCACATGGCAGTCAGAACCACGTGAACCAAAGATGTTGCAATCGGGACATCGTCCAGGTTTCCCAGTAAACAAAGAGAGGGGGAAGTTGGGATATGACATTTCAGACATTTTGACAGATCCTCACATACTCTACCCCAAAATTCCTGGACAGGTGGGCAGGACCACAGTGCATGAATGTAATTGTCAGGAATGTTGTTTGTGCAGTGTGTACAGGTGTCAGACGACACAAACCCCATCTTGAACATCCGATGACCTGTGTAGTGTACTCTGTGTAGAATTTTGTACTGAATTAATTGTAAATTGGGGTGTCTGATCATTTTAAAAGTTTTTAAACAAGTTTGGGACCAGAAGCCCTGGTCAAGGCTAACTGATAGATCCACCTCCCATTTTTCAATAGGGATTGCAATTTTATCGTCTATTTTGGACAGTGTCTTATATACTTTAGACAGTAGTTTGGGGGGTTTGAGATTATATAAGTCTAATACCCTTGGTGGTGTTTGTAATTCTATTTTATTGAGCTTAAATTTTTGTTTGACTACAGATTTAATTTGGTGATATTCTAAAAAGCTATTCTTATCCATTCCAAATTGGAAGACTATTTGATTAAATGGGATGAAGTCCAATCCTTCATATATGTGTTCCAGGTAAAGGATTCCTTTATTTTTCCAGTCCGGAAGGTTCATCATTTTGTTGTTTTGCAAAATGTCAGGATTGTTCCAGATAGGTGTGCGTCTGCATGGTACTAGTGAAGACTCATTCTCTGGCAGACCCTTATCCAGCGGGCCTTGTGGCTCAAGGCCCTGCCCTCCATTCCTGATCACCTGCACAGGGAGATGCTGGAAGGCCCCATCACCTCTGACGTTCTGTTTGGTACCCATCTTACGAGCGTCATCGAGAGGGCTCAGAAGGCGGCTGAACTGTCAGCCACGGTGCGAGACCTGGTCCACCTTCGGTCAGCCTCGCACTCCGGCCGTTCCTCCAGAGGATGGGACGAACGGTGCGGAAACTTCAGGCGCCCAGCTGCACCGTCCGCCCCGCGGAGCCGGTCTCCCGCTTCGGCTCCACCTCAGCGGGACCAGAGAGTTGGCGGCCAACGGTTCCGAAAGAGCCAGCAGACACCGTCTTGGCAGTCACAGGCGCAGGAACCTAGCCAAAAGCAACCACGAAAACGACTCGTTGGGAGGAATGTGTATGCTTATGACTGTAATGTTAACTCTGTGAATGATTTTGGTTTTGAAATAAAACCCAGAAAACGTCACATTGAGAGCACAATCCTACAGTTCTCTGCAGAACCCTCTGCCGAATCCTCACACATGTTCCCCACACCAAGCACTGCGACACATCTGCATGTTCCCGCAATCCGTCATAATACACGGCCAGCTGTAAGGGTGCGCTCCATTTGCGCACCGGCCCCAGCCTCCGGCCGGGCCCAACTCATCCTGCTTCCCCCACAGCGTTGGGTGGGATGGGATGTCATGGCGCTGTCGCGACCACGCGCAGTGACACGGTACACGGCTCCATCCGCTGGCACTTTGTCGTCCCTGTGCATGGGCCCGGCTCCCACTTGTCCTTGATCCTTGGACTCCACGCTCCTCGGTGCGGATCAGCCTCTTCCAGCTGTTCACACTCGCCCTTTCGAGCACAGCCCTCCATGGGTCGCTCCCAGTTCTCTGGTGCGAGCGACGGCGGTAAGGGCGTGAACCCAGTCCTCAGACGTTGTTCACGTGACCTCGAACACGCGTCCGCTGTTGGAAGGCGTGCAAGAATGGCGCCGCCTTTGCCTCATGAGCAAATGGATGTCGGACACCATTCACTACGGTCACACTTTCCATTTTCAGTCCGCTCCTCCTCCCTTCAACGGGATCGTGGAGACGACGTTCACGTCACAGTTACAATCTCAGGCCCTGGAGCTAGAGCTGCGGGAACTTCTGTCCAAGGACGCAATTTCCCAAGTCCCTCGCAGACGAGAGCTCTCGGGCTTCTACTCCCGCTACTTCATAGTACCAAAGAAGTCGGGAGGAATGAGACCAATTCTCGACCTTTCTCTGTCCAACTGCTCCATAGCAGTGATGCATTTCCGCATGTTAACAATGAGGCAAGTCCTGGAATACGTGCGCTCTGGGGACTGGTTCACGTCAATAGACCTGAAAGACACATACTTCCACATCCCAGTAATTCCCAAGCACCGGAAGTTCCTGTGCTTCTCATTCAAGGGAGTTCAATACCAGTTCAATCGTCTCCCTTTCGGCTACTCGCTAGCCCCGCGCACCTTCTCCAAATGCCTGGAGACCGCGCTGCAGCCACTGCACACGGCGGGAATGAGGGTTTTATTTTACCTGGACGATCTGCTCATATGCGCCCAGTCCAAGGACGAGGCGTCAGAGCAAACCAGGAAGTTAACAGAGCATCTGTCAACCCTGGGGTTTTCCATAAACTGGGAAAAGAGCTCCATCCTTCCATCCCAGTCGATTGTGTTTCTCGGGGTGGAGCTGAACGCCTCTCTACTGAGAGCACGTTTGTCTCCGGCGAGAGCGGCAGATCTCACCACGGTGATCTCCCGCGTGCAACCCCGCAAGATCATGAGAGCCCTGTTAGTCATGAAACTTCTGGGCATGATGGCTGCAGCCCACGCTGTGGTGCCGCTAGGTTTACTGCACGTGAGGCGCCTGCAGCGATGGTTCATCCGCCTCCGGGTACACCCGATATGTCAGAAGAGACGTACGTTGAGGGTTCCCCCTTCAGTGGGCGGGGACCTCGTTCACTGGGGGAATCCCTGCATCCTCTCACACGGGGTCCCCATCGGACGTCCTACGTCACACGTATGTGTTTACGGATGCGTCACTGTTGGGATGGGGGGGCACGTGCTTGTCCCATACGGTAGCAGATCGCTGGCCTCCCACACGCACGAGCACATAAATGTATTGGAGCTTTTGACAGTGAGGAATGTGATCAGACACTTCGCTGCCCTTCTCGAGGGCCGTCATGTCAAAGTTCACACAGACTACCAGGTGGCGGCAGCCTACATAAATCGCCAAGGGGGAGTTCGATCCCTCCCACTATTGCGTGTAGCCACAGATTTACTGTGTTGGGCACATGTCCACCTGCTGTCCATCAAAGCCACCTACATTCCGGGGGTCCTGAATGTAGCAGCGGACATCCTGTCGAGAGGGGGACCCCGCGACTCCGACTGGCGTCTGCATCCCGCACTGATATCACAGATCTGGATGAGGTTCGGGGAACCCTCTGTGGATCTGTTCGCAGCTCGCGAAAACGCACAGTGTCGCCTGTGGCTTTCCCTGAGTCCCCGGGACCATCCCCCACTCGGAGCGGACGCCTTCTCGCACCAGCCCTGGCCTCAGACGCTCCTGTATGCATTTCCGCCAGTCCCACTGATTCTCCGTCTCCTGGACCGAGTTCGGTCGGAACGGCTCTCAGTAATTCTGGTAGCTCCCAGACGCTTGTCCGCGTCATGGTTTCTGGACCTGCAAGCGCTAGTGTCCGGCTCTCCGTGGAGGGCGGACTCCCTTCTCCAGGCGGATGGGATAATCAAACATCCTCCGGAAATAGGCCAACGGCTGTGGGTCTGGCCGCTGAGCGGTCACGCTTAGAGGCTTCTGGGCTGCTGCATGATGTGGTCGCCACGATTCGGAGTGCGCGGGCGCCCTCTACCGTCACATCTTATGTCGCTAAGTGGGCAGCTTTCCAGAAATGGTGCACGGAGCGAAATGTTCATGCGCTCTCCTGCCAGCTGGCGGATGTCCCATCGTTTCTGCAGATACTGATGGAGGGGGCCTTGCATTCAGCACTATTAAAACATATGCTGCAGCTATCTCATCCTGTCACCAGGGTTTTGGAGATAGATCTGTTTTCAATCATCCGCTCACAAAGCCTGTTTGTGCACTACAGAGATTCTTCCCTTGGGCAAGTGCTGTCGATCCAGCGTCTTTCACACTGGCTGTGTGACGCCATTTCACTCGCTTACACATCATCAGGGCAGGATCCTCCTGAGACACTCGGGGCTCGCTCAGCCAGGGGGTTTTCCTCTTCTATGGCGCTCCACAGTGGTGTGTCGATGGAAGACATTTGTCAGGCTGCTTCATGGGCTTCACCCTGTTCCTTTACTCCTTATTATTTACGAGATGTGGCTTCAGGATTCATCACTCGTTCAGTGCTTGGACCTCAGCAGGCTGAGTGAAGGCATTTTGGCACCACATCAGCACTGCTTGAATGATTTTCATCCTCTTGTGGATGATCATTTTAGTGGGGCCCCACTCTCCTCTCTGGTTGCCTCAGCCTTTTAAGCCCTGGGCTACGGCTGAGCATCCCTCACTAAAAGGAGACATGTTGGGTGTGTCCATTGGTTGAGCTAACCAGTGTGGCGTAAACCCATCCAGCTGCGCATTATTCCAATAGCAGCTAGCTTAAGGGCTAAGACTAGACAAAATAGAACGTTGGTTACGTATTGTAACCCCAGATTCTATGAGTCTAGTCACAGCCCTTAAGCCAATGGCCCCACTGGTTCTGTTAGGACTAAGAGCCATCGGAGGCGAACAGTGGAGTCGCTCCACTTAAATACCCACAAGGGGTGCCCACCATTGGTGGGCGTACATTTAAGCTCTTCATGATTGGCTGATGCTGAGATCATCCTTCCAATAGCAGCTAGCTTAAGGGCTGTGACTAGACTCATAGAATCTGGGGTTACAATACGTAACCAACGTTTTTCCGGATTTGCTGGTTCTAAATTGTAAATGGTAAATGGCCTGTATTTGATATAGCGCCTTCTAGAGTCATGGAACCCCTCAAGGCGCTTTACAACACAATCAGTCATTCACCCATTCACACACACACATTCACACACTGGTGGGGATGAGCTACGGTGAAGCCACAGCTGCCCTGGGGCGCACTGACAGAGGTGAGGCTGCCGAGCACTGGCACCACCAGTCCCTCCGACCACCACCAGCAGGCAAGGTGGGGTGAGTGTCTTGCCCAAGGACACAACGACAGCGACAGACTGAGCGGGGCTTGAACCTGCAACCTTTCGATTACGGGGCAAGCATTTAACTCCTGTGCCATCGTTGTTCTGAACATATGCTTGGGGTGCCTCGGTGGGTGGACTGCTGGCGGTTGTGAGTGGGGCCCCTTGGGGATCTTGGCGGCAACCATGGGTCACTGCCTGGCAGCTGCATTGCCCCTGGGCGGGTCTGGGTGGGGGCCTGGGGGCTCGGGGTTTGGGGGTGGCCGGCCCCGTGTGGGGATCTGGGCGGGGCCTTGGGGGTCGGGTCCTGACATGTATGCTGCCGGGAAGAAGGCAGGAACATGCATCAGTGCCTGGCCCGGGTTCGGGGGCCTCAGGTAGACCTTGGCTCCTCTGCCGTTCCATCACAGGGGAGGGGGAAGTCCAGGAGGGGGAGGACCCAACCTTACCTGGATGTCCCATGTCTTATATATTCTGGAAGTTGTGCAAATGCAGGGATGGGCATAGATATTCTGCTGGGGTGGGGCTGGGTTGGTGCCCTCGGACTCCGTGAGGCTCTGTAATGCTGCTGCTTTGGGCCCTGGCAGGATGGGCTGGGGTCTCCTTGCCCTGGGTGGCAGTTTGACAACAGAGGTGCCTATCGGGGCAAGTAGGGGAGCTGGCTCCCTGGAGGGCTAAGCCCAACCAGCCATTCCTCCCCATCCCCGCATATTTCTCTCCTCCTGCTCCCTCACATCATCACACAAACATACACATAGGACCTTGGGGGTGGGCAAGTCAGGGAGTGTGGGTATGGACCCCATTTCCGCATTCCTGTGGCAACCTGCCCCCCAATTTTATTTGCACCTTATACATTTCCACTGACGACATTCCACGCAAACACACACTTAGGGCCTTGGGAGTGAGCACATTCAACGGCATTTGGCAGGGGGATATCTCAGACTCCTCCCGGGTGCAGGTGCCCACTTCCAATTTTAAACCGCACTTAGACACCGAGGGCTGAGGGTGTAAGTGGGGTGGTGCGGTGGCATCAGCTGGCATAGGCCGGATGATGCCCGCACTGCCCGCTCACCACAGCCATGGAATACACCTCATGATCACACAACACTATATTGGAGCAGGCAGAGGGAGACTAGGGGTCTTAGCCACCTCTGTTGCTGCTTGGCTTCCTGGGGCTGGAGGCTAGGAGGGAGATCTGGCTGTCTGGTTGGGGTCTGGGGTGGTGGGTTGCTGTGCTCAGTGTTGGGCGGGGGAGCCTGCTCATCAGCACCCCAGCAGAAAGGGTCAAACTCTGGTTACCAGTGATGGTTGTACCCAATGTGCAGCAGTACCGGGACCAGAGTGAATAGGGTGTGTATGGGGAGCATGAGTGGGTGTCCGGCATGCATTTTTGTAAGTCTTGGGTTGTATGTAAATGTGTGAGCATGAGGGAGGGAGTGTGTGACTGTGTTTGTGTATGACTGTGTATGTCAGGTGGGGCCTTTGACTCCTCCCCTCTCCTGGAACTTTTTTTGATGATATAGATCTTTGTCCCCCCTCCCCACCACACCTGGTGTGAGGGGTTGTGCCTGGGTCTGCCTGAGTGTTCATGGCAACCGGGTCAGGGGGTTTAAGATTTTGGCATCTGCCTGATAGATCCCGGTGGCTGCCTGGTGGGGTCTGGGTCCCTGGGCTCTGCTGGGTCCCCGGCGGGGGTGGTCACCCCTGGGTCCCGGGTCGCTGGGTCCCGGGCTCGGCCGGCTAGGGGGTGGGAGGCTGCGGGCGGGCCTGTGGGCTTGCCGCTGATGTCTCCTGGGACTCTGCTGGCTGCTGGTTGTGGCCCCCCGGGGCGATCCCCTGTGCCTCTCGAGGGGGGCGGGGGCCTTTCTGGTTGCAGTCTCCTTGGGGTTCCTGTGTTCTGGGGCAGCGCCTGGATCTCTGGGACTTGGAGCTCCCCCCCATCTCCTGTGCATCTTTGGGGGGGCTGATCTGTGGTCCCTCACACTCTCTGTTGGACGCTCCTATAGAGAAACCTTATATAAACAAGCGCGTGTACACATACATGTGCTCACATGGTGCTCTCAAAAGTATGGGCTTGGGCACGTTAAACACAGGTCTTAAGACTATGGTGGGCACTTAATGCACTGTGATTTATTATCCTGATTCTTCAGTTAAGCAATGTTGATTATATATTTCTTCATTAAGTTGACGCAGTGATAGCTTGATCTTGTTGTGTTGTAGTTGTGTCCCATTTTTTTTGCCCTTTTGCTTTTTTTGTCTTTTTCTGCAGGTCTAGAAGCAGACTCTTTTCTTTTCCTTTCTCTTTCACCTCTGTCTCCATGTCTGGTCGGAATTACAATGCATTCAAAGACAATAACAATAAAGTTTTAAGTTTCAGGCGTGACATTAAAAGCAGACGCTTTGATGCTCCACCTGAGAGTAAATCTGTAAGGCTTCAATTCTGCTTGCTTCACAGTCAGACAGGACACGGTAAAAAAATAAATAAATAAGATAAAATAAAATAAAAATAAAAATAAAAAGATCTGATCTTCTGGTTAAATTTACTCAAAGATCCATTAAGGTGATATTTCATATTTCATGATATTTCACATTCTATGGTTTCTAATTAAATGTAAGAACATCTTCTCTACACTAGTGATAGGAATTACGGCTCTTTTTAGAGAGCCGGCTCTTTCGACTCCCAAGGGGCTCCTCAGATTTTCTGTTGTGTTAAGTACATTTACAACCAAAATAATGCAAAACTATATGTAAAATGATTTACTAATGTAAAAAATGCTATATAATAGTAATAATAATGCATTTAATTTGAAGAACACTGTACAGATATAAATTGACGAACATAGAAACAACAAAGAAAACAAGTACAGTCAATTATTCAGCATTGCTAAAAGATACAAATAAAGTAAGAGAATGCCAGCCGGAACAGATGGGTTGTAAGGTGTGCCTTGAAGATGGAGAGAGAGTCAAGGTTACCGATATTAGGTGGAAGAGAGTTCCAGAGCTTAGGAGCGGAGTAGCTAAATGCTCGACCCCCCATAGTACTGAGTCTGATCCTGGGAATAACAAGGTGTGGTGAAGCAGAGGAACAAAGTAAGCGAGAGGAAGAGGTAGTTTTAAGCAGATTAGATAAATAAGGGGGAGCAAGATTATGGATGGATTTGAATGTGTGTAACATGAGTTTGTATTCTACTCAAGATGGCGGCGCACACGGCTGCAGCGGCTTACGGCTCTCCGGCTCAGTACTCCTTTTTTTGTTTAGTTTGATAGTTTGTATGTCTTTCTTATTTTTTTCTGCGCACTCTGCTCCGCTGGGACAGGACAAAGGACTCCGGTAAGAGCAGGGGGGGAGGCTTCAACATGTTCAGACTGCTTCCCTCAGGGAAGCGCTACAGATGCATTAATACAAAAACCCACAGACTCAAAAACAGTTTCTTCCCCAAAGCAACAACCACCCTGAACTCACACATGCACCGATAACACAGCCCCCACTTCCCACTTCCTCTATTGACCACCGCTATTTATACCATTTGTATGTGCAATAACTGAATATACATAACACTAATACTGTCCATATGTATATAGCGCTGCAGAACTTGACCCCCCCCCCCCAGCATGTTTTTACACTGAGTAGGAGATGCTCTGAATCTCATTTTACAATTGTATAGTGACAATAAAGGCATTCTATTCTATTCTATTCTATTCTATTCTATTCTATTCGGAATTTGACAGGTAACCAGTGGAGTTTGTTCAGGACAGGGGCGATATGGTGAAATGAGGGAGTTCGGGTGACTACCCGGGCAGCAGAGTTCTGGACCAGTTGTAAGCGGTTGATGGATTTCAGGGGGAGGCCAAACAGAAGGGAGCTGCAATAATCAAGACGGCTTATGACTAGGCTATGGACCAAGGTGGCAGCAGTCTGAGGAGAGAGGGAGGGATGGAGATGGTTAATATTTCCTAGGTGAAAATAAGCAGCTCTAATGGTATTGTTGATGTGTTGCTGAAATGAAAGTGTGCTGTCAAAAATGACACCCAGGCTTTTTACAGAGAGGGAGGGTGAAACTGAAGATTTATCAATGGTAAATGAAAAATTGTTAGTTATAGAAAGGGTGGATTTGGAGCCAACTAAAAGGATTTTGGTCTTATTGCAGTTTAATTTGAGGAAATTTGAGGAAAGCCAGGCACTGATGTCAGATAAGAGTCAGTGAGGGAGGATGGAGGAAGGGTACTGGAAGGCTTGGTGGCAAGATAGAGTTGAGTGTCGTCAGCATTACAATGAAATTGAAAATTATGTTTGCAAAAAATTTCGCCAATGGGAAGAAGATAGATGATAAAAAGGAGGGGGCCAAGAACAGATCCTTGTGGAACACTGGAAGTCACTGGAGAAGAGCGAGATTGAAAAGTGTGAAGTTGTATAAACTGGGTGCGTGATGAAAGATAAGATTTTAACCAAGCCATAAGGGTATCGGTAATGCCGATTGCAGACAGTCGTTTGAGTAAGATGGGGTGGGAAATGGAGTCTAAAGCAGCACTTAAATCAAGCAGAATGAGGATGGAGAGACTGGTATCGGCAGCCAACAGAAGATCATTTGTAATTTTGATAAGAGCAGACTCAGTACTATGACGGGGGCGGAATCCTGACTGAAAAGTTTCATAAAGAGAATTATGGGATAAATGAGAGTGTAGTTGAACAGCCATCACTTTTTCAAGAATTTGGGATAGAAATTGAAGGTTAGAGATTGGACGGAGGTTATTGTAGTCGTTTGGATCAGCAACTTGCTTTTTTAAGATGGGAGTGACAATAGACATCTTAAAAAGAGCGAGGAAAGAACCAGTGGTAAGAGATGACTGTAGAATGTTGATGATGAGGGGTAAAAGGGACGGAAGACAGGATTTAACTAAGGCGGTGGGAAGAGGATCTAGACGGGTTGAAGGTTTAGATTTTTGGATGAGTGATGATAAAGTGGAGGCGTCTGGAATAGAGAAACTGGACAGAGGTGAGGAATAACTAAGCACATCAGGGGGAGGATGGAGAGTAGAAACTGCAAGTGTTAGTGAATTTTCACGATTTTCTGATTTAAAAAGTCCATGATAGTATTGCATACATCGTTGGAGTAAAAATGTAGTGGAAGAGAATGAGGATAGCTGAAGGTTTTGTTGACCAGTGAGAATAGAAACTTTGAGTTGCCATCATTAGAGTTAATTAAACCAGAGTAATAGGCTGCTTTAGCAGAGCTAATAATGTTCCTATAGTGGGCTAAGTGAGCTAGGTACATCTCCCTATGTGCAGAGAGACCACTTTTCCTATATTACCTTTCCAATTGGCATCCAGCAGCTTTCAGCTCCCTGAGTTCAATGTTGAACCAGGTTGCAGAGCGGGAAATAGAAACGGACCTAGTCTTAACAGGGGCTAGATTGTTGAAAATATTATGAACACTAGAGTTATAATGGCTAACTAGGTCATCAGTAAAGGTAGAATGATCAGAAATCTAGATAGATGAGAGGTCTGAAGAGAAGATGTCGATATTGATATCCTTAGTATTCTGAAAGTGAATAATGCGGGGTGACTTGACTGGAGAAAGAGATAGAAATAAAGAAAGAAATCAATAAATGGTCAGAAATATGAAGGCCAGTCACACTGGGGTCAGAGGGGATAAGACCAGAACAGCAGACCAAATATAAGGTGTGACCTTTGTTGTGGGTGGGAGTGTTGATATACTGAGAAAAACCATGACTGTCATAACAAGACAGAAAATCTTTAGTGAGTGGTGAATTAGTAATGTCCACGTGAATATTAAAATCACCCAGTATGACTATAGTGGGTGAAAGTGATGATAAGTGGTAAAGAAGAGTAGCAAATTGAAGCAAAAACTCATGATGGGGTTTAGGTGGACGATAAACAACAGCAATAAGGGTAGGGATGGATCCAGGTAGTTGAAGGACAAGACATTCCATAGAGCTGAATGATGGGAGAGCCACAGGTAGAGCTCTCCATATCTTACGGTGAATTATCGCGATAGCACTGCCCCGGGTACCACAAGATTTGGAGGTGTAAACATATCCAAAGGGGCAGGAGTCATTGAGCAGAGAAAAGTCGTTAGCCGATTGCTAAGTTTCAGTCAAGCAGAGGAAAGTCAGGTTATTTTCAGAGATAATGTCATGGATGTGATGACTTTTCGATGTTAGAGAATGGATGTTGAGCAAGCAGAGGTTGATAGTGGAGAGGTGTTGTCCATCCAGAACATTAGCCTGCCTGGCTAGGGAGATCAATAACCCGACGTTAAAAAGTTAAAACGTTTAAAAAAAGGGCTAAAAACGCTAAAAAAATATGCTAAAAAAGACAAAAACACTGGAGAGCAGTGGCAGCAAGTCGCGCCAGCGTCCACTCACTCAGCTGTTGTCAATGTCAATATATCAAATATTTATCATTTCTATGGATTTAATAACTGAACACTTTAAGAAATCTCCACTTTCTGACTGCTGGCTCTCATTTTCTCCCCGTCTTCGTCGCACTCTCCTCTCTCACTCGCCTTTTTCCTCCTCCTCATTCCCTCTCGTCTCCTTCCACCCGCATGTGCTCTGCTGTGTGTCTGAGTCTGATCCTCCCTCTTCCCCGCCCCAACTGCTCTGTGTGTGGATAGTCTGGACACGCAGTTACACATGCTGACCAATAGCTTTCACCAAAGCAATAGGGGAGGGGGGAGGGGAGGGGACGGCTCCCAATGACGAGCCGGCTCCCATTGTTCACTTCAGAGGCGGCTTTTAGAGCTGGTTTGTTCGCGACTGACACATCACTACTGTTACCACTGTGTTACACTTGTTACTAATGTAGTACACAGGTTACCACTCTGTAACGCACCATACCACTGTGTTACACTTGTTACAACTGTGTTACACTTGTTACCACGTGTTACACTTGTTACAACTGTGTAACACATGTTACCTCTGTGTTACGCATGTTACCACAGTGATACACATGTTACCACTGAGTGAGACATGTTACCACTGAGTGAGACATGTTACCACAGTGTTACACATGTTACCACAGTGTTACACATGTTACCTCTGTGTTACACATGTAACCACAGTGTTACACATGTTACCACCGAGTTACAAATGTTACCACTGTGTAACACATATTACCACTGTGTTATACATGTTACTACAGTGTTACACATGTTACTACAGTGTTACACATGTTACCTCTGTGCTACACATGTTACCACTGTGTAACACGTGTAACACAGTGTAAAACATGTTACCACAGTGTTACACATGTTACCTCTGTGTAACACATGTTGCCTCTGTGTTACATATTTTATCTCTGTGTAACACATGTTACCTCTGTGTTATACATATTACCACTGTCTAGCATGTGCTACCACAGTGTTAAATGCATTACCACAGTGCTACACATGTTACCACTGTGTAACATGTGTAACACTGTGTAGCACTGTGGTAACTTTTCTTACACATTGGTAACAAATCTAAATCACCCAAGTGTCTGCACTGCTGTAGGGAAGATTTATGCTTTATAACTTCAAACATTTGACCAAATAACTGGAAAAATAAATAAAGTTTAAATGATGTAAAGTACATACCAGAACATTCAACAGACACTTCTTGATCATTGTTGGTTCTGGGATGCTCTCTGATCGTGCACTCTGTGACAGAGCTCTCGCTTCCTCTGCAACTCATCTGCAATCCTCTGACATCTTCACGTTGTCCAAGTAACCCAGAGAACCTGACAGGATCTCCACAGTCCATCTCCCTGCACACCACTGCAGCTTCATTCTGTCCAAAGTTGGATTTGAATGCAGGTGACCAGTGATCATTGTGATAGATTTCAACTCTGCCTGAACACTGGTCAGAGCCGTTGATCAGTCTGATGAAAGCTAAAATGCATCAAGGGAGAGATGTTCAGAAATGTTATTTCAGTCTCACTTTTACACGGATGAAAAAGTAATAGACATAAATACCTGCGCAAATCACTCCCGCATCTTCTCCGTGTCCACAGTTATTTTGTCCAAAGGGGGGTCGGGGGCAGTGCAAAAGAGACGTCTCATTGCCAGTGCATGCAACATCATCTAGCCAGATTTCTCCTTGGCCTGGACCAAAAAATGCTGAAGATCTGGCTGCCTTAGCAGTTCCACAGTTCATGGCTCGGCACACAACCTGAGCATCTTTGATATCCCAAGCATCATCACACACTGTTCCCCACTGATCATTATGCAGAATCTCCACTCTGCCAGAACAGCGGTCTGTGCCATTGACAAGTCTAATGGGAGGATTACCTGGGGAGAGATTAGGTTACATAATGTCAAGCAAGGTTTATCATCAAATGTTCAGGGAGCTAATTATTGATACCAAAAAAATGTGTGTAAAACAAGTGTTTAGGATATTAGTTTCTAATCAAATAAGGATTTATAAGCAGTGCCCTGCAAAACTCAACAAGATTCTCAAGTGAGCTAATTTTGTGCAAAAGCTAAATGATGAAAACTAGAGAATACAGTCATTTGGACTACTTGAAAATCTTTAAGTTGGAGTTGTTTTCCCCATTAAGGGGCTCTATGTGGAATAGTTGCACGCTTTCTTTGAAATTCTTCTTACTCCCCGTACTCCATACATCCTCAGGCATTAGTAGTAATCTGGAGCAAAGTGAGCCTCAATGGTAGAAGATATGTAGAATGATGCTGAACATCTTACCTGCACATGAAACGTAAGCGCCATCACATCTCCCCACATGTTCCTCAAGCGTACACTGGCTAATTGAGCTCACGTTACCAGAGCACCGATTCCTGAAGCCTGTCAATGTGCTGTCACCAAAGCCGACAGAATCTTGGGTTTTCTTTGGAGAGCCACAATTCAGTTCTTTACAGACAATTGCGGCCTCTCTGAGGCTCCAATTATCATTACAAATTTTGCCCCAACGACCATTGTGGAAGACCTCCAACTTGCCAGAGCATCTGTCAGTCCCATTGATCAGTCTCACCGTTTCTGGAAAGAAGACAAATGAAAACGTGAATGGGTCTGAGCTTGTATTTTTTCAAGCCTCAACAAAAGGGAAGCATTTTTGCACCTGAGCACATAACGCCCGCATTTTGACTGTGGTTACAGTCGTGTTGTCCAAAGCCATGTGGGCAGTCAGTAATTGAATTCTCGTGGCCAGTGCACTCAATATCATCCATCCAAACCTGCTGGGGGCCTCTTCCATAGAAGGTCCTGTTCTTAACTGCAACAGGACTTCCACAGTTCATCTCTCTGCATGCTACTTCTGCTTCTTGAATCCCCCATCTGTCATCACAAATGGTTTCCCACTGTCCATTATTGAGGACTTCTACTCGACCAGAACAACGATTAGTCCCATTTACCAACCGTATGGCCTTGTTGTCTGTCACACATGGAGAAAATACAGGATTCAGATTAAATTCATGGAAAAGAAAATGTGTCACACTGAAATGACAACAAATTACTGTTGGTAAGCTGTGATTGACTTACACTTGCAGACAATGGTGGCATCAACACAACTCTCTCTGAAATCTGAAAGCTGGCATTCTGAGATGGAGGTCTCATTTCCAACGCAGCTGGTTTTGAGTCCTGACAGGCTTTGACCCTCTCCAAAATATTGTGCTGCAGACTCAACAACAGGAGAGCCACACCTGATCTCACGGCACAGAACTTCGGCTGTGTTCTTTCCCCAGTCACTGCTGCACACTCGTTTCCACTGGCCTTCGTGGAAGACCTCCACTCTGCCGTTACAGCGATTGCTTCCATTCACGACACGCACGTGGTCTAACACATAAGCAGAACATGACATTAAAGGGATACTATGCAGTTTTGCTTGATTTTAGCACCCCCATTGTTTGCTAATGAAAGCAAAAGTCAAACCCATCTCCATGCAGTGCATTCATTAAAATATAGGGCCAGAATCTACTTGCTCTCTTACAATGCATACATGTTTAAAATTGTTGCCACATGTAACTTGAGTTTATTTGAAGCCTCGTTTGTTTGCATCCCCCGAAATTAATGTGACGCATCTGATTGCTGCAATATACAGGTAACCAGTAGGCAGAGTTGACAAAACGAGTGTGACACACTCACCATGGTAATTCCATCAGTGGTTTAGAGGTATTTTATACCATCTACGATACCGCTGCTGACTTTTTGTTTTTTTCATGAGCTCAAAATAAACCACTTACTGTTCTCTTCTATTGATGCCATTTTTGTTTTGGTTGTGCCCACAAACCCAACTCTCTATCCAGTCTGAGTACTAGTCTGCCCTCAGGTGGAAAAATCCAGTACAACATGCCGTGCAACAACAGCTATGTGAACAAAGATGCAGTCTGCTGCCTCCTCCAACACGAGGGTAAACAGCAAGTATATTCCAGCCCTTAAACTAACAGCTGAAATGCCTCCTCAGCCTTCATTAGTTTCTTCAGGAGTGATTCATCACTAAATCACATAAATCAGCTGTGTTCATGATCCAAAACATGCAGGAAACTGTCACGTTTTGCGGGATGGTTAGGACCGCTGACGTCATTAGGTCCCCTAAAATAATCACAAGCCCCCCCCCCCCCCTATCATTTTTTTTATTTTTATTTTTTTCAGTTAACTTTTTTTTATTTGTTCACATCTACATGCTCAACACAATCACGACACGTGTAGTTGGTACAGGAGTTTTTTAGTCTGAAACAGAAATAATAATTGATGAATATAGAACTACACCGTCGCACACAGGAAGTATCAAGAAAGGACTTCCTCCACTTCCTTAACCCCGACAGCTTTGTTGACAAGTCAGGGGGCGGGGCGATACAGCAAAACCTATATATCGATGAGCAAACTCTGCTCAGCGCTCATGTAAGTCACTCAACATCACATTAGGGTAAGACAGCAACAGCAGCACACCGTAACATTTCAAGGTTATAGTTCAGACTTCAGAGAGAGGAAAATGCTACCGCACCGACATGCTAATGCTAACTCCGCTAGCATGTTTACATGCCGCAAACCATAATGATAAACTTTGATGTCAAGTAAAACGATCAGAAAACTCCCCTGAAGTGACATGATTAACGAGCCAGCCAGTTCATTGAGTGACTTAATGCCACCAACTTGAGCGTACAGCAATGAGTCTGCACGAGCAGAACCTGCTCTGCGCTTGTGTGCAGGAGCTGCAGCCCTCTCTGTGGGCTCAACTCTGTCTCTGCGCATGCAAATCTCTCCCTGCTCTCCTCAACAAGTAGCCTCTCTAACAGTCAATCACAGACAGCTCTGTTTTATCCAATCAAAGCATGTCCAGGAAATACTGCTTTACAGAAAAACACCCATTTAACAGCTTATTGAACTGGTTTCTGCTGCTGGTTAGCTACCAGTCACCATCCACTGCCTGCATAATACTTTGTTGTAATTCATGTGTCATGATTAGGGTGACCATATTTGACTTCCAGAAAAGACACATTGCCCATTCCTAAAACTGTTAAATTGCACTCTTTTCAGTTAAAGAGGACTTTTAATTTCAACATACAAAGTGTTTCTTCTCTGTTTGGTCAGACAAATGATTCCTTGATGTGTAAAAGGAAGTGAACAGTGGAAATGTCCCAGGAAAAGAGGAGGGTTAATCAACCTAATTAAATATAATTATATAAAGTCGTCTTGATCTGAAAAAAGTGCAATTTTCCTGCCAGTATTTCCTGGACATGCTTTGATTGCGTAATGGAGAGCTGTCTGATTGGCTGACAGAGAGGCTACATTGCTTTAAAAATTGCAAATTGAGCAACAGCAGGGAGATTTGTGCAGGCAGAGACGGAGTTGAGCATGCAGAGAGAGGGCTGCACACGACTGCAGAGCAGGTTGTGCTCTTGCAGATTGATCACTGCACGCTCCAGTTGGTGGCACAAAAATCACTCCACACTAAAAACCTGAATCAGAATATGGCCGAATGTGTATATTATTGACCGTTTTTCTATATTATATATTTTTTCTATAATATATATATTATATTATAGGTACATATATGTATCTATAATATAGTTAACAGCCAGTTTTATATATGTCACATATATTGAAAAGCTATATCAAAACATATGTTAAAACCTATATATTTATATGAAATCTTTCCATGTGGGTTGTCAATTGCTTAATATTTCCTATGTTTACCTATGGGAAAGAAAGGAGATATTGTACTCATCTAACTTCAACAAATTTGGGCAGCTTAATGTGACGTTATGGAAAATGCCATCATCATGAGCAGCCAAACATAGGCTATATTAGGCTAACAGTTGTCCATATTCTGTACCATTTATCCACCAATGGCTTTTTCAATTATTGTGAGTGAAAACTAAATGGCATAGTAGCATTTGTTCTGGCATTAGAAATTAAAAATGTTTTTCAATGTGTTGGCTAGATGGATATACGAAGATTTTTTTAAGAGAGTGAGTGAGGAACAGGAGAGAGACCAGGTGGTTGATGCTGAGGAGATCTGCATGGTCAAGGTCAGTGATCTACAGAGAAAACAGGGGCGAGCGCACCGTTATGAGCATTTACCTGAGCACAAAGTTCCTAAGCAAAATTGAATGGTTTTCTATTTAGAAGTGAACAGGTAAGAGACCTTGAGAAAAAAAAAACTATAATTATCATCTGACCAGCAACCTTATGTCAAGTTGTATCTGTATAGTTGACTTTCTGTATTATAAGTTCTACTACTTGCTGGATATTTTTATATATACTGTCATTTTGTCTTGTAATTGTTAATTACACACTCCTTTATTCCATATCATAGCAGTGTTATTCACAGTGGCGGCTGGCCACGAGAGGGTGATAGGGCGCCGCTCACCCCAGTTTTCCCCAGTGTTTTTAATTTTTATTTAAAAAAATAAATAAATAAAATTAACAATAATAACATATTTTAAGTTAATTGTGTGTTTTGTAACAAAAACAAATCATATATATATATATATATATATATATATATATATATATATATATATATATATATATATATATATATATATATATATATCATTGGTGAGAAGCTCCCTGCTGAGCGGTGGAGGCGACAGAAAGTTCGCCCAAAGGGCGATAGAGCTACCGCCCAAGGCTGTTCGTTGATGTTCGGGTTGAGCTCGACAGTCTCGACTACTCGAGCAAGGTATTTGGTGGAGACGCAGATGCAGTGATGGACGTGAGTGCGCCTACAACGAGCATGGATACCGGATCTCAGCACCCACTGAATTCAGTTCGGTCTCTTCTCCAGTATCCGTTCGAGAGGAGAACAATGGTTGAAAAACTTAATGTCAAAGAGCTTGGACCAGATCAGCCCGAAGTAAAGATAAGCCAGCAGGACAAGGAGATGGGTAAACTGTACACACAAGGCTTCTCCCAAAATCGGTACACCAGGAAGGCTTGGCTAGCTGGAAGCAATCACGCTAATGCTTTATTTTGCTTTAGTTAGATCTGCTAACTTGGGAGAGACATTAATTCCCAGGTATGTGATATTCCCTGACTTCAGTTGTGTATTAAGCAAATTGACAAAAGATAAATTAATTGGTAGAACTGTGGATTTTAACCAGTTTATAGAGTAATCTGAAACTCTTGAAAAAGAGTTTATCAGTTATATTGAATGGGAGAGAAAGGAATGAGAATTCTGGAGAAATAGTAAAACATCATCTGCATAAAGACTTATCTTATGTTCTATTTTCTTACACTCTATCCCTTTAATATCTGTTGCTTGCCTAATTGCTGTGGGTGAACTGTATAATGTTTATAGCCACTTTATGAAGAAGTTCCCAAAACCAAATTTATGTAAAGTTGCAAATAACAACTTCCAGTTAACTCTATCAAAAGCCTTTTCTGCATCTAGAGATAATATACTAGTTTCAATGTTTCTACTACCGGCACTCTAAAGTTGCAAGTGCAATACTCTTGCACAGAGGGTGACGTAGGTCTGAGTGACATTTCATTAACCCTGTAAAGGGTACTTTAGCACATACTGGCTCAAGAAAACTATTAAAAAATATGAAAATGTTGCATTATATACCTTTAAAGGTAAATTTTAGTCATTTTAAAAGATATTTGCAGTCATCTAAAGTCAGAATTAATGCCTTGTGAGTCGTACTCTGGGGATAAAAGGGTTAGGGTTAGTCTCATTAATCATGACAAAAAACATGAGGTGATCAATTAACTGTGTAAGGTAACGTATGCTCCACAGAAACACAACTCAGCTGAAAAATTATGGTGTTTTGCTCAGTTCTATGGCTTTTTGTCAGATTCTGAACCAGGAAATCGCTGCAGGCAATGAAACAGAAGGCAAAAAACACCAGAGCAACCAGTGACTCCGCCTCCTAGCCAATCAGCGGCCAGAATCACAATGCCACCCGACTCAGCCCTGCCAGGTACCTTAATCGAGCAGGGACTTAAAATAGGAGAGGAAGAAGAGGGAAAATACTGAACTGTGCCCTTGGAAACAGTGGTCGGGCCGAGCTGCATCGGCCTGAGTTGCTCCTGGAAAACCACTTTTAATGGACCCTAACGCAAGAGTGACTGGTTGTTTTTCTGAATGTTGACTCTAAACTAAAAAGCTAGTGAACCACCCTAACTCTCACCCCATGACTCATGGAAATAGACACCAGGAGCTGAGTTTTGCATTTAGATCCATTTTCAGAGTAAAGTAAGTGAATCGGCATACCTGAACAGACGACTCCAGCATCTTCTGAATGGTCACAGTTATGTATCCCAATACCACTGTGTTGGCACTCAACGATGGAGGGCTCTATGCCAGTACATTGCACATCATCCAGCCAGATCACCCCTATGCCCCTCCCAAAAGCATTACTTTTGGCCTCCAAAGCCGTTCCACAGTTCAACTCTCGGCACACAACTTCAGCGTTGGAGAGGCTCCAGTGGTCATCACACACGGTTCCCCAACTGTTTTCATGGAAGATCTCCACTCTGCCTGAGCAACGTGAAGACCCAACCAGTTGGATTTTCAGGCATTCTGGAAATGAGAAGTGAAAGCCTTAAAGTTACTTCATTTTTAATAGGGATTTTTAAAAATAAATGGAATTGGTATACCTGTAAGCAGTGGTAGACTCAGCAAACCTAAAGGACATTTTCACAGATAATCAAGTTACCTTTAGGATTGTTCACAAATCAAATTGAATACAGCATAGAAATGGAGTTAGTGATGGGAAAAGTAGACCTAATTAATTAGATTACTCCATTAAAAAATACCATAAATGTCATTACTCCCAACACTGCTTTTTAGATGATTAATTTCACATTTGAATGCAAACATTGTATTTCTTGCACTAAGAATGTGCATCTGTATTCATTTCCTAAAGGTAAAAATCAAACATAAGAAGAAAACTTACCTGCCATCAATAAAAATACAAAATGTATTTTTTCCATATCAAAGAAGCTCATGTTGTGTCTTCAAATCAAGCCAAATTCTGTAAAGTCAATAAAAATGATGAAAGACGTGCTCACTCTGTTGCTCACTTTGAGATTTATGTCTGTTTTTACTTAATAATGAACAAAATTAAGCTGTTCGAATTTTTCTAAATTCATGTTGGTTTTAATCACAAAACGGAAGGATTGGCCTTCTTACCGTTTAGATTCCAAATTTTAAAATTCCTAATTTTTTATTCTATCATTTAAAATGTGACAGTATCAGCTATTTGTTTGCTATTGCTGTTAATACACTGCAAAAACTGATTTATTAGAAAGTAGAAAAGCCTCATTAGACATTTTTTCTTATTTTAGTCCAACAAAAAGTTATTTACATTACTTAAAAGAGGTAAATATTCTTAAATATGATCCAAACTTTGTTTTGAGGAGAAACAAAATCTGCCAAAGTATGCTAAATTTGCTTGGCTAGAATTACCCTAACTAACAAAGAATCTAAATTTAAATGCATTAGTCGGCAAAATATTTTCTTGCCCCGTTGGCAGTTTTTGTTTTGTTTTTACTCAAGACAAGAATATGTTAATTATAATTAAGAATATTTTCCTTTTTTTTAAATAATGCTATTTTCTAGAAAAAAATTTAATTTATTCTAAAACTAAAAATAAGATTTAAATGCTTAAAATTTTGGCTTTTTTTTTTTACTTTCTTGGTGATCAGTTTTGCAGTGTAAATGCCCATAAAAACTAAAATCATCACCATTTAAACTATGCAAGTGAACATTTTTAAGAGTTTCCTCACCCTGACAGGTCTCTGGGAGCAGCACTCCTTACAGGAACTTCTTGTTCTGCATCTTTTATATGACTCAGGATGTAAAACATTGTGAAACTCTGCTGCTCCTTCATCAGATTCTTCAATCAGTTCCTTCTATAACACGTGTCTTCCTTTTAATCGGACACCGAAGCAAACAGAATTAAATGACTTTCATAACTCAGAGACACAGATGGAGGCTCTGTTTTAGATTATATTTTATGATCTCATCTGAATGTTTTAATGCATTCATTTGTTTTTTATTTTTGGTTGCCATTTTGTTGTATGTATGAATATAAATTATTAACCTGATTATGACAAACTATCTGAATCTAAACAAATAGAATATAAATGATCGGGCTCGTTTCCAATGAGAGTTGGACTTCATCAAGGCTTCCCTTTGTTGACGATTCTCTTCAGATATTTTATGCTTGGCTTTTAATATCAAATGAGTCATTGGCATTTGTGTTTTATTTTATTTTCCTCTTTATTATTGGTGTTTTGATGTTTTATGGTTTGGTTTTATAGCACTTTGGTCACTCTATGTGTTAAGTGCTTTAGAAGTAAAGCTTGACTGGTAGACAGACAGACAGGGTATCTAGGTGCAGCCAAGGAGGTGAGGAGATCCATTTTGATGACCTGAGGATCTGGTCTCTGCTTTTACCCGATGATGTGCTACTGTTGGCTTCATGAGATTGTGATCTACAGCTTTGCTACAGCTTTGCTGGAGCGGTTTGCAGCTGAGTATAAAACAGCCGGGATGAGAATCAGCTCCTCCGAATCTGAGACCATGGTCTTGAGTCTGAAAAGGGTAGAATGCCTTCTCCGAGTCAGGGACGAGGTCCTGCCCCAAGTGGAAGAGTTCAAGTATCTCGGGGTCTTGTTCACAAGTGAGGGAAAGATTGATCGGGAGATCTATAGGCGGATTGGTACTGCGTCTGCAGTAATGTGGGCGTTGCATTGGTCTGTCGTGGTGTAAAGAGAGCTGAGCCGCAAGACAAAGTTCTCGATTTATTGCTCGATCTACATCCTAAACTCATCTACGATCACCAGCTTTGGGAAGTGACCAAAAGTATGATATCACGGATGCAGCTGAAAGGTGTTTTCTCCAGGGAGGCTGGGCTCTCCCTTAGAGATAGGGTGAGAAGCTTGGTCATCCGGAAGGGGCTTGGAGTAGACCCGCTGCTCCTCCACATCGAGAGGAGCCAGTTGAGGCGGCTCGTGCATCTGGTCAGGATGTCCCTGTGGTGAGGTTTTCTGGGCCAGGACACGATGGAGGGATTATGTTTCTCAGCTGGCCAGGGGATTTCCCTGGAGGAGCTGGCACAAGTAGCTGAGGAGAGGGAAGTCTAGGCCTCTGTTTTGGCTGCTGCCCAACCCCGGATAAGCAGAAGAGAATGGATGGAAATAAATGATCCAGTTGAAAAAATGTAAATGCAGAGTTATCCTCATCTCAATTATCAGCCACTCTAATGAAAAATTAAAAAAAACATTGAAGCTTCATTTAAAAATGTAATTTATGTTTCATTCTGATGGAGTATTGTTCCATACTATTGCATAACTGACTTCAATTTTCTGTTCAGCATTTTTAAAATGATTCATCCAGCAGTTATCTTACTTCTTTTACTTCTCCTGAAATCCCTTTAGTGGCAGTTGAATGTCGTCATGCCACAACTTCCCTATTTTACAGTTTCACAGCACAGATATAGACTTTTCTCTTGCTCTCTCTCTCTCTCGCTCTCTCTCTCGCTCTCTCTCTTACTCTCTCTCTCTCGCTCGCTCTCGCTCTCTCTCGTTTAGGAGACGTTAATTAGCGAAAGTCTAATTTGTGGTTACTTGAAAGTTGAACTATGCTATTAGGGTGTTATGAAAACATCTAATATTATTGTTAAAAATAGCTTTAACAATGTCAGTTGGGGGAAAAATCGATAACTTTTGCACTCACAAAATAAAGAGCTTTTGGGTCCCCACCTAGTGTCCTAACCCTATCGTAGTAGTGTCCAATCCTGGTCCATTAGAGCCACCGTCCTGCCTTTGGATAATTTTCTGCTCTGATAAATCTGATTTGAATCAATGGGCGATTACCAGAGGTAATGGTAGGGCCATGATTGGATAACAACACCCTAGACAACCCTACCGTGCATCCCCACAACCAAACCAAACTCTAGACACTGTCCTAGCTCAATCTCTCAAACAACAGCACAATGTGGTAGCTAGCGCATCTCCTGATAGAGTAAGTTAGTTAGCACAATGATAAACAACCACGACTTTGCTACAGAAAGACCCTTCAGGCTCATTTCCACAATCAGAACTTTTGGGTAATTTTACTGGACCTTTGTGGCATGCACATGTCTCCTTTTCACCAGGCTGGCCCAAAAGGACCACTTTCCGGGCCATTTCAGGAACAATCTGAGTACCTGAACTTGGGCATGTACTCTGAAATGACCAAGTAGAGTCGTTGGGTGGGGCTTGTGGTTAATTCATGCTGATTGGTTTTAAATCAGTAGAATGCCATTCAAGCTAATGGCAAATCAGAAAAACAAGGTGGCTTAATTTTTTCATGCTTCTTAAAATTGTTTTAAATTTGTACAGCTATGAATTTATTGTGGAGATTAAAAAAAAATTAATCAAGTGGTTTTCTCGTATTTGTTTAAAAACCTCAGCCAATAACACGGCTTGGTTCAAAACCAACAATTGAACCATCCCACTCCCCTGGGCCCTCCACTTAATATGCACTTGCGTATTTATCAGGAGAACAGAGAGAGGTTCTCCACTCAATGATATCAAAGGAGGAGAAACAGCCGGCTGCTACCACTTCAACTTTAGGACAAACTACCAGAGTCCCAAAAAGAAAAACACCATTTGAAGTCACGGACAAGATGATTGGACGGTTTCATGAATGTGTTTATGTTTAAAATCTAGCCTGTTTTACTGATTTGTCATTGTACCCTTAACTAATGTCATACTTTGACAGAATAAACCCTTTTTTTAAACGCCAGTGGACTCCTAAAAACGGCTAAAAGGACAGAGCCAGCATATTTTGCTCCTCCCAGAAATTCCCTAGAACTTCTATTGTGGAAGTGCGACTATTGTTGCGCTTTCACGCCTGCAAAGATTCAAGCTCTGGCTGTTTATAGATTATTAAATAGATTTTTCTCCATCTAATTAGAGGTTACCAAACTGAAATCGTTCAGTTTTCAAAACATTGAAAGAGAAATTATTCAGTGAGGGTAATTTTTGTATGTATCAAATTTTCTGATGTTCACAAAAAATAAATGAAAATAAAACTACTAAAAAACTAATTTGCAATAAATCATTTCAGCTAAAGATATGGAAGTTGAGTTAATTAATTAATTAATTAATTAATTGAGTAATTAATCAAAAGCAACAGTTTGTTAAAAAATAAAATAACAAAACAATAACAGGTGGAATGAAGTTGTCTTCATTCTCAATGACTGAAAGAAACAGATTAACAGTGATGAAAGTTGGAGGAGTTTGGTGAGGCCATGGAGAAAGACTATCGATCGGCTCCAAAGAGGTTCTGGCAAACTGTCCGGCGCCTCAGGAGAGGAAGGCAGCAACTCGCTCACACTGTTTACAGTGGGGATGGGAAGCTGCTCACGTCAACTGGGGCTATAGTCGGACGGTGGAAGGAATACTTTGAGGAGCTCCTCAATCCCACCTATGCGCATTCCGAGGAGGAACCAGAGCCAGGAGGATCTTTCATGGCGGTTAAAACGAAGAGTCGGAGTACCCGGCCCGGAGGGTTACCGGGGTCCCACCCTGGAGCCAGGCCTGGGGTTGGGGCCCGTGAGCGAGCGCCTGGTGGCCGGGCTTTCGCCCATGGGGCCCGGCCGGGCCCAGCCCGAACCGGATACATGGGCTCGTCCAACTGTGGACCCACCACCCGCAGGAGCAACATGAAGGGTCCGGTGCAATGCGAATCGGGTGGCAGACCAAGGCGGGAGCCTTGGCGGTCCAATCCCCAGACAAGAAAACTAGTTTTTGGGACATGGAACGTCACCTCGCTGGCGGGGAAGGAGCCGGAGCTTGTGGCAGAGGTTGAGCGGTACCGGCTAGATATAGTCGGACTCACCTCGACACATTGCATTGGCTCTGGAACCCGAGACCTGGAGAGGGGTTGGACACTCTACTTTGCTGGAGTTGCTCCGGGTGAGAGGCGGAGGGCTGGGGTTGGCTTTTTGTTAGCCCCGAGACTCTCTGCCTGTGTGTTGGGGTTTACCCCGGGGGACAAGAGGGCAGCTTCCTTGCGCCTTCGGGTCGGGGAACAGGTCCTGACTGTTGTTTGTGCTTATGGGCCAAATATCAGTTCAGAGTACCCACCCTTTTTGGAGTCCCTGGGACGAGTGCTAGATAGTGCTCCATCAGGGGACTCCATTGTCCTGCTGGGGGACTTCAATGCTCACGTGGGCAATGACAGCTTGACCTGGAGGGGTGTGATTGGGAGGAACGGCCCACCTAATCTGAACTCGAGCGGTGTTTTGTTATTGGACTTCTGTGCAAGCCGCAGTTTGGCCATAACGAACACCATGTTCGAACATAAGGATATATTGGTCTCTGCCGGTCTCTGAGCGGTGGAGGCTGTGTGCTGTTTTTCAATCGCCCAAACAGGACGAGACCAGCTGTCCAATTGCTGACAAGAATATCAAAGGGTAGGAATGGGAATGTATCCAATCAGCGTCGACGTTGTTTCAAAACGTTTCAGAAGCATGATGGGCGATGGAGCTACCGCCAAAGGTTTCGTTGGTGTTCGGTAGAACTCGGCAGAGTCGTTTTTGGTCGTGATGCAGATGTAACATGGACGCCGCCTGTGACTACAACCAGCATGGATACCGGATCTCAGCAGCCACTGAATTCAGTTCGGTCTCTTCTCCAGTATCCGTTCGAGAGGAGAACTGGAAAAACTTAATGTCAAAGAGCTTAGACCAGATCAGCCCGACATAAAGATAAGCCAGCAGGAGAAGGAGAGAGGTAAACTGTACACACGAGGCTTCTCCCAAAATTGGTACACCAGGAAGGCTTGGCTAGCTGGATGCAATCACGCTAATGCGTTATTTTGCTTTCCGTGTTTGTTATTCAAAACGGCTGGGACAGATAAGGCATGGATGAGTAAGGAGCTACAGACATGAAACTTTTTTCTGAGAAGGTGAAGAAACACGAGTCATCCCGGGCACACATGGACAACAACACGGTGAAGCTAGCCATGCTAGGCAGCAGAGCTATCGTTGCCATGCAGGGAACAACAGCAGCTGGGTGCAGAGGTAAGCTGTACATTACATTTCTGTGAACAAGACAATCAGAATCAGAAATCCTTGGTTGTCCCACAAACCGGGAAATTTGTTTAATAAGATGTTTAATGTGCAATAACTGTAAAAACTAATTTCAACACACATACTTATTATACATATTTAATCACGTAAATGTGTATTTCATGTAAATTTGTACATACATCAATCTGATTCCATTTTACTTGTTACATTTCTGCTGCAGCAAACAAATTTCCCAGCTTTTGGGACAATTAAACATTTCTGATTCTCAATTAGATGTTTTTACCTCAAATGTAAAAACATCTGATTGAGAATCAGAAATGTTTTATTGTCCCAAAAACTGGGAAATATGACATTTGTAAGAGGATACTGATGACATTATTTCCTATGAAAGTGTTTCCTATGTACTTATCTGTTGTTTTTTATTTATCATATGACAGGTTTTTCACACCATCCTGAGCCATGCAAAAGAAGATTCTTGTCACCACACCCATGAACACAGCCGAATCAGAAAGGTGCATTTCTACTTTAAAGAGGATTAAGACTTTCCTTGAGGAACACCATGACACAGGATGGGCTGAATGCTCTTGCCATGCCATGGGAAAAAAAAGCTTGTCACAAACATTCCTGACTTCAATAAAAAGCTAATCGAGAGCTTTGCCACTCAGAAGGACAGAAGGGCAAAATTTCTGTACAAATGAGGTATCACACACACACACACACAAATGCATCCACTTGATCTTTGTATAAAGTTGACCTTGGCACAACACTCCAGAAATATTTAACAGTGTAAATTTCTGGCATTTTGTCTAAGTGGTGTTTCATTACTGTAACAGTGACCTGTTCATAATTTTTGGTGTTCACTTAAATGTTGAAATTAAACAAAATGTTTTTGCTACTTGCCTCTTGCATTGCCTATTTACCATTTATGGTCGTGTTATTTTATGTGCAATTTAATGCAGTATTTTTCAACCTTGGTCTGCAAGGCAGCGTGCCAATAGTCAGACACACCTGGATTAATCAGTTTGTCCAATGATGTAAGACAGGAAATAAAAGAGCTGTGCTTAATTCAGGAAATAGTGAAGTTGTGCACAAAGCTCAGAAAGCACAAGTTTGTTTAAAAATAAAAAATAGCACAGCCCCACCAAAAATATTTTTCACCAGCCGCCACTGCTTATGACCGTGTCCCCAGGGGCACCCTGTCGGGGACGCTCCAGGAGTATGGGGTGGGTGGCTTTCCTGTTAAGGGCCATTCAGTCCCTTTACCAGAGGAGCGTGAGTTTGGTCCGCATAGCCGGTAGTAAGTCGGACCTGTTCCCAGTGAGGGTTGGACTCTGCCAGGGCTGCCCTTTGTCACCGGTTCGGTTCATTACTTTTATGGACAGAAGTCCTAGGCGCAGCCGTGGTGTGGAGTGTGTCGAGTTTGGTGGCAGGAGAATCTCGTCTCTGCTTTTTGCGGATGATGTGGTCCTCCTAGCTTCATCCAGCTCTGACCTTCAGCTCTTGCTAGGTAGGTTCGCGGCCGAGTGTGAAGCGGCTGGGATGAGGATCAGCACCTCCAAATCTGAGACCATGGTTCTCGACCGGAAAAGGGTGGCTTGCCAACTCCGGGTCGGGAGAGAGGTCCTACCTCAAGTGGAGGAGTTTAAGTATCTCGGGGTCTTGTTCACGAGTGAGGGTAGGAGGGATCGGGAGATCGACAGGCGGATCGGTTCGGCGTCTGCAGTGATGCGGACGCTGAGCCGATCTGTCGTGGTGAAGAGGGAGCTAAGCCAGGCTCTCGATTTACCAGTCAATCTACGTCCCAATCCTCACCTTTGGTCATGAGCTTTGGGTAGTGACCGAAAGAACGAGATCGCGGATACAAGCGGCCGAAATGAGTTTCCTCCGTAGGGTGGCCGGGCTCAGCCTTAGAGATAGGGTGAGGAGCTTGGACATTCGGGAGGGACTCGGAGTAGAACCGCTGCTCCTCCGGATCGAAAGGAGTCAGTTGAGGTGGTTTGGGCATCTGGTCGGGATGCCTCCTGGACGCCTCCCTGGGGAGGAGTTTCGGGCATGTTCTGCCGTCAGGAGGCCTCCGGGACTAGCCAGGACACGTTGGAGAGGTTACATCACCAATCTGGTCCGGGAACGCCTTGGGATCCTGCCGGAGGAGCTGGTGGAGGTGGTCGGGGAGAGGACGGTCTGGAGCTCCCTCGTTGGGATGCTGCCCCCGCGACCCGGATAAGCGGAGGAAGACGACGACGACGATGAACGTTAGTGGTCTAATAAACCATTACAGGCTCTGAGATACACGTCTTCCTTTAACGGGATATGACGCTACAACTCAGCTAGTAAAAGTAGACTCTCTTGGTGTCATCAACAGAATGATTGTGTAACAAACAAGATGAACGATTATCAAAGTGAGAAACAGGAAAAACTGGTTCATTTAAAATCCCATGACTTTCATCTGCAGAGGTAAACTTACTCCCTTAAAATCATAAATACATTAAGTGGATGTGGATTCCAAAATAAAAGCAGACTTCCTGTTTATCTTCACGTCAGATCACTAAAGTAATACTGAAAGTAAAAAAAAAATTAAATCATAGATTAAAATAAGATAATAAGATTACAAACTGATTAAAATCCATATTCAATTTTGTTATAATTTGGTGTAAAATAAGCTTTTGTTTTCTTTAAAGCACGAGTTCCACCTTGGATGATATAAATTGTATTTTATTATTTAGATTTTTAAATTCAAAGCCCATTATGTTATTGAATAGGTGAAAATATGGTTTCAGATTAAGACAAAATTCAATCATATTAATGAGAAATTTGTTATGTTTCAGTCAGATCTGATGTAAAACTCAAGTTTTCTGGCACTTTTTTTTAAAAGGTCCTTGCATCTGAATTTGACTTTTTAATTCAAATCAATGTCTAGTGAACAAAGTTATTTAGGTCACGTGTTTCATCTACATTTATATGTGGATCAAGTCACACAACAATGTCTTGGGGGAAAATCGGGTTTTCTACAAAAAACAAAGCCAGTCAGAAAGGTGAAACTGAGTATATTTAGTTATTTTGTGGTTTGACAAACGTGTTCATCACATTTAACACAAAATATAAACAGGTTTCTCATGATTGAGTGTATGTATATATATATATATATATATATATATATATATATATATATATATATATATATATTTATCTACATATACATATATATATATACACATATATATATGTATATATATAATTTTTTGAGGCAAGCAAGGATAAACTAGAAATGTATTTAAATGTAGTTTTCAGGATGATAGAAACACTCATGCACCCTTCACTGATAGTCTTTGTTAGCTTTTAATAAACACACAAAGAAATAATGAATTGTAAAATTTAGAGCCAAATAAAAAAAAAATAAAAAAAGTTTTGCCTTAAGAAAAAACAAAAACTAACTTAGAATACGGTATGTTGGACACATTTCATGTCATAAAACACAAAAATGATGCTTTGTCAAAAATGTGCATCTGTTTGCTGCATTTGGCTAAATGGAGGACCATATTATCATCTATGTATTAAACAAGTCGTGATTCACATATAGGACTAAAACATTCTGGTTAGAATTATTCCTTTATTAGATTTGAAGCAACTGAGGAAAAACCAATGAAACAACATGGTGGATTTGAACAGAAACAGTTTGGCAGTGAATGACATTAAAGCACGTTCATTCTGAAGGATGTGGCTACAGTTTATACTTTAATGCTGGAAGCAAATTTGTGCTTAAGATTTGAGGCATTTGGTCTCTGGCATACAAGCACCATTTCAAAGATGTTCCATCTATCAATAATAGCAACTGTTGATTGAGGCAGATAATCAGTACCAGGAAGGGTGTAATCAGGTCGGTCCGGGTGCTCTGCTGCACCTGTTCGTGAAAAGCTGCTATGTGCTTCTTTAGCTCACACCGAAATCTGCAACGAACATCGTTTTGGTGCCACAGAGTGGCAAAAAAGTTTCATCCTTCACGACAGAAGACCTGTGGCTGCAGGATTAGACATTACTTGGAGAACAAATGAAGAGGTCACACAGGAAACAGCATTCGGCATAACCCTGTCATTGCTGAAGGAGGATCCGGTGAAAGCAGGTGATGCAACTCAGGATAGTTGTGCAAAGATTACAGTTTTCTGGGTGACACCAGCTGGCAGTTTGATCTAGGACTTGGATATCTGTAAATAAATAAATAAATTAAGAATTACAAAACATAACATTTTCAGTTTCATGTTGTAGATTATCAACCACCATTTGATTTGATTACACTCTTGGCATTCTCACGATGAGCTTCATGAAGCAGGCACCTGAAATGGTTTTCCAGTAGTCTTGGAGGAGTTTCCAGAGATGCTCAGAACTTGTTGGCCCCTTTGCCTGCAGTCTGTGGTCCATCTTGACTGGGTTTACCTCTTTCTTGGTCATAGATCCCTTACACAGCCTGAAGATAAGTTTGGAGTCATTGTCCTGTTGAAAGCGGTCACAACTAAAAGCAAACCAGATGGAATGGGATGGCGCCAAAGTAGCCATGTTGGTTCAATGTGCCTTCAAATTTTAATAAGGCTCCAACGGAATCACCAGCAAAGCACCGCCACACCAACACACCTCCTCCTCCATGCTTCATAGTGGGAACCATGCATTGAGACCATTCGTTCACCTCTTCAGGATCGCACATCACAACGAAGAGTTGATCTACAGATCCCAGATTTGGACTTATTCCATTTCTTGATGCTTTTTGCAAATCAGCTTAACAAAACATTACAGGGAGTGCAGAATTATTAGGCAAGTTGTATTATTGAGGAATAATTTTATTATTGAACAACAACCATGTTCTCAATGAACCCAAAAAACTCATCATATCAAAGCTGAATGTTTTTGGAAGTAGTTTTTAGTTGTAGCTATTTTAGGGGGATATCTGTGTGTGCAGGTGACTATTGCTGTGCATAATTATTAGGCAACTTAACAAAAAACAAATATATACCCATTTCAATTATTTATTTTTACCAGTGAAACCAATATAACACCTCCACAATCCCAAATATACATTTCTGACATTCAAAAACAATACAAAAACAAATTAGCGACCAATATAGCCACCTTTCTTTGCAAGGACACTCAAAAGCCTGCCATCCATGGATTCTGTCAGTGTTTTGATCTGTTCACCATCAACATTGCGTGCAGCAGCAACCACAGCCTCCCAGACACTGTTCAGAGAGGTGTACCGTTTTCCCTCCCTGTAAATCTCACATTTGATGATGGACCACAGGTTCTCAATGGGGTTCAGATCAGGTGAACAAGGAGGCCATGTCATTAGTTTTTCTTCTTTTATACCCTTTCTTGCCAGCCACGCTGTGGAGTACTTGGACGCGTGTGATGGAGCATTGTCCTGCATGAACATGTTTTTCTTGAAGGATGCAGACTTCTTCCTGTACCACTGCTTGAAGAAGGTGTCTTCCAGAAACTGGCAGTAGGACTGGGAGTTGAGCTCGACTCCATCCTCAACCCGAAAAGGCCCCATAAGCTCATCTTTGATGACACCAGCCCAAACCAGTACTCCACCTCCACCTTGCTGGCGTCTGAGTCGGACTGGAGCTCTCTGCCCTTTACCAATCCAGCCACGGGTCCATCCATCTGGCCCATCAAGACTCACTCTCATTTCATCAGTCCATAAAACCTTAGAAACATCAGTCTTGACATATTTCTTGGCCCAGTCTTGACGTTTCAGCTTGTGTGTCTTGTTCAGTGGTGGTCGTCTTTCAGCCTTTCTTACCTTGGCCATGTCTCTGAGTACTGCACACCTTGTGCTTTTGGGCACTCCAGTCATGTTGCAGCTCTGAAATATGGCCAAACTGGTGGCAAGTGGCATCTTGGCAGCTGCACGCTTGACTTTTCTCAGTTCATGGGCAGTTATTTTGCGCCTTGGTTTTTCCACATGCTTCTTGCGACCCTGTTGACTATTTTGAATGAAACGCTTGATTGTTCGATGATCACGCTTCAGAAGCTTTGCAATTTTAAGACTGCTGCATCCCTCTGCAAGATATCTCACTATTTTTGACTTTTCTGAGCCAGTCAAGTCCGTCTTTTGACCCATTTTGCCAAAGGAAAGAAAGTTGCCTAATAATTATGCACACCTGATATAGGCTGGTGATGTCATTAGGCCACACCCCTTCTCATTGCAGAGATGCACATCACCTAATATGCTTAATTGGTAGTAGGCCTTTGAGCCTATACAGCTTGGAGTAATACAACATGCATGAAGAGGAGATTGTGGACAAAATACTCATTTGCCTAATAATTCTGCACTCCCTGTAAAAGCTTTTGCAAATTTTCCAGACTGACTTACCTTAAAAGTAAAGATGGACTACCCTTTCCTCTTTTTTTTAGCCGATTGGTTTTCCATAAGCTGAATCCTAACACAACTGATGGTCCCAATTCTTCACAGGCACACCTTGTGAAGTACAAACAATTTCAGGTGAAAACATCATGAAGCTCAATAAGAAGGCCAAGGGTTTGCAGTGCTGTCAACCATGCAACGAGAATCTAAAATAAATCAAATTTACAGGTAATTCACATTTAAATACATTAATCTACATGTGTTGATTCATAGTTTTGATGCCTTGAGTGAGAACCTACAACCTCATAACAAAAAACAAGAGTTTGCCCAAGCCACTATGCAGGAACTTTGAATCGTAAAGAGATTAGAAGACAAATCTTACCCTGAGTAACAAATGTATATAGACGTGACATTTTTTATCAATACTTCTTCTTTTTCACTCTCAAAAAACAAATATCAGCAGATATGAAATGCTGAGAAATGAGCTGCTGATCAAACAGAGTTGGGAAATACGTTTTACTGTTTGAGGAAGTAGATTACTAAACACACAGCGTGTACATGTGCATCCACTCACCGTCACAATGGGCTGTGGACTGAGCCTGAGGAATGTAAACACAGTGTTGTTCTCCTTTGACTGGAAGAAGTCTTCATAGTCCTGAGGTGGAACAGAGACAAAACATGAATGTGTGTATAAAATGTCTTAATGCAGCTTTAAAGGTGCAGTTTGTTTGACTGCCATCCTGTGGCCAAATATGGTTACTGCAGAAAAGAAAAAGAAAAGCGGGACAGATAAGTATAAAAATCACGAGATGCTTCACAAGGACCAATTTATTTATTTACAGATGTCCAAGTTCTAGATTAAACTGCCAGCTGGTGTCACCCAGAAAACTGTAATCTTTGCAGAACTATCCTGAGTTGCATCACCTGCTTTCACCGGATCCTCCTTCAGCAATGACAGAGATATGCCGAACGCTGTTTCCTGTGTGACCTCTTCATTTTTTCTCTAAATAATGTCTAATCCTTTATTTTTTAAAATTATATAACACCCCACCCCTGGGGCGCTGCGGGGTGTCGCATGCTCCGTCCCGCAGCGTTCCTCCATGAGAGAGGGTGTGGAGTGGTTGCACACCTTCCGCTGCTGTTTCTCACCAGTATCAGCTGATGGAGGGCTCTACTTTCGCTACGCTGTTCATGTCAGCGGACATATATATAAAGTGGGTTTGTAGGAGGTGCTGTCTGGATTGGCTGCACCTGGCGTTAAGGCGTTACTTGTTTCCTGTTTTCAGTGTTGCACTACATGTAGCTATTTGGTGTTTGGGGCTCGCTAAAGCTGATTTAATTTCTCTGTACTAGGATATCTCTGAGTTACTGTAGCACATAAGCACGCTAAAACACACTTTTTCTGTTGTTCCACCTAGCTTTTAGGGAACCATTTGAGTTTGCACGCAGTTTATTTGGTGTTGAACAGTTTGCTCGTCCAGTTAGCTTAGCCTCAGCACGGCTATGGCTACTTCTGTCTCTGCTTCTCCGTCTCCTATCTCTTGCTCTCTGTGTCAGATGTTTAGTTACTCCTCTGCCTCCTTTAGTGATAATGGTACGTGTAATAAATGTAGCACTTTTGTAGCTTTGGAGGCGAGGGTGTCGGAATTGGAGTCCTGGCTCCGCGCTGTTGAAAAACCCGTAAACAGCCATAGCTACTTAGCTAGCGCGGGGCTAACTAGCTCAGAACCACCCCTTAGCGATCCTCCAGCAGAACCCGAGCAGCTGGGACCTCAGGCTGGCTGGGCGACGGTACGCAGGAAGCATAGAACCCAGCCCGTGGGCCACCACCAACTCGTCCACGTTTCTAATAGATTTTCCTCGCTCAGTGACGCACCCACTGACAAGCCGACTCTGATCATTGGCTGCTCCATAGTCAGAAGCGTGGCATTAGAGGTTCCAGCAACCATAGTTAAATGTTTACCTGGGGCCAGAGCGGGCGACATTAAATCTTATCTGAAACTGCTGGCTAAGGATAAGCGTAAATACAGTAAGATTGTTATTCACGCTGGCGGTAACGACACCCGGTTACGCCAATCGGAGGTCACTAAAATTAATGTTGCTTCGGTGTGCAAGTTTGCCAAAACCATGTCGGACTCCATACATTTCTCTGGCCCCCTGCCTGATCGGACCAGTGACGACATGTTTAGCCGCATGCTGTCCTTCAACCGCTGGTTGTCTAGGTGGTGTCCTGAAAACAACGTGGGCTACATCGATAATTGGAAAACTTTTTGGGGAAAACCTGGTCTGATGGGGAGAGAGGGCATCCATCCCTCTTTGGATGGAGCAGCTCTTCTTTCTAGGAACATGGCCACTTTTATTAGTCCTCCATGATAACCCAGGGTCCAGACCAGGAAGCAGAGTCGTAGTTTAACACACCCCTCTGCAGCTTCTGTACGGTTACCCACCCACTACCCCATAGAGACAGTGTCCTGCCCATGGCCAAAATCACACAGATTAAATATCAGGCTTAATAAAGCAAATCATGGAAATCTCATAAATATTAGAACAAATTCAACTGAGCAGAAAACTAGAAAAATTAAATGTGGGTTGTTGAACATTAGATCCATTTTTTCTAAGACTTTGTTAGTTAATGACTTGATTTGTGATAATCAGATCTCTTTGCTCTCTCAGAATCCTGGCTGCAGCAAGAAGACTATGTTAGCTTAAAGAGCAAGTCAACCCCTACCAGAGTCTAAAGCCTGGTTTATGCTTCTCCGTCAGCTCCGCAAGGGACAGACACGCACGGATTGACGGAAGCGTTTTGCTCTTTTACTTCTCCGTCTCCTGGAGAGCGTTGCAAAGCAATTGCCCGGCAGGACAACAGAGGGCATAGCGCTGTTCTTTGGTATCCTGTCATGTATCGGTCCAAGATCGTGTGTTTATTTTGTGTTTTTTGTGTATATAAGAGACTTTTAACACGGACATATTTGTCTCTCATTCTCCAACCGCTTCATGCGCTCCCCACCTCTAAACCCACGTTTCCTGTTATTTCCGTCCACAAATAAAACGCTTGCTGCGCATCTTTTCACTCCTCCAGTCACGGGAGAATTAAACGTTCATGTTTTTAGAGTTTTTTCGCGAGGTATTCTTCAAGCTTCTCCGTGTCTGCCGCTAGTTAAACTCGGCTCTCTTTGCAATGGCGGCGCTGTAAACAACAGCGGCGTCCTGACCAATCACAAGCTTGCGTAATCCGTCTCGTTCGACGGATGTTTAAAAAAGTGGGCTCGACTCCGTACGTACTTGCGTGCCCTACGCAAGGACGGATAATGGCGTTGCGTGTCTCCGCACTGACGCAGACGGAGAAGCATAAATCAGGCTTAACTCCACTCCCACTTCATGTTTGAAAAATGCAACAAATGCTGTTGCCTGGCAGACCGAGAAGGCGGAGCTGCTAACAAATACACACACACACAGGCTCACAACAGCATTGTGACATCATAATGTACCAGTTTACATCATAGCATACCTCTTAGCCAATAGCGGTGGCAGATTTAAATTAAAATACAGTGCAGAGTTTTTACCTGACAATGGCACAACACTGCCAGTTTTAGACAGAATATTTAAATTTTAACTAAGATGCACTGAAGTGCCAAATTATTGACTACACATGTCTGCAACACAATTAGACACTGGTTTATTTAGTTTATCAGCAAAAAAAAGTTTATTTGGGGGTGACTTGCTCTTTAAACGAGTAGACTCCTTCAAATTATTTAAATCATCATATTGCTCGAAGTACAGGGTGAGGAGGAGGAGTAGCAACCATTTTTCATTCGGACTTATTAATCAGTCCCTTACCAATTAATAGCTACAGTTCGTTCGAACATCTTATTCTTAGTTTTCCTAATCCAGATTGCAAAACTGTAAAACCACTCTTGTTTGTAGTTTTATATCGTCCACCAGGCCCTTACTCAGAGTTTTTGGATCAGATCTCTGATTTTTTATCTGATTTAGTGCTAAATACTGATAAGGTCATTGTAGTGGGGGATTTTAATATTCATGTGGACATTGAAAATGATAGCCTCAATGTAGCCTTTAGTAATATCTTAGACTCAATTGGTTTTACCCAAAGAATACATAGCTCCACCCACTCCTGCCATCATAAACTGGGCCTTGTGCTGACTTATGGCATAGAGTGTGAGGAAATAATCTTTCCACATAATCCAATCCTCTCAGACCACTTTCTGGCAACCTTTGAGTTTTTTATGACTGAGTTCTCGAGACATACAAGTAAATTTCACTATAGTCGGTCTCTATCTGACAATGCTGTTGCATCTTTTAAATCAACTGTTCCATATTTACTGTTCTCAGCATCTCAGAGGCATGTAGCAGAGGGCAATATTTTCAGTTCTAGCCCCTCACAAATTGATGCCTTAGTTCATCATGTTAATTCCTCTTTACGTGTGGCATTAGATGATGTTGCCCCTTTAAAAAAGAAGGTAATTAGGGACAGGAAGTTGGCTCCCTGGTTTAATTCTCATTTATGAGCCTTAAAACTAAACTCTAGGAAATTGGAGAGAACATGGCGCTCTACACACCATGAGGAGGCCTACCTATCCTGGAAAAATAGTCTTGTGCTTTATAAAAATAAGCTTCGACAAACTAGAACTGCTTATTTCTCAGCGTTAATTGAGGAGAATAAGCATAATCCTAAATTTCTTTTCAGTACAGTTGCTAAACTTACACAAAATCATAGCTCTGAGCCATCTATTCCCTTAGCCCTCAGCAGCAATGACTTCATGGGATTTTTTACAAGTAAAATTAATTCTATTAGAAACAAAATCTTTAGCATCCTCCCTAATGCGATTTATTCTTCCTCAGTAAGTGAGGCAGCATCAGAGGTGACTGTAGAACCTCATCTGTGCTTGATCCGTTTTGATCCAGTTGAGCTTTCAGAGTTATCAAAAATATTAGCTTCATCTAAACCTTCAACTTGCATTTTGGATCCAATCCCAACCAAATTA